TTAGTCACCGGCTCCATTCGTCACTGGAGTTCGGCATCTCCTGCCTTCATCTGTTAGGGCGATACACTTTTGGAGCTGGGATCGAATGCGGAAATGTCGCACTCGTGTAGGATCACAGCACTGAAATGCTTTCATACGAGGGGGAGAACAGAGGTAGAAACGGCTATGGTAATTCACATTGAGTAGATCCGATGATACTATGTCATGGAAATACAAGTACCAGACTCAAAACTGCTCTTTCCGGACACACTTTACCCGAGCACTCTCAACCATCCCATGATTTCCCGAGATAACCAACCCGTACTCCGGTACTCATCAGATTAAACCACCAAGCTCTTTTCAAAGCACTTTAACTCCAGACATTGATACTAAACCGCCTGTAACTCCAGTATGTACCCTTGCCGCCTCCTTTCAAACACTCGACACCTCCTCAGGCTCAACCCTCAGATTACTCCCCCACCCAACTCTCGCCCTCCCATCCCGAATCATGTACGACAGTCAACGACTCTACAAAGCCAACAGTGAACCCAAAAACACCTCTCTAAACGCGGCATCTGCGTCGCAGCTCGTCCAGCCTCCTCGTAAAATCCATTCATCAATTCATCAACTGCTTTTGTACGAAAGTGCCGAAAGACTTGGTCTTCTGGGAGAGGGATCAGTTCGTCTGGTAAGGAGTCTGAAAACGGATTGCGTGGCTCCTCGAATGAGGGAATAGCTGAGCCTGGTGACAGGACGAAGAGCTATTTTCCTGTGGGAGTGATGGAGACGAAGTCGAGGGAGAAGGATTTCAGTTTTTGCCAGTGAGGAAGTTGAGAAGAGGAGTTCAGGGACTAGAAGAGATTGCTTCCGAACACGAGAAAGCCGAGTTTGAGGGAGGCAAATTCTTGTGGTAGTATGCGGACGTTCGTGCTGAATATATCTAAGGACCCGAAAATATCTTCTAGGGTGATATTCGGTGGTGGGTAATTCTCTTCTTTGGGAGGATCGTTCTGGTAGATTAGGTCCAGATGCTCGATTGATGATAGCCAGGAGAGCAGACTCTTAGCAAAAGCTTTGAAAGAGAATAATGTTAGTAGATTTACCGATGGTAGTACAGTGAATTATTTGCAAATGAGATTATTGTCTGTTTCCCGTTGCGGCCAAACATACGCCCAACATTGTTCCTTTTGTCCCCATCGTGGAGATTGCCCTTGAACGCTCGAAGCAGTGGTAACTTTGCGACGATTATGGAACAAGCGGTAAGTAGTATCCGACGGAAATCACTGAAATTTCTACATCGAGTACCCGCATCCATATCAAGTTCTGTTATTAAATAGGAATCTAGAAGTAGGTCCTCCTGATCCGTCACCGGCATTGCTCCGTTCGAATTGACGAAGCAAAGTTTAGATTACTTGAACCTGGCATCATGGAAGCCTTTCTCTCTATATTGACGCCTTCCCATTATCTTTTCCTCTGTGCTCGCCTAGGAGAGGTCGCTGGGCGAGAGGACTTGGACGGACAGCTTGATCCCTCGATTAGAAACTTGGTCGAGCGGCCCCGAGCTCAATGTCACGAACAAAGCCTGGAAGGTATTCGTGAAAACGAGCTTCTTTCTCTTCTTCTCTTCACAATTTTCGCATCTCCCACGAGCCTCGAAATCATAAGGTCGAGGACGACATCAAGCTCAATATGTTAAAGGAAAGCCCGACGTGGACCACAGACAATTCGATCGAACTCGGCCAATCGAGATGGAGTTAAATGTATGGTAGAGAAGGTATGGCGCTCTACTGATTTCGCTATTGGCTACATACGGCAGCCAGTTTCGGATCGAGGTTGGAAAATTCCCCGCGCTTGAGGTCTGACCCGCGAAACGAGGTGTGTGATGATGGGTGGAGTCAGCTCTGTGGAAAGCACTGCCAACCCGGATTTCATTGCTTTCGAATGCTTTGAGATGCTTGCCAGTCGTTGAACCAATTCTATGTTGTCCGGGATGGAGAGATGCACGGCCAGGGACCCTCGACCTTACCTGTATGCAGGCTTAAAAGCGGCTCACGTGATGCTTCGCTTGAGATAGGGGTCGATACATATTGAATTGAGAATGAAAGTCCTGTACTATCATGAGATGTGCCCGCATGATTTCGACTGTGGCACATTATTCAATTTCAGCTCTAATCTTCCCCACCCAGTGTGCCCCCCAAAAAAATTAAGTAATTAATTAATTATAATTTAATTACTTCAATTATAATTTAATTACTTCAATTATAATTTAATTACTTCAATTATAATTTAATTACTTCAATTATAATTTAATAATTTAATTACTTCAATTATAATTTAATTACTTCAATTATAATTTAATTACTTCAATTATAATTTAATTACTTCAATTATAATTTAATCACTTTAATTATAATTTAATTACTTAATTAAATCGTTATATAATAAATATAAATAAAAAACTTATTTCTTTTATTTGAAAAGTAACTTAAAGGCTCTTCTTTTAACCTTATACTCTTTCTTTTTAATTCTTATATACTCTTCTAACGGCTGGTATTACATGATTATTACAGGCCAAGCTTTAAGCACTCGGTATTTGTGACATGTTATAAGCCTTATAAAGCGTGATAGGCATATTTACTCCTGGAGTAAATACTATAGTCTTTTTAACTCAGTTAGCATATGGGTAAGCCTATCCAATATACATTATAGTATTTTAGTGGTTTTGGCCTTACTTATTTATCTATTACTATTTCTCACTTTACTTCTCTCCTTAGCTTTAGATTCTAAAAAAACAAAACCTTAAAAATCTTTATACCTTATTTTATTTCTTTAGCTCCGCTATTATAATTATTTTATTTTTTAATTTTTAATAATTTATATATTCTTTTTAAGTATATTTCTCTTATATAATTATTTCTACTTTTAAGCTTTTTTCCTTCTTAATTATATAAAACTTTATTTAAGCTTAATTTTAAAACTTATAACATTTCTTATTTCTTTATTTCTTTAATAAATATAATAGCAAAGCTAGAGTATTAAAATAAGGTACAAAGATCTCTAGGTCTTGTCTTTTAGAATTTAAAGCTAAGGAGGAGAAGGAGGAGAAGGAGAGAAGTGACATGTGGTAGTGAATAAGTGAGTAAGGCCAAAACCACTGAAACACCGAGCGCCTGAAGCTTAGCCTGAAACCTTACGAGCCTAATCGCATAAGTCTGTGTTTTTCAGGCTAGTTTAGCGAGAGCACCTCCTAAATTCAACCCCACTAATATGCCTACTACCCCTCCCCACCACTTGTATTTAACCACGCTTCAGGCTTAATATTGCTACGAAACACAAGGAGGCGATATGGGAGCTTTATAGCTTTAGAGAGAAATCAACTGCAGGCTAATAGAGCGCTATGAGCTCGGTAAAACTACGATTTATCGTGTTTTGAGCATGATGCTCCCCTGCCACGGTCGCTAAGATGAAAGCAATAGTGCTAGAGGGATAGAATAGGATACTATAAGATTGGATAAATAAGTTGATTTTAAAGCAGGAATATTGGGTTTCACGGGTGGTTAACTCCTAATTAAATATAATATGGTCGTGAATTGATTGATGTGAAGTGTGCCTAATAGCCTGGAAAACACAGACTTACGCGATTAGGCTCGTTAGCTAAAACCAATAATATAACACCAGCCGTCACAATCAGTGTGTTAAATAATTTAAATAATTATAATTATTGGCCGGTAATCAAATTAAATTAAGTCAGAATCATAGTAATCAAATTATAATTAATTACTGGGTCACGTGTTATTACACGTGACTACAAAGATAATATAAGCATTATGGCACAAAAGTAAAGCGTATTTTACCCTAATTTAGATATCGCCTTACTATTATAGGCTTAATAGCTAGTATCCCGCCTTTACTCGCTTTACTTATCTTTATAAATAAGTACTATAGTAGGGGGTTTGACTTCTCTAGTCACGTGGGTGCGGTCATGTGATATATAGAGCAAATAATTCACATATATATTACCTTGCTCTTCTTCTCTCTTCTTTGGAAATCAATTAATTTTTACTTTCTTTATGCTTTAGTCATATATTATTTAAAGAAAAAGAAGAGAAATTATTACTTATATAACTTTTATATGGGTTTCACGTGATAATTAGAAATAATTAATTATATTTAATTATTTACTTGATTTAATTAAATATAATTAATTACCTTAATTATTTTTTTGATACACTGGTCACAATAAGCTTACATATTAAACAATTAATCATAATTTAATCATTAGATTTCTGACTTAATTTTATTTGATCGCCAGCCAATAACAACAATTAATCATTTTATTCGACACACTGCCCCCGCCCCATTCTCTAGATCCATTCCATTGCTTTCCTTAGCACCCCATCCATTCTCAACCTCCAATACCATCAAGAAACTCGCTTAACATCCCCTCCCCCCCCCCCACAAACTTCCCTCAAGCTCAGGGACAAGATCTCAGCGGGACCAACTGCAGAATTAAAAAGCGTTCATCGATCCGTAACTCACTGATATCCTCATCACAATCAGGATGCGGGGACGAGGTTATTAACGAGTTAGCTTTGATCTAGATAAGGATACCTTATGCTACTCAACCTAAACGTCCAAATCTAGTATTATACATGCTCAAACTTCTTAATGCTATTCCTATCATCAGCCAATGTCTCTGAACCTGTAATTGTCACCGTCTTGAGAATTCCATCAATGCTTGTACTGCTCCCTGAAATAACCTCCACCTTCCCATCATTGTTGGTCTCAATATGTGTAGAGATTCTAGACTCCCCAGTTCCGTCCCAAATACCCTGTGATGTCGGTCTCTTCTCAGGTAACCCCACATGTGGCTCGGTTTGCAATTCGAAGTCTCCATAGTGAGAAGGGAAACGTGGTCTTGAAGAGCGTGTACCGGGTATGTCGTTCGACCGTGAGGTACTAAAGTCCCCGGCTGTGGTCTCAGGCGAAGATGATAGGAGCCTTGGGGCTATTCTGCGAATCAAGGGTCGAATGCAAGGCGCACAGGCGCAGAAGAGACCCGTTTGCATTTCGACGACGCCCCAGGTTGAGCCATCGATTCCATTCCCTAAGCATAGACGAATGAGATTAGCACACTGACATATAGGGGCCATGAAGGAAAAGCTTACACGTAGGGTCAGGGTTCGCCTGAATTGTGATATAGCTCTCACATCGAGCGATAGAAGCAGCAATTACCAGCACCCCAAGACTAGCAACTACCAGAAGAATGACCTTTGGTTTCAAAGGCAGTTGTAGAGCAACTGCAGCGTTGTCAATATGTTTTGGACTAACCGGGAAGATTGCTTGGACGTACGAACTCGCGGGATAGCAAAAGCCATCAGCATGATATCAGCAGCTATGTTGCATACAACTCCCAAGCTGTGGCATCCACTGAGCTGAAACCGGACTGCATCTGAACACGATCATACATACAGTGGTAATACCAGACGCAACCAAGAATGCCATGATCGAGAGCAGAAGTACGCGGCTGCGACGGTCCTCAAAGATCCGAAGATATGACAGGCACATCCCGAGTTTGGTGAAGCAAACTACAGTCTGGAATAGGATGCCTCCTAAGAAAGTGAGCTTTCCCGTGGGTGCTATCCACGAGACTTTGAAAAACATGGTGTGATGCCCGAAGCCGTACTTTGTGAGGAGACTGCCGAGGATTACACCAGCGATGCTGAGTATCTGATGTCAAGCTAAGCTGACGTCTAAGATGGATACGCCTGGCTTACCCATGATATGCAGATGACAGTGTCGTCTGTTCCCCAGTTTCTCGTGATGATTGCTCGTGTGGAGAGTCGTCCTAGGACAAAAGGTGCAGCTAAGCTAGCTGGGAGGATGAGTCCGAGAAAGATTCCCGGGACTCGCGTTTCTGCGGCATAGGCAGTGTCCTATTTATTTTCATCAACGCCGCTCGGCCAAGTGAAGGATGAAGTGAAATTGCTGGTTCTAGAATAAAAGACCCGTCATCCACTCGGTATCAGAGGACCAATGCGACGCGGTTGAATCTTACAAGAGACATTATCAGCGAAGTTCTTGCGTGCGACAATTAGGTAAAGGAGGCAGAGGCTTTGAGGTGGATAGTAAGCTCCCTGTGGCTTATTGTTGTGAACTGGTTTAAGAACCACGTTGATCCAACTAGGCCATGATCAATTGGAAATCCAGATCTAGCAACGACTTGTTTGGTGACAGAGGTCTTGGACAATTTGGGGAAGGGTAGTATCCTTGGACCCACGTTTCTTTCTTAATTTAACTCTGTACATGGAAGGCTTAAGAACAAAAAAAGGTTCTTCTAGGCTTACGACGTGTCTAGGGCAAATAATGTATCGAGACCAGGGCGTTCCAAGGCTGGCACAGACCAGAAACCGGACAAACAGGTTTTTATTGGCTTTCATCCCTTGTCTGTGGCTGTCTCGCTCCATTATTTTCCCTAGATACGAAGTTCTTGTACATAGTACGTTGTACGATTCGTATACAATGAACCAATGAGGATGAATGCTAACCGATCCGTGCCATTCTCAGAGTCAAGGCGTTGGGTACGGGGGGGACGAACCCTGTGGCTGAAGCCATGCCCCAAACGGGATGTTCCAGAATGTCAGATCTGAACATCGAAACATTACTCGATATCCCGCTTAAATGCACGCGTACTATACCAAATTTTTTCCTTGCTCTCTCCTACTTCTAAATTAAATTATTAATTAACCACAAGACCAATTAGCCTGAAATCAAAAATAGAGATAGGTTAATAGCTAATAAATAATATCCCAAATTAATTAGATCCCTTCTCAAAAATTACCCGTGGTTTTATTATATACCCCCGGGAGCTCTGTTTTACCGGTATTTCTGGCCCCCCCCCCTTATTAATATTACTACTAACAAAGGAAATAATCTTCTTTTTAATAACTAGTACCTTTCTAGATTTCGCAGCAGTCTTAGTTCTTACTAGAAGAGCCTCTGAAACCTTCTTTTCCCTAGCTTTCTTCTTTTTTTAAGCTTATAATTAAGCCTTCTCCTTAATTCTTACTTTATTAATATTTCCTGCCCTTATAGCCGCCTATAAAGTATTCACTGCCTTCTTAGTATTCTCTTTTTACTTTTTAAGAGCTTAAGTAGCCTTTTTAGTATTAATTCATTCTCGTTCTAACTTTATAAAAGCTTCTTTTTTAGTAAAAAGCTCTTATACTTATTAAATATTCTCTACTAAGAAAAGTATAGGCTTTATATATTTCTCTCTCAAGATATTTAGCTACTTTTTACGAGATTTGCTTTTTTTTATTCTTTAATACCTTAATTAATTCTTTCTTTATATATCTATTAAGTACGACTTATATAGCAAGCTCTTTATTAACTCTAAAAAACTTTTCATGTTTTACTTGGGACAGATTTTTGCGAAAATTAGCTTGGAAGTATTAAATTAATTTTGCAAATTATAGAGTCTTTAATTATTAAATTAATAAAAGAGCAGGTTAAATAGCTATTAGAAAAGTAATTAAATAAGTAATAACCTTGAGAATAAGTATAGGATTATATAGCTAAATATTAGGCTTTATAAATATCTTCTAGATATTCTCTATTATAAAAGTACTATTCTAAATAAGACGAAATAGCTTTAGGAATTATTTCTTTTTTATTAATATATATCCAAGGCTCTAGGCTTATTATTTATTTAGTTCTTTTGAGTATATAAGTAATAAAAGGCCAAAAAGAACCATATTAAGAAATTAAAGTTAATATATTAAATAAGGAAATAAAACGAGAAAAATAATATAAAAGTTCTAGTATTTATTAATAAATACTATATTAATATAACTTAAATAATTATTAATAATTAAAAAACGCTTTATATAAAGAAAAAAGAGTTATATAGCTAAATTAAAGACTTTAGTAAGTTATTAAAGCCCTTATATATTACTACTTTATTTATTATTTAATATACTAAAAAAAAAGTCATTTTATTTTTATAAATCTTATATCCAGGTATTTTATAAATTAAATAATCCGCGGGTATATAATAAAGTTATAGGAACTCTTTTACTAATTATAGAAATATATATTAAGTAAATAATAAACTCTTAATTTCCGTTATAAATAACTTATATAATTTTCCCTAATTTATATATTTCCTTAGATATAATTCTCTTTATTATTTATATTACCCTAATTAAAAATCCCTTTTTATTCTATTTATATATATTATTAGTAATAATATAATTATATTTAATTACCTAGAATAACTAGAATAGAATATATATTAGTAAGTAATTCTCGTAAAATATAAGAAAGAAATATAAAAGGGAATTTAATTAAGTTAAAGAATAGTTTATAAATAGGGCTATATTTGCCCTTAATATATTAATTTTTAATATTACGTAAATATAAGCTTTTTAGCTTGCTTTAGTACCGCCGGCAAAATTAAAAGATCTAGTTCTTTCCTATAATATATCCAATTATTTCCTCTGTAAAGTTCTTGACCATTTAACTAGTTAGAGGAATCCTATGCTCGGTAAGACGATTAATTTAATTAATTAGAATACGTTCTTGGGCATTAGTAAGGTATTAGCGGATCTGGGACTGGAATTCCGCTCGCGAGATGGTTAGCCCTCTGGCGCGCCGAGAGAGCGTAGATCGCGTTAATCTATACTTTCTGGCTATTGTAGCGTAATTAGGAGCTTCAGAGCTTTCGATTTCGGCCAGAACCTTCCGCATATCTTCTTCGTTGACCATTTTATGGGTGTTTAAAGAGAGGGGGTGATTTTTTTGGGAGGCGTGCATTTGGGTGGGGCGTGCATTTAAGCGGGAAATCGAGTAGTCGTGCATATATTTAAAAGATAAGTAAGCAGGAGGGTAGAAAAGGGTGATACTCGGCCTGGTGGTCATGAAATCCAGCCTTATGATAAGGAGAACAAGTGTGACGCATTGACGAGCCACATGCAACCGAGACTTCATACATTCGTTTTGTTCTGCGCCTAGCTGCATAGGGAAGCAAGAACAAGACTCGTTTCTGACCTGTTGACTTCAGCAGTCAGATTTAGGGTTAATATAGCCGATATTTTGGGCACACTTGCAAGACAAGGTTGGGGAGATGTTGATCGAGGAAGTTTGCTTTGTGCTGTTTGTTGCTGCTGCTGCCGCCTGCTGCACTCTCCGCCTACGCCGGCGTGATGGACTCTCTGCCCAGAGTATCGTTGCACAAGCAGTACTCAATCACACGCCGCCGTTCTTGACGGGAGGTATGTGCAGTCCTTCCACTTTGCGTTGCTTACGGATCTGTCGTGCTGACCATGAGACGTTGAACAGACGGCTGAGATAGTTCAGAACTTCAGGGGAGGGGGAGGGAGTGCCCGCGTTTCGCTTGACGGTGGGGCAGAAATTTGGTGACAGCAGAAGCGCCAGGCGCAAAATACGTCGTGGAAAATCCCTCAGGTCAAACAACCTTCTCTCATCAATTTTGACGCCATTGTCTGTGGACGTTGCTTTACCAGATCTGCAATTGCTTCTAGTCTACCGTCTAGAGCCTCCATCAGATCCCGTTTCGCAAAGGTGAGGCCGTCAAACAATGCGTGTTCCCTTCCCCGCCATAAATTTTTGCTTATGACGCGAAGGCAGGCGACCACACAAAACTTTTGTCAAGATTTTCGATCAACGACATTCCCAAATCGCCCCCAACTGCGAACAACTCCTTCGAACTTCAACTCGCTCCCCAGAGCTCCCGATGAATCTCCAACCATAGAGCGGGCAACCTATTTGCACATCGTCACAGGCACAGTGTTTTGAACGCTGGTCTGCGACATCCAAACTTTTACCCCTCTTTCCCAACACCCCTATGAGCACCAAGGACCTACTTAGATTCCTGTCTAAGCCTGCAAAGTGGGTGCTGCTCCTTCTGCAATGGAACGACTCTCCCCAGATCTGCAAGACTCACATTGACGCACCTCTGCCCCGGGCTGAGTGAATCATGCCCTCTTATCAGGAGGCAGGCACGATTGTACCACCCCGGGCAAATTCCGGATATATTATGTCTTCATTGCAGATTGCTAACTTTTTGTTGTTCCAGGCCTCGATAGCACCAGCCACGCCCCCCTCGAAACGAACAGAACATCTCTCATATTGCAGATAATTCTCGTCTGCTAGACCCGATATCCATTCACGATATCGGCATCTATCAGAGCGAGGACCACAAAAGAGCCAACATTCCTCCCGCAAAGGACTTCTTCATCCGTTTGTGCACCCGACCCCCATAACGTCCCTTACGAGACGTTCATAAACCGCCCATTTAGCTGGCTCCGCCAGCACACGATTATCCCCACGGTTCTGTGGGCCTTCTCTTCTCAGGCGAACACTGCAAGGTTCGTCTGGGTGGCAGATAGTGCTTCACATACTTGCCAAGAAAGCCTGGCAAACATACAAAGCATAAGAAAGCGTTGATACTGTCAGTCGGACCCTAAGCGCCTGACATAGTTATGGTCAACTTCGAGATACCATCCCAATATACATTCTCGCCTTCCGAAGGTACACCCCAACTTACGATCAATCGTGAGGCTACTATCGACCTTGATAGCAGCAATGCATTCGAAGGTAGGATATCCACATAGCCACAGTTCGGTAGTCACTGACATATACAGGCCCCGAAAAGCTGCTAGAGGTCTGGTTCGCTCCAGCAGCGGATGCTCTCCCTCCCGGAGCTAAGAAGAATGGCTTGAAAGCAGTGTCTGCAGAGAGATGGAAATTGATGCTCGACAAGGTCAACTGCAAGGTCCTGTCTGTGGTTCAATCCGAGCATATCGATGCCTACCTTTTGTCTGAATCGAGCATGTTTGTCTTCCCGCACAAGCTCATCCTCAAGACATGCGGCACCACGACTCTCCTCCTTGGCCTTCGCGATATGCTGAGATGTGCAGCTGAGGATGCCGGGTTTCCTTCCAACGGTAGCGGCTCTGTGAATGCTATCAAGACGGCTGCTACTCCTTACCGAGTTTTCTACAGCCGCAAGAACTTCTTGTTCCCTGACAAGCAACATGGACCCCACCGTAGCTGGAAAGAAGAAGTCAAGTTTCTTGATGGGATGTTTCAACATGGCAACGCTTACATGATCGGCAAAATGAACGGGGATCATTGGTACCTTTATTTGACGACTCCAAATGACACTCTCACACCACCAAGAACACCTGATAATGAAAGAATTGGCACCGAGACAAAGATATTGAATGTCCCTGCGAGCTATGCTCATTCCGTTGGACAGCGTGCCCTTGAAAACGATGACGAGACACTCGAAATCCTCATGACCGATCTTGAAGCAGAGAATGCCAAACAATTCTCTCTAGATTATGCCAGTCTCGTTGCCGAAGGCAAATACTGTAAGAGAGCTGAGCAGGCGCGAAAGGAGGCTGCAGAGAGCTTGGGTGAGCTTGGAGGCACCACGGTCCATTCTGCCTTGAGTGGTGCCAGCTCAGCCACCAATGAAGAAGAAATCGACGTGTTCAGCCAGACGTCTTCAGACAACGGAGCCTTCACGCCAGATGACGATGTGGGTTTCCATGACGAGCTCAGTACAGAAGGACATGCTCTCGGAACGGTGGTCTCCGAGGCTTGCGGTCTCTCGGAGGTCTACCCTACTTCCAGATATCCTGATGCACGCGTGGATGCCTATCTCTTCACACCATGCGGATTCTCTGCCAATGGTGTCATCCCAGCTCCAGACCAAGCTGGCACTGCAACTCACTACTTCACCGTTCACGTCACGCCTGAGCCTCAGTGCTCCTACGCCTCCTTCGAAACCAACGTCCCAGGACGCCAGACCGGCCGTGAAACTTCTGAGGTCGTAGAGCATGTAGTGGACATCTTCAAGCCTGGTCGTTTCAGTGTCACACTCTTCGAAGCCAAGACAAACCCGACTGAAGCACACGAGTTCGGCCTGCTCGGCGACGCGGCTGCAGACACGAAGGCTGGCCTCCTGCGCAGCGCGAAGATGGAGAAGATCAAAGGATATAGGAGGGTGGATCGGATCGTGCATGATTTCGATGGGTACGACCTGGTGTTCCGTTACTATGAGCGTGATGGATGGGAAGGTGGTGGTCCGCGATTGGGTGAGGTTGACTGATAGGCTTTCGTTTGCTGTGGAAGGAAACATGGCTATTTCGGACTTTGCCCTGCATTGGTCTTCATTTTGCTTTTCAAGGATCGTTTTGTGGCCACCCGCTCTTTACATGCTCTGAATTATTGCAGTAGTGGAAACAGAAAACTGCTCATTGATAACGCTCACTAGCTTAGTTCACGCAATGGAATCACGGACTGTGGTTCTGTCATGGTGTTCTCTGTTACATCATGCACTGCAAATAGCACATGAAAAGGCCGCAGCGACGTCAGGTTTCAGGCGGCGATGAATGCAGGCTGGGTATATTTGGGAGCAATCAGATAATCGGTCGATCATGATGATATCGTATACGCACTAAGACATAGCCTCAGAGTGAAGGGTTTTCAGGTCCAATTATCGGGCATGATGGAGGTGTTCTGGTGAGATGTGATGGGGGTTGCAGAAACACGTCCGTTCCTTTCGCCACGAAAGTGCACGGATTGGGAGGGCGAGTTGGAACGGAACTTGAGGAGGGGTGGTGAAGTTTTGCGGCCCCGGTGTGGATGTAGTGAATGTCATGAGTGACAGAAAGTGAAGTGTGTGGAGAGTCCAGTGGAGTGAAATGTGGCAGTTGGTGAATCAGTGAGCTGTCGAATGGTCGTCCAGTCCCATAAATCTCGAGGTATGAACGAGGGATCCCTTACCAAAGACGCCGCTCGCCGGCTCGCATCACTTGAGCCTCTCTCTATCAAGGACGATTCATGCCTATAGCTTACAACCAGCGCTGGCGGTAGCAGAAACCCATCATGCAGATCGACTCTTGAACTCTTGACCCGCGTCTTATGCACCGCCAAAAGCGTGAGGGGAACGCGCGCCCCTTTTATACTGTCCCGCGTCGACGTGTCTCTTCGATCGTCCATCTCCGTCTCTCCAATCCGGTCGATGGCTCGAGATGTTCCTTGCTTGGAAGCGCCCGAACTCATCCACTCAGCAGCTGTCGTTGGCAATGCATGAATTGTGTTCCCGTCCGTGGGCCACTGTCCGGGCGAAGAGAGGCATGAGCATGGAGGTGCTGATTGGGCGTTGGCGCGACGAGGACGCGCTTCAACGCGAGTGAGTGCAGCACGCTAATGCGCAGCTGAAATAAGGGAGCAGAAACGACTCGACCATTCCTGACTTTGTCTCGGCCCAGAGCCTGCGTGTACCACTCCTTCTGCGCTGCACTCTTCCTTCTGAGGGCCCCGGACTGGAGGTGTGTGCTTGATATATCCGCCACTCCCCCAATTCTTGGTCCTTCTCTTGTTGTGCTCTATTTTTGCGGTGAAAGGCATCAACAAACAGTCTCCAGACAGACCAGCACCAGACGCGAGGCATTTACTTGTGGGACTCACTGACGACTGACGACTGTCGATAATCTTGCCTTCATTTGACCTGATTGAATTCTTGTTAATTGACGAGTGAGCTTGAGGTCGACGATTGTTGGAGAGGATTTGAGTTTCGGATCAATTCAATCCAAGAAGGCAGCGGAAGACATGGCTACACAAGTGGCAGCTGCGAGGCAGCCTTTTGCTCCATTAAATGGATCACGGCTTCAGAATCTCACGAGTCTCAAGAATCGGCAAAATGGTACGGCTAGACCTCCCCTTCTGCACACCCAGTACCCCACTACCTCCCTCGTCCCACCATTGCTGCTCAATCAACATCATGAATCTCACATCGTCTCCTATAGCATTGTCCGCTCTCTCTTCGCCCAGCAAACGCAAAGCTTCCGCCTTCGAGGCCGACAACGACAACTCGGAGAACATCGACCCTATTATCTTCCTCTCCCCAAAGCGGTCCAAGAACCCAGACGGAAGCTCCAAAGACCTCGTGAAACCGCAACACTTCTTCCTAACCAAAGCTCCTCCATCTCCCAATGAATTCTCGTCCCTCAAACCAGTTGCTTCTCCCCGGCGACCAATTCTACCCGCACGTTCACCAGCACCAAGACTCGATACCTCACGCTCAACACCTCTCTCCGCACCAGCAGGCCGCTCCCCAACACGAAAACGCATCGGCATTACCAATCGTAGAAAGACCGGTAGTCCCTTCACACGCGTCGATCCTCCCAAATTCACAGCCCCGTCCTCAGGCCTAGGATTCAGCATTGACGCCGCACTCTCCGGCACCATCCCCTCCTATACCCCCCGCGAACGCAATGCCACCGCTTCCTCATCCAAAGAGCACCCCATTCCCTTGCTGCATCAGCCAGAAGCTAAGGACTCCTGGTTCTTCGACATCCACGAAGACACTGAGGAGGAATTGGCGACAAACTTGATGGAGCACTCAACTTGTACTCTGGATATCTCTTCTGACGAGGAGAGTAGAGCGAGAGAGAGGGATTTCAGAGGCAAAGAGAACGTCCCTCCTCCTGATGACATCTCGCAGACTCGCACTTATCTCTCTTCTACCTCGAGTGTTGAGGCTGAGCTGTCGATGCATGATATCAAGGCGCGGATCAGGGCTAGCAGGAAGAAGAGAGAGGTGGACGAGGGCGCGTGCGATGTTGATCGTGCGCCACTCGGGGATTTAGCTGCCGAGGACTTCTATGCCGAGGGCTGTGATGGCGAGAGTGTGTTCTTGGTTCCTGCTGAGGCGGGCGAGGAGGAGGAACAGAGTGCTGATTGTCATGCGACGTTCGACTTCATCGCTGACCTTGAAGGCAAGGGAAAGGAGCTTGATATCGACACCCTCATGTCTCAAGATGGTCTTGCTCCTAAGGCTAAGCTGTTAGAGCCTATCGAGAAAGCGGAAGAGGGCTTTGAGCTGTGGGAGAGTGGTTCCGCGAAGGATGGAGAGTAGTCTTGCTTCTGTGCTGTATCCGTGTCTGTGGGATTGGCGTTGAGCTGAAAGGCACTGGCGTTTTCTGAGTGGAGTGGGGTTCTTGTATATCGTTGCCGGCGTTGGCTTGCTGGCTTGCTTCGTCTGGATATCGTATACTCGAGTGTGTCGTAATAAGTGCCCTCTCTGTACCCAACTTGTCCTCGACCTCCGATGATTAACCTACACTACTCCGTGACTTGGTCTTGTGTTATTGAGGAAAGCCCCTCCTCACCAATCCCTTCTTGATAATTCTGTCATGGGATGAGATCTTTTGGTTGATGGTGATCTTGAAGCAAGGAAAGGGAAATAGGGGGCCCAACCACAACCTCGCTTAAATGCCTATTTGAGTGTATGCCTCTTGGGGACATGCCTCCTTGACTATCTGCTTTTCAGCAACAGTTTCTGGAGTTTTCAAAGTGCTAGCTAGCCGTGCCCGAGATATCTCGGGCACGATTACACGGCCCCGGCCTTTTCCATCATCCAATGTCACCTCATCAAGCCACATATGCGCCTTCGACAAGCCGTCTCGCGATGTTCATGTTGTGTAATGTCGCTGAGTCAGCACCGAGTCGCCTGGCTATTTCGGAATCAACCGATGCTAAAATGAGCTCCCAACCATTGCCAAGTCATGGACCCTCTGTCCGCACTCTCTGTCGCTGCTAGCGTGGTTCAATTTGTGGATTTTGCCTTCAGAATATTGTCTGATGCACGTCAGCTGTACGAAGATGGCGAGCTTAGTGTTAATATACAGAGCAGCAGAGTCGCCTCCGAACTGGGGAGCTGGAGTAAGGACTTGCGCAGATCCATTCGTGAACAAAGTTCGACTTCTCTCAGCAACAACGAGCAAGAACTTGAAACATTGTGTAGAGATTGCGCTGCCCTTGCAGGTGACTTGAAGGCACGAGTGGAGAACCTCAAGCCTGCCGGGAAGGGGCGTCCTTGGGAAAGTGTTGGCCAAGCACTCAAGAGCATGTGGTCCAGGAAAGAGTTGAACGAGGTAGAAGCGAAGCTCTCCACATATCGAGATGCGATAAACTCACGTTTGCTTGGATCATTACGGTAAGTTTGAGAAGCCATACTTGGGCAGACGACCGTACTCATTTGCCTGGCCAGCGAACGTGTTGATCGCGTCCTGAAGGAGCAGTCCCTTCAAACTCTAGCTATCAACAAGAACACCGAAAAGCTGGTTGCCAGCGCTTTGCTTGATATACATGCTTCATTGGCGCGAAACATGCAAGAGCAAAGTGTCATTCTGCAAAGTCTGTCTGATCGAACACAAGCGCCGAAGATTTCCGACACCCAGGACCCAGTTACGTCTGGTATACTGAATCGATCCCGCGGTATCGCGAAAACCGATGAGGAGGCCGGAATCTTTCTCTCGATCCAATACGACGAAACCCAGCTACATAAGAGGATAGCTCACTCAATTACCGAAAGCTTGCGGTACGAAAAACTAGACGAACGGTATGAAACAGTCACTGAGGCCCACCAAAAGACCTTTGAGTGGATCTTGAAGCCGAGGCAGAATGACGACGGGGTTATTTGGAGCGATTTTGTCCAGTGGCTTCGGGAAGGCGACGATCTTTTCTGGATCACTGGTAAACCTGGATCTGGAAAAACGACACTGATGAAATTCATCTACGAGAACCCCGCGACCGAGGAGCACTTGCGCATTTGGTCGAAAGACACACCTCTGTCTGTTGCGGGATTTTTCTTTTGGTGGGCTGGCACTGAAAAGCAAAGATCTCAAGAAGGCCTTCTTCGCACGCTGCTGTACAGTCTGCTTCGACAAATGCCTGTTCTCGTCCCGTACGTGTTTCCATCGCAATGGGCAGGTCGGTACGCTTCCCTGACTGGGCTGAGGAAGGTCAACTACGTATGATTCCTCCCTTCTGGATCGAGATCGAAGTTGACGAAGTTCCTAGCTTGAGGTGCACCAACAATGGAGCCTCGGGGTTTTGACGAAAGGATTTCAGAGACTTATCACGCAACGTGAAATCCCAATGAAACTTTGTCTATTCATAGATGGGCTCGATGAGTACGAAGGACGCGAAACTGACATTGCCGACCTCTTCAAGGATGTTGTCCTTTCATCTCAGGTTAAGGTCTGTGTGAGCAGCCGCCCTCATGTAGCCTTCGAAACTGCCTTTAAAACCCGACCAAAACTCAGAATGCAAGACCTCACCCGCCAGGATATACATCTTTATATCACAGACCGTCTGGTCCACGATAAAATGATGGAGGAGTTGTCTCTCCAAGAACCTATTGCGTGCGCAAAGCTAGTCGAAGAAATCAGTGAGGCAGCTCTCGGCGTATTCTTATGGGTTGAGCTGGTGGTGAAATCTCTCCTCAATGGGCTCAGCAACAAAGATCGTATCGAGGACTTGCTGAGAAGATTGAAGGCTCTCCCTCGGGGCTTGGCCGCCTTCTACGAACATATAGTCATCAACATCGACAGCATATACCAAGAAGAAGCATCTCGCTTGTATCAGTTAATGGCGGTCACGCTGGAATGGCCGGACGATTGGACACCTGCACAACAACTTACATTAGTCTCAATGTACTTATCAACACACCAAGAGGAACTACAGGGTCGGGACTTCGCGGTCGCCTTCCGAGACAAATCCTTTGTGCTAGGTAAATGTAAGGAGACGGACGTCTTTCTGAGAACCCGTTGTGGTGGTTTGCTCGAGTTGCAATACGGACTCGGAAGTACCGAGATTGTACCAAGCTTGAAGGTGTCTTACATACACAGAACAGTCATGGAGTATCTTGAAGAGCGAGCTACTCGACGACAACTCTTAGATCGGACACGAGGAACAGGACAACAAACTTTCGACCCCAATCTTGCAATTCTCAAAGCTCTCTGCTTTCAATTCAGTCTGGAATCTTCTCTTCAGGATTGGTTTGGAACTCCCGTCGCGGCTCTCGTCATAACATATGCTCGAAGAGTGGACCAGAACAAGAATATACCGGAATCGGAATTGAAAAGCCTCTTCGACGACATCGGTCCCACCTTGGGATGGGAGTCGATGCTGCCCATCGCCGTTCAAGGATGCCTGACAAGATATCTCGGAGCAAAGCTTCAGGGGATTGACTTGGTCGCTGGAGCGCAAACTCAACGCCCTCTTCTCGACATCGCATTGGTTCCTACACCCGACTCGGAGCGTTTCATCCGCCCAGAAGTAGTCAAGCTCATTCTCTCATTTGGAGCAAAACCCAACCGGAAATTTGAAGGCCAAAGCCCATGGCAGAATGGCCTCTCATACCTCATCACCAACCATGGCCATTTAAGCTCAGCCATGATCCAGTTTTGGGCCGAGATTGTCATAGTCCTACTGGAAAATGGAGCAAATCCCCTGACCCAGTGCCACGGACCAGAAAAATTTGAGCAAAGAGGAAAGAGCAAGAAGAAAATAAGTGTAGGTAATTTATGGACTGCCGAGGAGGTGATTGGTCGAGTTTTCGGTGGCTCGGGAGAGCGCCCACGCCTTCTGGCGTTGTTGAAGGACAAGAGTAGGCCGGAAAAGAAAAGCAAGTGTCGTCAACAATAGTCTGGCTGCTAGGCTGCTGAAAACTAGCGAACATGCCCGCAGATACATACGTATGGTCTGTCTATCATGTACTTGAGTGGGAGTAACAAAGTGTTCCTTGTGCAGCTTGTCTTTTCATGGGGTTGATTATGGGGTTGATCATCTCCACCTCCCTCTCCATCACCCTAAGTTACCCCCTTAATGCCTCGGGTCCCAAGCGATTACTGTGGGAATTCCCTCTCGTCTACACCTGCTTGATATCTTGGAAGGATGTTTTTACAAGATGCCGTTTTTGCTAGGTAGGAAGAGGACAAGCCACGACCGCACTAATGTGCTTGTGTGACGGTGTTACATATCTGCGTTTTGGACAGAAGGGGGAGGTTGGGATAGGTCCTAGCAGCTGAAAAATGACCAAAATAGAGGGATAGCCTAGATCTATAGACGCAGCGTTATAAAGCACATGGAATTCATGAATTGGCTTCTGAGGCGCTAAGTTGTGCTCCGCTCCGTACTCTTTCTCTGTTTATTTTTCCTTAAGCGAGCTCTCTTGTCAATAACATCAAAATGGTTATTGAAAAACAAAGAATCGGTCAAGGAAGGAACAACTCAAGGACCTCGGGGATCCCTTAGAAATCCCGGCGAACGGAGTTTTGAAGTCGTTTCATACCCAGAGTCGTGTACTGAGGTAGGTTTCCGTCGCTCCCTTCAGAGTCGTATGCTGAGATGGGTTGTTGTCGGTCTACACTTACGAGTTAGCTGGGTTTTCGTGTGTGGCTGTTAGCCACTCGTCCAGACCTATCGATCCCACTTTAAGTTTAAAGCATAAGTATCCACGCTGGTCTACACTGAGCCCCCTTCTCAAAGCTTGTTGTGCCAAAAACTCGCTTGTTTGAGTATATTAGGGTAGGTCCGATTCGGAGCGATTCAAGTGTTTGTGATGTGGGAGGCACTCCCCTCGTGTGCTTTTCGTGTTAACTGCTTATTTGCATGTCTGCCTGTATGCGATGAGCAAAAGTTTATGATCACAGATATTGATTTGTGGGGCACGAATAGGCATGCGTATAATCTTAGTCAAGATCTCCTGTCCTGTATTCATTCTACAGATACAAATAATACAGAAACGAAATCATGCCTTTTCAGGTCAACGCAAAACAGCTCTAATCCAAAGGAAACGACAATTCCAAGCCAAATGACCAGATCAACCTTCTGTAATGGCCTTCCCAATGAGAATGTAAATAAAAATCAGGCTCAGACTCCCTGAAACAAGACCAACGCAAGCTCCATATCCAAAATGCGCACACCATCAAGCCCTCTAATACCCATACTCTGACCGCCGCGTCCTCCCATTCCGCATCGCCCCATGCCCACCCCCAAGCAAAAATTCGTATCGATCCTTCTTTCCCTTCTTGAACAACCCTCCAGGCGTGGTTCTCGAGAAACCCAAGCGAATATTGGGCATTTGCTGTTGGTTATAAAATGATGCTTCATCTTCATCTTCGTCTCGGTGGCGACGACTTCCTACTCGATTATACGGCGTACAGTAGATGGGGTATCTGCAAATTGGCGCCGGAGAATTGAAAGGAGAGTTGTTGAGCTCATCCAGAGGGATGGTACGGATAGACTGTTGACCTTGCTGCTGAATCATGTAGATGTTCCCGCGTGGGTCAAGGCCAGGGATATTGCTATTAACGTTGCTGCCGTTGCCTCCGAAGTCAGGATCTCCGGTCTTGGTCTGCTTCAGCTTATGGACAGTCTCGTCAATCAAGTTTGCTTTCTTTTCGAGCTTCGCGACTTTGCTCTCAACCACTTCCATTCGGTCGCGCATATCGGGAATTGCTGAAGTCAAAAGGTTTTGAATATCACCAAGGCGTTTATCTCTCTCGTCCCGCTCCTTCCTGTAGTCCTTAACACCCATTTTGTTCTTATCAAGCTCTCCAAGTCGAGTATTCGTGGTGGTTTTCCATTTGTCGAGTTCTTGCTGCCAATACAAGCTTTTCTTTTGGGTCGACGCAAAACTCTTCAACTCGGCATCTATTCTAGTCTGCCAATCCACAAACTCGCCGCTCTTCCATTTTTTGAGCTTGGTCAATGCATCATCTGTTGTAGTCTTCCATGGCGCAAACTCTTTTTCCTTCCAAGTTTTGAGCTCGTTTAAGTCAGTATCTGCTGACTTCTTCCAAACTACGAGCGCTTCAACTCGATCGTCGCTCTTATTCCAGCCGAAAACCATTCTGAGGGAAACCTCTGGATTGAAACCTGTCGAGTTGTGATGGTAGGGCTTCTGACAACAGGAATGTAGGAAGAATAGTAACGTTGAACGACGGGTTTGTGTAAAATAGTTGCAAGAGATATAGTTGACTGTCCAGAATGACTGAAGTTGGAACTATGTTCCATGAAAGCCACTTGACTATGACTGAGCTGCACAAACATGCATCCTGAATGATTCTAGAGAAAAAGTAGACTGTAAACGAACCCAAAAATACTTCCTCACAAAAGACGGAATATCATAATGCATAGCTTGCTTCCTTCATCATTATGACTGACATGATGATGGGAGAAGACAAGCACTGTACTTTCACACCATCTTCGAGTGGGTGCTTCTATGTAGGCCACCTGTATAGTACAATATTCTACACCCCTCCCGTATGCATCTCATGATATTCCTAATGGCTTCAGGACCTTCTCCCTAGCAACTCTCGCTGCAACATCTCCTCCCTTTTGCAATGCTATTGCTCCGATAATGGCGTACGTGGTATGGGCTAAAATTAATTCTAAACCGGAGTGGTTGAGATGGTGTAGCTGTTCATTGTCAGTACTGGTTTTCAACATGCAAACTGAAATTCTTACATCTCTCGGTGTCCATCGGATAATTTCCTGCATGCCGTTCGCCTTCGCGAGTCCAGCAAGCCTCGTCTTCGACAAAACTTCGGCAAGCGGTACGTCGGACAAGTTTGCTAAGCCTTCCAACGCAGGATGTGTAAAAGGTGTGCGATCATCGGATGTATCAGGTAATGGCTGGGTTTTCGTTGCCGTTGGTGAGTGTAGTAATGTCAGATTTGTCTGAAGATTCAGGATTCGTCGCCCTAGGGTCACTTCTTAGCTCTTGCTCACAATACTGTCAACCTGGCTCCTTACCAAAAAATGCCAATCGATCATTGAAACCCCTTCGCCCCTGATCGAAACTCTTATGTGTAATTGCCAGCCATTTGACCTCCTCTGTGAGCATCTGGTCTCCTCCTCGTCCCAAGAACTTGATGTAGAACTGATCTAACAGCTCTGGATCACTGTTGCATTTCCACTGCGCGGCTGGATTTTTTATCCTCCATCGATATGGTGCCTTCATTTGCTCTGGGGTATATGACCATCTCGGTCGCTCCGCGTTGTCGCTCTCGTACTGTACATCTGGTCTGGCTGGAGATGCCGAAAATTGTCTGATCGAAGAAGCTCGGGCATTCGTCGCTCCGGCGCATTCGCAGGTCGGCCTTGCTCGTCTTGTGAGCGCCTGAAGCGTTCTTCCTGTCGATTTTGAAGCCATTGTCGCCCGCCCCTTCTAGAATTCGTTTTGGGAAGCTCCGGAGTCGAGATGTTGATGTTCTCGTCAATATAAATTCATTTGAAGCTAAACCACTTTAGGCGAGCTGCACCGAGCGCGTCCCTCTTCGCGTCAACGACATCTCCCATCTCAACTCACATCTTGTTGAACATGAGCTCAATATTCTGGTATGTTATTTGATCATGGCCGCTCACGAGAAGCCGGACGCCGAAACATCGATTGCTTCGCCAACATTGATACAACACCTTGCTACCGTGCTCCCCAAAAGTGTTAGCTTCAAGATATACCACCTCTCTACCCCACCAACAAGGACATCCGCGCTCTATTTTCCGCCTCCCGGAACTCGACCCGATCGAACGTACTGCGAAAGTCACTTTCTCACAGCTTCTATCTGTACGCCAGCGAAGGACAATGCATCAGAGACGGTAGAAGTACTGGTTTTTGCGGTCGAGATTCTGATTTACTCAACGGCATATGACAGCACGTTCTTTGTCTCCAAGGCAGACTCGACAGGCTACTTGCGTCTTCTGGGCTTGGCCAAGGGAACGCCCTCTCCTATCAGAGACATCACTGCTACGTTCCTTCGCCATCTTGTCGAACAGCACCAGCGACAGAATATTCGAAGTGTCATCTCCCTGTTCGCCCGCGCCCAAGACCAATATCTCTTTCCTGGAAGCGTCGAATATAGTGGGAAACACGTTCTAGATGACCGAGGGCTTGTCCGCTGGTGGTGTCGGGTTCTGGACCCACTGATTGAGCAGTCAACCACTACGACAGCTGCGGACCCGTCACAATGGGAGTCTGTCAAGGGATACTTGACTATTCCTGGTCTCGACTCTCACGAAACACTGTCCTATATCCCTAAGAACGCAGGCTCAAATCAGCCATGGCAGATAGGGCACCCATTGAAGGAGATCTCAAGACATTCGGATGATGTACCTCCCCGGTGTCTTATCCCTCACTATCCTGATGATCCAAAAGCAAGATTCTTGGATGAATTAGACGACGAAGTAACGAAGAGCCGAAATACAAATGGCCAATGGAAGAGTGTGAGATCAATCGATCAATTCTGGGATATGATGGCCTTCCGACAAGAATGTTCCGCTGGCAGACTAGTGGGGTTCATATGGATTGTCTTCACTCCCAAAACTCTGCATCAACCTACCGAGTCTGCGCTTGGATATAGCCAGAGCACCCTTTTCTCGAACGATAGTCAGACTTGGGACTCCAGCTTCAGTCAACCTACCATACCAGAATACTCTGGCCTGCCTGTCACACCAGCGACCTCCTTCAATGCTTCTAGCCAGGTCCAACCAATGACTTCACCTTTCAAACGGTATATAGATGACGCTCCTTCAGCGTCACAGCAATCAACAAAGTCCTCCAAACCCCCCACACCAGTCAAGAAGAAGAAAAAGCTCACGGGGCCCATCATTCCCCGGCAACCTCGCATCAAAACCGAAAACAAAAACTACCTTCTTGACCGACCAGAAACAAGTCCTTACTACGTGTGGCATCCCGAGAGTAGAGGACAGATCATTGTGGACGAGTCGAGCTATAAACGAGTCACCGAGCTGCTTCTTCGTCTCGACTTTGCCAACCTGGATCTTGCAACTTCAAGTTCCAACCGCTGGATTAACGAAGTTCGCTCTGGAGCCCGGGGCAGCATGAGCGAGGCATGGGGCCAAGCTGTCACCGGAACAAAGGTCGTGGAAGTACGTACACAGGCTGCTGCTGCCGGTGTGAATACATTAACGATGGGCTTGGTGAGGAAGAAGAGAAAGGGGGGGCCAGAGGAGTCGAAAGAGCCACCCGCTTCTTTCGCACTTGACACCGCGCCACCCGAGGTCAATGTTCTGTCTTCAGGGATGATTCGAAAGAAAGTAAAATCATGATGTGCGTATGGCGTTTGGATCAGGGAATCTGGCATGGAAAAAGGTGATGAAATGGAATGCTTTTCCTGGATCTGGAGCTGGGGTTTTAACGGCGCTCTACATGATATTCCAAATACCCAGGATAATGAAATTATTAAGGAGAATTCGCTTATTCCGCTCTCTCTCTCTCTCTCTCTCTCTCTCTCTCATGCTGCTCTCGATCAATTTATGGCCTGAATGATGAAGTCGTATTTTCCATTGCGGTTTTACATCTGCAAGTTGATGCATACTGGGCCCTTTTTAAACGAAGAGAGGATCGACCAGATCAACTATCTCCTCGTCATCGCGAACTTCATCAACCTCAATTAGGAATATATAGCAGTTCATCCGCAAATCCAAGACTTCAAGGCGAAAGGGCAACAGCAGGTCTTTCGGCTTTATTCTTTGCTTCACTTGGTGTTCGGAATCACGCTCTCGTTCCCGCCTGCCTTACTCGACCCCAACCTCGCTCCCCCTTTCTGCGCAAACCAGTCCAGAAATTGGAACATACTAGCTTTAGGATATCGTTCCAGTGATGTCTGGTTGAGATACTGCATCCCAAACTTGACACTGCTCCCAGCAAACCATTCGAAGTTGTCGTAGATCGCCCATCCAAAGGCGCCAGTCACATTGACACCTTCACATCATCAGCATTGCTCAAAATTGACTCCAAAGAGGGGGGGTTACCATCTTCAACCTTCGCAGCAAGAATATTATCCAAAAACCCCTGATAATAATCCGCTCTCCTCAAATCCCACAGTATCGCCGGGAGACTCTTCTGCTGTCCCTCAAACGGCTCCGCGAACCCAAACTCACTTACCACAATATCAGGAATTGTTGGAAACAGCTCCTTCGTAATCGTGTTCAAGAATTTTCGTATTGCAACAGGCGTACTCCACAACCAATTAACGCCGTTGTCAGCAGCTGGACCGAGAGGGAAGCCATCAGCGCCTACACTGCTACTCCCAGCACACTCCGGATATCCTGGAGCGGAAGAATTGGCAGCGCATGCAGCGGAGCCGCCGTCGATGCCGTAGCCAATGTAGCCTGTGTACCCGTCGATGGCATAGAAGTCGCACGATCCTTTAATCATGTCTTTTTCCGCCTGCGTGAAAGTAGGGAGCATGGAGCCGAGCGTTGCTTTCAGCATTGGAGAGTAATCGCCATCGCGCCAGCAGCCGCCGAACCAGCCTAGTATGAACTCATATTGTCGAGCTACGGCGTCGATATCGGCCGCGGATGCTGTGTTATTTGGTTCGTAGTAATTCCCTGAGTTCTTGAAGGTTATTCGTCCTTTTCCTTTGAAAACTTCGTGGTCTAGGTAATGGGGTTAGCATTGCTAGATTAAGAATGTTTCTGGAGAGGACATTGTCTCAGAAGAAAGTCATGAAACAGTCTGAAATAGGAAAAGGTTTCTCCCCCAACACCTACACCATTTTGAGACTTTGGCGTGAGCGAGGATGGTGAAGTGGCTGCAGGCGATGCGAGCTTTCAGCCCACCGGTGATTCCGTGGTAGGCCGGGTAGAGCCCTTTGGCGTTGCCGGCGTGGTAGACGCTGTATTGCCAGTTGCAGTATTGGGGTTCGTTGAAGGTGTACCAGATTGGAACGTACTGGTCGTAACGACTGATCACGAACGTTGCGTAGTTGAAGAAGTCGTCCACGATTCGGGAATCTGTCCAGGCGCCGTACGAGTTGAAGAGAGCGAGTGGGGTATCTGGGTATGTTCAGCGGAGCGGGCCATCAAGGAGGCGTGGGATAGTGATAGTTACCCCAGTGGAACAGGGTCACTGCTGGCTTGATTCCGAGTGCAACCATGCTAGCAATCACATCGTCGTAATGTGCCACTCCTTCCTCATTCACTGGGCCATTTCCAAAAGGGAAGAATCTGGGCCTGTGTCAAGTCAGCCTTCTTTCATGGTATTGGGATTCTGGTATTCCTGCCATGAAAATGACGGCGAGAAATATGGAACCCCCAAATTCGCAAGGCGTGCGAAATCCTGCTTATAAAGGTAATAATGGCTAGCCACCACATCCCCGGTAGAATTATCTGCAACAACTCCATAATCTCTATGAGCAATCAAGTCCCAAATTGACGGTCCCTTCCCTTCGTCTTTTGCTGCTCCCTCAACTTGGTAGGCACTGGATGCCAAACCCCAGATGAAGTTGCCTGGCAATTGGGCGGAATTGAGATCAGTGTCGTATGTCGGAATCTATTCACCATCAAAAGTGCTCAGGAGTGTAATAACGGATATTTACCTGTGGGTGTAAAGATCCGGGTCGGGGATATGTTGAGGGTTCTGGAGTTGGAGAGACTGTGGTTGTGATAGGTCCAATTGCAATTTTGCCTACTTGGTTCCATAGCATGGCCAGCTCTTCATTACTGTAGTTGTACTGCAATGCAGTTGTCGCGGCGGAAACATTGTAGACTTTTGTAGCATATCCTGAAGGAGGCGGAAACGTCACCGAAGGTATCGACGAGCTCGAATTCCAATTCGTGTTACCCAGAGCAGTCGCTGCTAACGAAAACAGCCAGCCCCCATTGATAATAAATCTTCTAGATACTACCATGGTTCAGAGCAATTGGACTGCAGCAGATCTCCGCGTCGACGAAGCAACGCAAATTGGGGGGACGGAAAGTTTATATCTTCTCTAGACTGATGGATCCAAGGGTCTTCGTGATATCATGTTGCATGTCCCCGCACTCTCTGGGTAAAACCACATAAGGAAATGATTCGACAGAACGTAGGAGTGTAATGTAAAGTACAAGGGTATAAGGAAACGCATGTACGAGGATAATGGAATAGCACTTGCTCACAGTAACCGTAGTGACAGAGGCAGTGTCATCTTCGGAACTGCAGGCTCCGAAGCACCGAAGATGGCACGAACCGCAGAGAAGACTTGAAGTTTATGTAGCACCGGAATATCGCCGTTACAGTAAGCTTACGGAGAAACTCAGAACATTGGAGGGAGTGCTGGGTAATATACTTAGGATGCTTGGAAGTTTCGCAGAGAGGACCACATCAACCCCGCACTCACCCCTGTTCGTCTATGTGAAATCTCGTCCCTGGCCCTGTTCACGGCAGCGATGGCCGGGGAGCCGCGGGTGATGCTACCACATAATGGCTAGGGATAAGGCCAAGTCCAGAGGAACAGCATATCTTATGTGAGGAGTCTCTTCCACTTGAAACCTTTCCCCAGGACCCCCAGGTTTCGAGCCATGGCCGTTCGGCGTCTTCCGACTTGAAGCTCAGCCGCAGAACAGAGTGTGGGAGCTAGATGGCGCCATAAAAGAAGGGTTCGATACCAGTATGGCAGAAGGAGATTAGAAATTGTACTTAGCTTTTCATTGAATCGTTACCCATTCGTACCTTCCACAAGTTACCACTGGTGGTCGTGAAAGCGATCTGGCCATACTACTAAAGTAGCGACTTGGCCACCACCACATTGGTGTTCCTCGCTAAGCTTATGCACGGATCAGCTAACCGGAAGTACCTCCTATACAAATCTACTATGTAAAATACTTGGCCAAGTCGCTAGTATGGCCAGATCGCTTTCACGAACCACCACTGGTAACTTGTGGAAGGTACGAATGGGTAATACCTCAAACTTTTAGAAAGAAAATTACCATATTATCTGGGTTATAAGCCCACCCTATGAGATTAGACTCGCCCTTAATAGGCTCTGGTACGGCGGCGAAGGCGAGGTCGGGCCTTATACTAGGCTATAAGCTAGCCGAACGAGGAATTAAAATTCTATCATTGACGGTAACTTATTCTAGCTAATATTATTAAGTAAGGAAGCTATTTACTCTTAGATAACTTATTAATAGCATACAGTAGCCTTGGAGAAGTATATAAAGTACTATAGAGTACTTGCGAGGCATTATAAGGAGGGAGCAAATTGCTGGGTCACCCGCATTAGCCGAACACGTGCAAGGCCCACTCGGCTTCCCCTGCCACTTGACCTCTTCCCGTCAATCCCCGGCCCAGACCCCAGCCATCCCCGACCCTCCACCCCCCACCCCCCACCCGAGCGAGATCTGTGAGCTTCCTCTGACTCGGGCTGGGTGCGTTGAGCCCTCCACTCGAGTCGCTGACAAATAAGAGAGACTTTTCCGACGCCGGCTAAATCCTCACGAGATGGGGAGAGAAGGCTGGGCCTGGCTGCCAGCGGCTGGCCTTTTCACGGTCTTGGAGGTCCACGAGTCCCACGACTCGTGAAGCTTCCAATCACCAGTAATGTGGAGACGAGAAGCCATGCATCTCACAGTCTCACTGGGATTCTCGCGGGGTGAGCGCCATCAAACCAACTTTTCGCCGGCCACATGGCCAACCCCAGATGCCCCTTGTCTGGAATTGTCGAGGTGCCCGCGCTGAGTAGCGAATAACACCCCCCGGCTCCAGACGATCTCAGAGTCTAACGGATGAAAATTTTACCACTAAGGCGGGGAACTGATCGGGTGCAGAGCGTCACCCTCACCGTTGGGGTCTGCTCTGCTGAGCCGAGACTCGAGGTGGAAGATGCTTTATCTCTCTCATCCCCAGGTCATCATAAAAGCGTGATACCCCAACTTCTAAAAGATCGACAAGTGTCAGAGAGTCCTAAACCCTTGATTGTGCTTCTCTCTTTGCATTCATTGAAACCACGTCAAAGAAGCCAAGATGGGTCATTTCACCAAGGTCGAAGATAGGCCTACCCCGAAGTGTGTCTACAATTGGCGAGTCTATGGCCTCGCTGCTATGGCAGGATCTGCTGCTATCATGATCGGTAAGGCCTGTTCTCGTCTCGACTTGTTACTGTCCCTAGGGAGCCGGGCTCCTCAAGTTCATAATGCTAACATCCTTGCAGGCTATGACAGCGCCTTCATTGGAACTACAATTGCCCTTCCTTCGTTCAAGGCAGAGTTCAAAATGACTCACCTGTCCTCCTCCGCAATTAACCTTCTGAGCGCCAACATTGTCTCCTGCTATCAAGCCGGTGCATTCTTTGGAGCTATCTTCGCCTACCTTGCAGCATTCTTCTTGGGCCGCACATCGGGCCTGGCTGTCTTCTCTGCCATTTTCACTCTTGGCGCAGGCCTTATGTTGGGAGCAAATGGTGAGAGGGGATTGGGTCTCATCTATGCTGGTCGTGTCCTTGCCGGTAAGTTTTGCCTACTCGCCAGCATAGTTTGTGCTGACCTCTCCAGGGCTCGGAGTTGGAGGAGCAAGCAACCTGGCTCCTATCTACATCGCAGAGATCTCTCCACCTGCCATTCGTGGACGACTTGTCTGCATGTTCGAACTTGGATGGCAAATTGGTGGCTTGGTTGGCTTCTGGATCAACTACGGAATCTCTTTACACGTTCCAAAAATGTGGATCGTGCCCTTCGCAGTCCAACTCATTCCATCGGGCATCTTGTTCATTGGTAGCTTCTGGCTTCGCGAATCGCCGAGATGGCTGATGTCCAAGGGGCGGAGAGAGCTTGCGGTGAAGAACCTGTGTTGGATGCGAGAACTCCATGAGGACGACATCTACATCAAAGAAGAGATGTATGCCATTGAGACAGATATTGAGCGCCAAATGGCAGGCGGCGGCATGGGTTTCTGGCAACCATTCAAACTTCTTGCTTCCAATCGACACATCCAATGGCGATTCTTCCTCGGGGGATCTCTCTTCTTCTGGCAAAACGCTTCTGGAATCAACGCCATCAACTACTACTCCCCAACGGTTTTCAAGAGTATTGGAATTACTGGACTCAACACCTCACTCTTCACTACTGGTCTGTTCGGTGTTGTCAAGACCGTTTTCACTATCATCTATCTCGTCTTCCTCATTGATCAGTACGGACGAAGGAGACTGTTGATGATCGGTGCGGCCGGTGGCAGTCTCTGCCTGTGGTATGTGGGGGCGTACATTGCAATCGCCAAACCTGCGCTGCATCCGACGCAGTCACTGCCACCCTCGGGGATCTCGGCCGTCTTTTTCTTTTACCTTTGGACTGTGAGTAGCTGATCCACGTTTACAATTGATTCTTCTAACATTTTCTAGGCATTCTACTCCCCAACATGGAACCCAACACCCTGGGTTTACAACTCAGAGATGTTCGACCAAAACGTCCGCACACTAGCTCAAGCATTCGCAGCCATGAACAATTGTAAGTGTTGAAAGATATTCTGTCTAATATTTGAGCAATTGCTAACTTCTCTCGTAGGGTTCTGGAATTTCATGGTCAGCCGCTTCACGCCACAAATGTTCGCTACCATGGGCTACGGAGTGTACTTCTTCTTCGCCGCTCTGATGATCTGCTCCGTCGTCTTCGTGTACTTCCTCATGCCTGAGACAAAGAACATCCCATTGGAAGGCATCGATCGTCTCTTCGACCGACGCCTGAAGGCGAGGGAGGCACACAGCATCGTCTGGAAGGAATTGGCCGAGGAGGAAGAGGCTCTACGCATCGGGCTCACATCTGGCAGCATCGAGAAGGATACAGCTACTGCGCAAATCGAGAATGTCGAGCAGAAGGTTTAATTGTACCGAGATATCTTTATGAGCATGTTTCAGATATATGGTCAAAGCAGACTGCTGCGGACAAATGTACTTGACTAGATGGTGCTATGGAGGTCTTCCATGGCCACACCATTTGAAACGAAATATATTATTATGAGCTTTGATCTATCAACTACTAATATGATGAAAAGAAAGGGTTATTCGAGAAATATACTGATTTAATCCCGTCTTCCATTTTACTCCAGAGCATTCCACATCTGAGAAGACGCAAAGACGCAAATCTCGATGGCTTACATGTCCTTCCAAAATCATTTGGAGTTGTGTCAACTATCAGAAACTGTGCGAGCCAGCCACCGCCTCCTGGTAGTTGTTCCTTCACATGTATCCATTGAGGTAAGGATGCTGAGATTGTTGGGACCGGGAGATGACGGATAGCAGAGAGAACCAAGCTCCAACATACGCAACGTGAACGACGGCGCTGGCCAGGACGACTCACAATGGAAATTGTGGATGGCTCGGATGGCTAACAAGCTCAAGTCGAGTCTGGTCCCCCAATGGGGCAGACTGCGGGCCAATCTGGGGCTCCGCGTCGATTTCGGCGGAGTGTCTCCCATCTGCTCAACCTTTATCCGCCCAATACATCCAGCAACGGCCACCTCAACTCCTCACAATCCAAATCCAGCCATCGGCCATGAATACATTCCCCATCTAGAATTCGTGTAGATCATAAAATGAAACGACCACGAGATTGATCCCTCGAGGTCGAGATTAACGACAGATCCTTCCTTCTCAGAACATATGCATGACCGTACTAATGACATAACGCCAAAAGCTAGCCATTTACACCGTCGTTGCCACTTTGGGGATCTAGCAGCGTGATGGGTTGATGCTCATGTCGAGAGAAGAAATCTGGACGTCGAAAATTTGAATTCGGGTTCGAGATCACGTGCTCAAGAGATTAGCGCGGTTTTCAATGGGAGGGAAATGATTGGACAATGAGACTGGTGCGATTGATGACTTGCCGAGGGCCGGGTTCATCAGAGCATCATCGTCCACGACATCGAGAGCCTCTGGTTTGCACTTCACCATTGTTCTCTGTCGACGAGAGACACACTCCAAACACTCACGATGTTGGCCCAACGAGCAACCCAGCAATCGCTGCGCCAGCGTAAGTCTCCCCTCTCAATTGGCACCATACCACCTCTCTCCCCATAGCCTGCATCGGATAGCTAAAAGCCTCCCAGTCGCAGCCAGCAACCCCTCAATGGCCTCACAGATGGTATTCAAGAGTTTTGCCGTCGGATCATCACTGCAGACCCGGTACGTTTTCCGATTCTGCCCAAAGCCTCAACTCGGGGCCTCGAACGACATGAACTGACGTCCTCCCAGACCCGTAGCAACTCAAAAGATGACCCCTGCCGACAGCTACCAAATCCTCGTCGCGCAACGAAAGAACCGCCCTACCTCGCCCCATCTCACCATCTACAAGCCGCAAATGACCTGGATCCCGTCAGCACTGAACCGCGTCACAGGCTCGGTACTGTCCGGCGGATTCTACGTTTTTGGGGCGGCGTACTTGGTGAGCCCGTTGTTTGGATGGCATCTGGATAGTGCCAGTATGGCGGCGGCGTTTGGCAGTCTGCCCGTAGCTGCTAAGGTGGCGACGAAGTTTGCGGTCGCGATGCCGTTTACGTTTCATAGCTTCAACGGACTGAGGCATTTAAGTTGGGATTTGGGGAAAACGTTTCAGAATAAGACAGTTATCACGACGGGATATGTTATGTTGGGGGTTAGTACTGCGAGTGCGTTGTGGTTGGCGTTGTTTGCTTGAGGGGAGAGTGGGAGAGCTGTGGATGGGAGGAAAGATTGGGACCAAGGAGGGCATACATGGAAACCTGTGTGAAGAATACAAATGACGATTGCGTTGCCAATTCAGCACTTTCTACTGCGACTATTCTGTGTCCTACGAGTCAAATAACAAACGAATTGAAGGGAATTTGGGTGAAGTCTGGAACAACTCATGCCACGAAGGTTGGATTACTGCAATTCCTAAAGTCAACACCCTGAAGACTATGACAGCCCTAACTTCTAAGCTCCTATGTCTTGGAGCCCCTAAATATTCTTTCCCATCATTAAATCATCAAATTATCTGTCATAACCTCCCTGCCGCCTCCCACACTTCACTTCGGCACCTCCCCCGGGACCTCAACCTCAAACGTAGCAAACTGCGCCATGATACTCCTCTGCTTCTCCTGCATGCTCTCCCCGCCCTTCATAGCCTCCGCCAACATCCTCAAATAATCCACATAATACGCCGGCGTAAACGTGTTAAAGAACTCCGCCTCCTCGTCAAACGGGTTGCTGAACGTATGAATCGCTTTCGTCGGTACGATTACGTAGTCCCCGGCTTTGCTGTCCACGATCCCTTTGTCGGTCGTGAAGCGGATTCGGCCTTTGGTGACGAGGAAGGTTTCGTCGTGCATCCTGTGCCAGTGGAGGATTGGACCGGGCGTTTTGCCAGGAATGGTCAGGGACATACTGCCGATGCGGTTGTCCGTGTTGCGGCCGTCCTCGAGGATGCGAACTGTGGGTTAAAGTATTAGTATTTCCAGTTTGCAAAATGTGCGGAGCCAAGTGGTGTAGAAAGAGGGTCGTTGGCGTTATGTGAGGGGTGCTGGACGAAGGGAGGTATTTGAAGGCTGGAAACAATTGCGAGGATTCAAGGAACTCGATTATTCTTACTTGTAACAGGTCCCATCTTGATAACCTCCCCCTTCTCAGACTCGACGAGAGTTATATCTGGCATTGTTGTTGATAAAGAGGGGAGAGCTTAGAGAGCTGAAAGGAATCAAGTGTGTGACCTGACGATGTATTGTAGACCGGAACTGAAGTTGGGGAGGACCAGAGATTGAAATTGAAACGATCTGTGTCAAGGTCTTAATTAGCGATGGTCGTGTCAACGGACGAAGTTCTTACAAGTGCTTTGGCTAAATCACGCACTTGTTGTATGCCGGAGCTGAAAGTTCGCATCGCATGGCCAAATTCGGAAGGCGGGGTCAGCCGGTGGGATCTATCCCCTGCAGCAACACAATAATTGCTCCCATCTACTCATGAGGGCCTGCACTGCAATTTAGAACGGACAAAGGGTGTCTCTCGACTAGAGTTCAAAGAGAACATTTCACTACAAATTTGCTCACGGTGATCAGATAGTTTAGTTGATTGACTAGTCGAAACCCTTTTCATATTCCAGGCTTGCTTGAATCATTAATTCCAGAACACGGCTTCTTATTCTGAGTTATGAGACTTGTGAATAAAGGGAGAGAGTTGTGGCGCTGTGTGTGGAACCAGGAAGGAAGAAGGAAAGAAAGGTGAAATCAACTCGAAGTTCGAATGCCCTTCGTTTTGGTAAGACCAGTGAATCAAAGACCGACACTTTAAAGGGATGGATAAATATTAATCCCTACTCTGCCGTTATTGCTTCCCCCGATCCTTGGGCCTGCGCCGGATGGAAATGTTCTATCCACGACTGGGAGTTTCCCTCACTTGACGTGCAAATATTTCAGGGGGCTTCTCTCCATTCATATGATTCAGAAACGCCAGGGGAAATGGTATGTCGCTCAGAAAGAGGGCATTTCTTACTGGAATAGTTAATGCATCAACTCATAGGATGATAAAGCGCACCCCTGGTTCGCAGATGAAGGAATTGATACATGATGCTAGCTATACTCTAACTCTTGTCAGCTATCCAAAGCTCGTGAGTTTAGCGGGGAGACTAGACTCTTACCTTATCGTTGGAAGAAAACTTTTCGTGGGTGAGATGTCTCTATGTCCCTGCTATCAATGAAAACGCTCACACAGAGTTGCAAGAGGATCTTCCTCCCAACCACTCAGTTGCTGCCCCTCAATTGCTCACTGATGTTCCTCTGCTGCTCCTCTGTAAGATACAAGCTGAGCATGAAATGAGTCCCATCCCTCGATAATCGCTCAAGTTCCGACTCGCCTTGCGGAACCTCCGCCAGAGCAAGTCTTGAGAGTCCACAGAACTCAGTGCCATACCACAACGGTTGCCCAGCTGCGTCGGTTCCTTGTGTGCCACCTCGAACCCAGGACTGATTGCAACCGGTAAGCATTGGGCTGAATGCATTGCTGATAGCCTCCGGAACATGCAAAACATCCTCCAACACCAAAGTGTGTGTGCTCTGGTCCTGGGGGCTGTGCTTGACTTCCAATTCTACCGTTCCGATGCCAATAGCCAGACTGCCTCCGACATTTGCGTTGATTGGATAATACTCCTTGAACCAAGATCGATCCTTGGCGTAGTGACTGCCCATCACGATTATCCAGTCATAGCAGCGTTGTGAAGGCGGGGTTATCTGCTCCTGCTGCTTACGATGTTCCTTGACGTCCCTGAAGTGTTCTCCAATTTCGCCCATGGTGTCAATAGATAAAGGGTACGGATGGTTAAGGTTTGGTTGAGCCGGTCTTGTGATGAATAAGTCCAGTTGTCTTTGGTAGCGAAGCTTGTGTGAGTTGGAGGCAATATTCCGTGATCACACAACTGACTAAAGTCAGTTCTGTGGTAATGATACTTCGAAAAGGAAACGAGAGATCCCTTTCCCATTGAGCATTTTACATCTGTTTGCTCCATACGCGGTTGACAAGAAGGGTATGGATCGACATTCTCGTGGTCTGACAAGTGGGTTAATGATTCGTTTTTCCGCCACGAAGTAGCTCGACCGGCTTAGTTTGCTAATAGAGAGCTGCTGAAGGACTAGAGAGTCACACCTCTTTTCGATGTTTGTTAACGGAAGGCGAGATTGAAATTATTCAAACAGCGGAGGTCCGGGACGTGGCGTTAGCGGTGAGAGGGGCTGTAGCTACCCCTGTCGCCCCTTCGCCCTTAACTGAGCTAGTTTTGGAACCTGCCATTTTCTTTTGCTAGAATCGTCTGTATCAAGGATTTGATGTGAAAAACAGGGTATTGTACATGTGAGATAAGTAAGGGGTTGACCCTTTCCTCCTTTCCAATGGTTCCACCTGCAAAATAGCAAAGATCGAAGAGACCTGACGCCAAGGTAGACCGGCAAGCACGAATCATTCCACAAATCGGGTTATCACTCCTGGAATGGAGATTATGGTGGCAAAAAGGACCCAAAGAAGACAGCTACCTTTGTTAACGGATCCACATTGTTCCCCTGCCCCAGGAAGAGACGCCCCGGATCCTGCTCTCGTCTCCCTTTGAATCAAATCCTGGATGGGGGAACTTTTACCGTATCCTCATCTTCCGTTGCGTCTAGAGAAGCACCGCCATCCCTCTGGACCATCACCATGTTTTGATCCTCAATCTTGTCTCTCTCTTCTTCGTTCACAACCAGGCTCAGCGAGAAGGGCAACTTCCTTTTCACCTTTGCTTTCTCGATTTGTGAATCTCCTTCCGGATTGTTCACTATCACCAGTCGCGGCAACCCAAAGAAGTTCCTCGCATGCCACGAGGAATGCCCGCTCCCATCCGTTCCTTCAACAGTATCAGTGGCAGACCACATCTGCTGGCCATCTATCAAACCCGGGTTGAACCCGTTGCAGATAGCACTCGGAGTGTGCAAGACATCATCCAGAACCAATGTGTATGGCGTTCCATCCTTCCGCTCAACCTGTAGCTCAATCATTCCAATCCCAATCACTCGAGTCAACCCAACCTTTGCCTTTATTCGATGATATTCTTTGAAAGAGGATCGATTCTTTGCGTAGTGGTAGTCGCCCCCAACGATGATCCAATCCCAACAGCGGCGGCGTCGAGGGGGGGGATTCGATTTCCCTTCCAGCTTCTTCTGCTTCTGTTGCTTGCGATGTTCTTTCAAATCTCTGTAGTGGTCTCCGATTTCGCCCATTCTGCCTGCAGGTGGAGTGTGAGCGTCGTTCAGCAAGCTCCTCCGGGCCGTGGGATTTCGTCGGTTCGCTGACCGGTCTTGTGAGGTTGGTCCTAAAATCGGGATATATTGCACAGGATCTCCGCTCTAAGGAAGAAAGGAAAAAAGTCAGGGTGTTGAACTGATGTTCGGTGATGGCTTGAGGCAATATGCAGACCCATGAGGAGATGCATCTCGAGCTTCCCGGTGTGGGGTGCCGTAGTGCATATGCGGGGTAGCTATTGTGCCTTGCAACAGCCTCAAAGGGTTTCTTCTTACTTACCAGGATCTGATCTTCAGGAGTTATATATATCAGATACACATTGATCTTTGGGTCTTCGATGAAGGATACAGAACTTCAGAAGTCCGCTCTAGCCTCGTAATTTTGAAATCGGGGCAAGGACAGGGGTCTTCTGGTGAGACCAGAACCTGACTAATCAGCCCCTACCTAATCGTAAAGAACTCATTTGCATCCAGGACTGTCGTTTCGTTGTGAATTGAGGCCCAAGTGAGTAAGTTGTTGCCACTGGGAAGTGTAGCATAGGTTTGGGCAGATATTTTGACGCATATCTCGAGTTCCTTCTGTGAATTGCATGCGTTTTCCATCCAAAAGCCGCTTTAACGCTGCCAGCCTAGTAAGTAAAAGTCATTTCCAGCTGGTACTGTTCCCTTCCTTCATTGTAATTCAGTATCCCCCCTAAACACCTATTGTGGGCCTTTAAGTAACGTCACCCTGAAATATCGTTTATTCCTAAATTAGGAAATATCAGGTGCTTCTGAGAGTCTCCATTGGCCACAGACCCTTAAGGTAGCCAGTGCAGATGTGGTATTACTTAAGAACCCACAATAAGTATTTAGGGGAGGGTAGTAGTAGATCGCATGCAAATTCAATCATAGGCATCCCAGATTAATGCATACAACAGTAGTAGCTGATAGAGCACACGGGTCCTTCCGCTGTCGCTTCTCCACGTCAAGTGCTGGACCGAAATTGTACTTTTCCTTGGACCATCTTTGGATCAGATTTCGGTTGTTTGATGAGACCTTTCCTAAAGATTCTTTTGGGTCGTCGCAAACCAGTAAAGAATGTTAGAACAGAAAGATCTTCAATTGTGGAAATAAATCCAATTATTTGAATCGATATCTCTCAGATTCGACCTTCTCCGATGTTCCTCTCATGCAGTCTAGGAGTTCATATTGCAATAGGGAAAAGCAGCATTCGTATCAAGCATAGTTCGCCGCCACGAAAGTCAGACTCTAATCTCATCTTTGTCGCTTCCATTTTAGTCACTGGACGTGAGCAATGGCTGCTTTAACCTGAGCAAAACCTGAGCAGAGCCTGAGTAGAGCCAGACCATGATGCAGTCCCAATTGGGAGACCCTTTGCGCCCAGGCTACAGTTTCCTAGCCTACTCGTTACCAGGGGAGCCGTTCCGCTCCTTTATACGGGTTCCTTTAAGAGCCGATTTTAGACCCTTAATAGGATTCTTGTTGTACCAGTGCTCGAAGTATTGATTATAGATTCTTCTTTTCTTCTTTTCTTTTAAGTAAGATATCCTTTATTTTAATTAAGGAGCTAAGAGATATTAACTTATATTTATATAAAAGATTAGTTTAATATAGGTCACGTGAATAAATTCTCACGTATACCTCAAGTAATGTAAAATAATAGTATATCTTACGCTTGATTCTTACTTAGCCTATTAATTACTTCTATACTATTATACGGCACGAGGGCTCTCCTTAAGTACACCTTATATGCCGAACTCAAGTGATTTATGGGGCTTGGCTCCTGTGCTCATTTTCCCCTATCAGCTCTCCGGAGCACTCAACTTTATGTTCCTCACAGAGCGCATACTGTACTTGCGACATATACTATTAGTGAAGAGCTTAACTTTTGCCCACCCCTCTACTTGGGAGCGACTCAAAAAAATCAGAAAATCAGAACTTGCTTCCGAGATTTGTCGACTAACAAGCTAATTGCCTCCGTAAATCCACCAAATCGCCTTCAAGATTATCCGCTTGAATTTTTCAGATCAATCATACTGGTATTGGCCGCCATCCGTACACAGCCGTCATCTTCCTAATATTTGACAGTTTCCAACCCCCATATTCCTTTTGGACATCAGGAAGTTCCTCGATGTCAGTATGCGGCCAATTCTCTTCAGCATCGCGCTCGGCATAAAACTTTATCTGCGTCCTTTGCAAGAAAGAACTGTCCGTAACATCACAGACAACTATCATCTCCTTTAGGTCTGTCATGGCCTTCAATGCTCTCTTTAAAGCCGCCGTCGTCAACTGAAAATCGGCCACGCCGCCAAGATACGCCGAATCAATCGCGACATATTTCAGACGAATTAGCTCAGTTTCTTTCAGAATTCCAAAAAAGCGATTGAGGCCCTCCTCTTCTTCGCTAATATCTAAATAGAGGATATCGAGATCGAAATTGAACAGCACTCTTTCGGGCTGCAGAAATGACCCGAAGCAGCTAGGGTAGAGTGCCTCGACTGCCTGTCTCGATTCCCGACATACGTGGAGCGCAGCCGGAAGCGCGGCGTGCGAGTAGAAGCCATCACAGCAGTCAGACGCGAGGATCTCGACGATGCGGGGTGAAAGACTGAGTCGCCATATAATGAAGCGGATTTCGGGAGGGAGACTCGAGAATAAAGTGAAACGTTGGAGGCCGACGAGCGAGACGACAGCGGTTGATGACATCACGTGATTTGAGCTGGACGAAGAAAATTGTATGAGACTGGTTTTAAAGTTTGTTGGGAGGAGACCAAAATAAATATATGCTAGAGACCGCCAGTTTCATATCTAGCGAGACTTGTTGTGTTAGGCGCGCGTTAAACTGTCAACCACTCACACGTGCAGCACAGGCGCCACTGTCGATCTTTGAGAATGAGAATTCTATTTATAAACGAGCTCCTCGTATGTGTAGCCAATCAAAAAATTCTAGCCGGACTCTCGATTGGGTAAGTCGCGGACTCTAGAATAGCAGTTCTGTTAATAGGGACGCCGTTCCTATGGCTATTGGGGGGTGGGGCGTGCGTTCCTGGTGTGCTGAGCCTGCCGGTGGGTTGAAACTGTCCTGGGCCATTTGCCCCAGGTAAGGTGAGCTCTGAATAAGAATGTGATTGGTCGCTGGACGCGAGAGTGGAGTGGAGAGGGGAGGTCCAGATCGCCCTTCCTTTAGGGCTGAAGTGAAGTCTCAAGACGAAAAACCTTCCTGAAATTTCAACCCAGAGATTTGCCTTATACTTATTTAAGCGGCTTCTATCATTACTAGAAGCATTATCGATGTCAAGTTGACAACCTAGATTTGTCTATCGTGGCAAGGAAAGATATCAGCTGAAAAACTGATTTTGGCAGAAGAAGCATTGACTTACCAACAGCCTCATTATTATGAAAGTGCTGGATCTAATTGTAAGCCAGACCCTCATGTAATAGTAATATCCTGCAATTTGATCCCATCCCAAGACATCCTAGGACAATTTGCACCACATTCGAAAGATCCAATCCGTTCATATGCCAATCCCTCAACAACATGTAACATGCGCCTATATATTCTGTCTTCGCCACGGTTGATGCCTCGATCTTGCGAGATAAGAACACACAATAGTTCTAGCCAGGCAATCAGAACTATTTGTTGGCATCTTGTCAACGGACATTGTGCTGACAATTGACGGTCCTAAAGTTGTCGGCTACAAGACGCATGTCAGCAGTGCTGCGGCTCAAGGTCTGCTCCCTCCTCTCTCTCTCTCTCTCGACCGATCTGCTTGATATCATGCAAGCTTGTATTCAAGACCGTCTGCGAGATATGCATGACATGCGGTGGAAGGGCGGGGAATGTATCATGGTGTCTATTTCGGTGGCGCAATTGGAAGAATTGAATTTGGCATGGCCTATAGTCGTACCTCGCCTTTGGGGTAAGGCTTCTTTTCCTACACTCGCTGAAGTTCTGCGCTGACCTAACAACAAGGAAAAGGACATCAGGTATTCTACGAGGCAGGTGTGGAAAGCACAAATACCCCAAGAAATCCAAGAAATCCAAGCCAAAAGAAAAAATTCATCATCTTGCAAGCTCCAGCCGGGCCGGTGATACAATTGAAGATGCACGCAACAGTGTTTACGAATTGGTTAAGCGGATTGGTTTCGAAGCCAAGGTATTTGATAGAACCATCGGAGATTGGTAAGGGGAATAACGAGCAGATCTCAGACAGAGCTGAGATTATATCTAGGGAACTAAATAGGCTGAGTATCACAAAGGCAATGACATCCAAAGAATCAGAAGCCCCAATTAAAAAATCCGGCACCCAAGACAACAGCGACGCTAGCGGTAGTCATCAGTCCGAAGCTCTTGCCAGCTCCACTGGTTGTGGAGGTAGCGTTAGCAACCGAAGTAGTAGCACTCGATCCTTTGACGACGGAGACAGCAACGTTGGAGGAGTTGGCGCAGGAGCTCCCGGAGAGGGTGGTTGCAGCGCTGCTGAAGGTAATATCGGCACACTGGCCCCGAAGTCAGCAAGACCATATCCGCCACAGACAAGTTTTGTCCAGCTGTGCAAACTGATAGAGACGATGGAGAAGAACGGAAAAGAACATATGGCGGTTATGAAGGCACGGGGGACTAAGCTACGATGCTGGATTCGCTTACGTTGTAGAGTGCGCTTCCCGTCTGCCCGACTGTCACAACTTGGATGCTGGCGTTTTGTCCCTCCGAGATGGCGAGGCCAGCTGGTAGCACTATATGCGGCATACAGAGTGTTCCATTCCCTGTCTCGTTGAGAAGTTGTTGAGTTAAAGATATGTTGAAGGTAGGATAGTTAGTTCCGAGACCTAGATTGACGAAATAATAAGTCCATTGGTGGTGTAAATCGAGATTCAGTGAGCCTCCTGTCAACGGCCAGATTGTGCGATTTGTCGCCGAGGTCTGATTCACATTCGCACCTGAGAACGTCAGAACTATAGGCTTAGAAGTAATACAAATGGTTCTTACATGGATAGATGTATTGGGAAGCTCCAGCTGCGAATGAGTCGCCTCTCATTTCAGGGTACTCAATGCTGAAGTGTGCATTGGCGAAGGAAGCCAGCATAAAGGAAGATGTGAGGATATAGGAAAGCATTGTGAAGAAGTCTGATTTACGTTGAGCACGCTTTTGAAAAGGCTTAGAGTTAAGAACTCTCAGGCGCGTGAGTGCTGGGTCTTGGACCCCATTTTATACTCAACCACCCGCGGCTGAAAAGTTTCTCCTCACTTTGAGAACCCCCATCCCACTCTCTATGCTCTGGATATGAAATCTCCCAGTAGTTTCCTGGTGCTGGCAACCCAGAATCTCTTGATGACAGCTTTTAGCCTCCGCCAGGTAGCCAATCTCAAGAGCCTTTTCTGATGGTATGACAGGTGCAACAGCGTCAAAGCACACATCGTTGCCCTATCACATTGCAGCAAACATCGGACTAGAGTCCCAAGCCGTGTCTCTGGGGAAAATCTGCTCAAGAGGCTTGATGTGCCAATACCACGAGGCTGCAGGGACATCTTGGCAACTCCGATTTTCGAAGGAAGTACGTCTTGGCAATCAAGTAGCGAGTTTAAAACGTGCTCATATTCTCGCAACAACTTGCTCAAGCTTCAAGAAAGGAATTTTGCGAAAGAACTGGCCCGCTGAGAGTAATCTCGCGAGAGTCTTCTCCAATTGAAATAGTGAATCAATTAGAGGTCCTCCCTACAAGCCAATCTTGAGAGCACGCATGGCTGCGGGACGGCCTCTCCGGGGGACTACCGGCTAGAGACAGGCAAGCTTCAAGTACCAGAGTCTAGGAAGTTCGGTGACTTGTCTCTGGAAGTCCAGGAAGCTTGACACATAGATTGACTCCTTGGCTCAACTTCAACTGCCAGCGTTCGTCAATGAAGCTCGATGCTGCTCCACTCTTAGGGTCAAGCTCTTCGGGATCCAATTTGATACACAGAGAGCCCTGAAAAGGATACAGCGTGGAAACTCCTTTGAAACTGTTCACATCTTCCATCTTGAGATACTCTGGACTTTCAGATGATGAGGATGAAGATCTCTCTGGCTAGGTTCGGAAGTGGACGTTGAAGGTTACTAAGCATGACGTTACTGTACTAGAGTACGGCAGGGGCAAGCTCCCCCTGCTCTGCAGGTTTCACTTCACTTTCACTCGAATTCACCCAATTTCTCTTGTACACATCCGTGTACCAACCAACACAAAGCCATGACGACCAAAGACCATTTCAATTGGAAGTTTCACGATCCAGAGTCGAGCACAAAATATGGAGGTATATTCAGAGCCTCCTCCGCCATACCGTGAAGATGACTCCGGGCTCCAGCAAAACAATGCGAACCCCAGTCAATTCCGGATAGCTCGCAAGCCTGTATCTAGACCAATTGGTCCTCCCAGTACGTTGAAAGATGCATATAGCTTCCCGGGACCATCGAGTCGAGCATTGGGGCCAAAGGAAATAAAGAGGGAGTTGGAGGATACAATCCCAGATCTTCCTCCTCGACCAGGGCTGTCGTTGGATACCACCTTGCCAGGCAGTATCACGGATTCTGAGCTCTACCTTATCCCTCTGCAATCGCGTACTGAAACCACTATCTCCTCCGCCTCTACTCCAGGTAGCTCTTTATCTACGAGCAGCTCAATCCCGACAGTAACATCATCATCTGCGAGCTCCTCTCAATCATCCGCCTCGGCCTACGTCCAGAAAGCGTACAAGGAAGCGCGTCACTTCGCTGGTGGTCTGGTATCACATCCATACGAACACACGAAACACTACAGCATACTGCGGCATTCGCACGGGCTGGTTTTCTACCAAGGAAGCAGCACAACTCTCGCGGTCTCCATCTTCGCTGATGCACCGCTCCCGGCGGACCGCACAATTTGGTTACAAAGTAAAGGATGGACTGGCAAGACGGGTATGCGGGCGAAGGCTTTCGTGGGCCGCAATAGTAATTGGCTGAATGTTACACCATCTGCTGAGGTTACGCCGGAACAACTGAAGCCAGACAACGAGCGGGCATGGCAGCGAGATATTGCCAAGTTTCGGAAGAAGGCGGATCGACACGTTAGAGATCATTCACTTCGGGAAACAGTCTTGGCTCGAATTCCGGCAGAAGCTAGAGACGGATATTTCCAGCTGGTCCTTTGCACCAGCGACAAGAAGAAGGTGCTGTGCCCGAGCCCGGTGTTCAGGGTTTTATCAGCATCTACCAGCCCACATTCGATCAAAGGAGCGAGTTTGAGCAGCCTACCTCTCGAGTTAGGGGCTATGGCTTTGGGTACTTATGCCCGGAATACCGTTGGAACTATGGTTTCTCCCATTACATCTGTCGTGCAGAGCCAAGTTCAGCGTTACATGCCATCTTGGACAGCTCGAGAGGCGGTTTCGGCAACATACAAGGTCAGCGGGTCTTCTAAAATGATCGATTCGACTGTCAGCGGTGCTGAGAATCGATATGACCACGTCAGGGACGGATCTTTTTCTGTAGTTGGAGGGGAAGAGATCTCGCTGGATCAAGGCCCAAACGCGCCATATCCTATCCAATTCGTCGGCCGCTGTGATGCACAAAACAATAAGAGTGCTGAGTTCACTATCCCGAAGATCAGCGTATCAAAGGTGTCCGGAAACACATATCACAGATTGCACGGATACTATTTTGGTTGGGCTCGGATCGTTCAAAAAGGGGAGACGGATGGCGAAGATATCTGGCACCAAGCGGTGATCTCTTCCTTGACTCTAGATACATCGCAACTGGTTCGAGCCACCATTGCAGAAGCAAGCAGGAGATTCATCTCAGTTAGTCTCATCTGCGACTACGAAAGCACCCCTCAGGATGGGGCATCCATCGAGGTTCAAGTGACGGGTTTCCTCCGCCCAGATGAGCCTTCCCAACGCGCCATATTGTACAAAGGCCTCCAGGCTGGAGATGAAGCAGCAGCAGAAGCGGCAGTGCTTTCGGAAGTGAACGATATCTCCATGGCCCAGTCAATCTTAGGCCTTCCTGCCTGGAGCCTCGAAGCAGTTCGAGAGAGGAGTGAACAGCAATGGCCGGGTGGATTGGAGAGAGTCAAGAATGGATATGCCAATACGAGGATGGCTGCACAGAGACATATGGATCGAGTTCCGTTGCATAAATTTGGCGTGAGAATGCCGGATGATCAGATGAGGGACAAGGCTATTCTCGCCAATGGATTTTATGTGGTGCGATGACTTTGGCTCCCATTATTTGCCATCTATAAATGCAAATTGTCCGGTTTCTACCATTCAAATTCTCAATCCACCCTCTAAAATTTCTAAGCAGATCTTTGCATTTTGCTCACATGACAATCCTCATCACGACATAATCGCCTCCCACAATTCATTTGGGGCCTGAACAAGAACGAAGTGGTTATACTCTCCCTCGACCCAACACAACCTCATTTTCTTCACCTGCGCCTCCTCCAACCTCGTCAACTCCCCAACCAGCACTGCCGGCCCCTCAAGACAATCAGGAACCGTATGCCTCGTAGCTAGGACTTTAATCTCCTTCACACCAGGCGCATCAAGTATAGCCTTCAACGCCATCCTCGACCACTCCAGCCCCTCGTCATTCTCCTGCGTTCTCGCCTTAATATAAATACCCAAAGGCGCGGGATCCATAATCGAGGAAATAATCTCCATGAACACCTCATCATCGGCCAACGAACTCCGTGGCTGGAACACCACATCCATAGTCGGCACACCCTTCACCACGTCATCTAAAATCGCTTCCGAGTAGTCGTAAATGCCAGTAACTTGTCGAATTGCAGCAACAAACATATCACCTGGCGATAGAGAGTCGAATACAGCTCGAAACGCCAATGTGGCTGCTGACGCCGGGATCCCGAAGCCGAGAGTTGAGGGTCCCTCGAAGACCATTATTTCGCTGATATGCGAGTGGAGTACTTTCTCCTGGGCGTGTTCGAGTTTGCCTTCAGCGAGGAGGTTGTAGGCTGAGAGAAGAGAGCAGACGCCGATGGACCACGTGAGGAGTTTTATTTTTGAGTTGGGGTGCGATAGTAAGCAGAGCTGGGAGCTGTATCCAGCAACGATGGATGCTAGGTCTTGGCCGATGAGAGTCCGGAGTTCCGATTCGGAGGCGTCTGGGTTGGGGAAGGGGGAGGAGCCGTTGTAGCCTCTGGTGCTGTGTGCTAGGGCTCGGGCGTGTGCGGGAACGGAAGAGACCATTTGTTTCCATATTCCTGGGAGTTGGGGTTCGTAAACTTGCACGAAGGAGGAACGGGACTTTCTTACGATGGTTGAATAAAGCTCCGTGGATAAAGATGTAGGTTGTGTACGGTTCATCTGTAGGGGGAGGGCCAGAATCATAGTAAGCGAATCTTGAGTCTGGTGACAGCACCAGTGTGGACTCGGTGAGGTGCGGCATACTTTCACGACAAACCCTAATCGAATCCCCAATGAGGTTCTTGGGATATTTGGAAATTTCGGCCGCAAACGTTGGAGTTAGCTGAAGATCGGGATAGGACGAAGCTTAAACTCCGCTGCCGAAGCACCTCTTAACTCTTACTGGCGGGTATGTTAGCTTTCTTTTGATTGGACCTGTCGTAAAGATCAATTGAATCTCCAGATGCCAGGATAGGAAGGTCCCTCATGAAACAGAAACGAAACCAAACAAAACTATGAGTGGTGGATCACCGGAGAGAATTGAAGAGGTTGGGGAGGACTTGCAGACGCGGATGCACCGACCCCCCCCCCAGTGCCCCACCCAACTTTGAGTCTTGACACGACCTCAAAACACAAGATGTGGGTACCACGATGTTATGGGCAATACATTGTCTAGTAAGCACAAAATAATTCTTGGTCGCTCATCAGAATTCCTCCACTGACTTCGTGTGCAGGCAGTGGGTATAAATCGACACCCAATCAGGGCTTAACGCTTCATGCACTTGCACAACTTGGCCAATCGAGTTGATCCGGGGAAGTACTGCTTGCTTGGGCTTCCAAGAAACCGACTTGGAGACCTTCTACACGGCCTTTCTTTGCACAATGAGTTTTTGCTGCGGCATTGCGAACAGATGCCTTTCTGAATAGCCGCCGGCACGCCGCCCGTCCCGTGCTCCCTAAACGCCCCCCTGAAATGCCCTGCAATGCGGGGAATTCTAACCGCGATCTGAGGTCTGACTACGGAGCCTCCATCTGGATTGATCCAGGGGCAGTATGCACACCACTTCGATATTTCCCGGCCAAACTGTCTCGGCCCCTGAACGAACGAGGGGAGAAAACAGAGACATGCGAACTACTGCAACGACACGAGCTTGAGACATTGCCACTCAAACATTAGACGTCCAACCGTCCAATTGAACCCTTGAGCTCGGGTAGGTGCTGATACCGCAAAGACCGCAATGTCATGGAGCTTCGTGAGGAAAGGCCGGCAGGTAGTTATTGTGTGCACGGCAGGTCAAGACAACAAAGGGATGACGTCCTGCAATCATCGGCCTCAAAATCGGAACGAAGCCAGTTCTTCTCTCCAACTTGTCTTTGTGAATCTGATATCGCCATTCTTGAATCAGTCGCTCAATTCTGAGTCATCTGAATAGATTCACAAGGACACAAAGACTCGAGGAAGGAGCCAATGCCACGACGACGAGCGCCTCGAGCAAAGGTCCCTTCAACCTCGAATACCCAGAAAACACTTCTCCAACATCACCTGCATAGACTGACGACGAGATGCCACCCCCGCTGACTGACAACAAGAAGCTACCCTCTCTAGTCATTGTAGAGAAAGAGCCAGCATCTTCATTTCAGGAACTCTCTCTAGGAGGCGTGATTCCTATCGAAATTCGTATCAATAATCTCACAGTGGCGCTCCCGACCAAGCAGCTAAAGCAACGCAACAGAACTCCGGCATACTTCGAAAACTTCTTCAACTCACAGGCCGTGCAGTCAGACCCGGAACCGGCAGTGGTACCTCCCCCAAAGAAGATACTCGATGGTATTCACGCGGATCTAGCAAGTGGTACCTTGACAGCAATACTTGGAGCAAGCGGAAGTGGAAAGACGTCATTGCTCAACTCTATGTCGCATAGATTCAGCGAGAAGCAGCTCCAAACAAGTGGAACCATTCTCTACAATGGAGACGATCGGTTGAGCAATGTTCGAAGCACTTATGTCATGCAACATGATGTTCTGCTACCAACTCTGACTGTTCGAGAAACACCCCAGTACGCAGCAGAACTACGGCTACCTCCACCAACTTCGGCAGAGGAACGAAAGGCGATCGTGGAAGAAGTGCTTCTGGAACTTGGTCTCAAAGAATGCGCAGATACTCGGATCGGCAACAGCGACTACAAGGGCTGCTCTGGTGGAGAGAAACGACGGACCAGCTTGGCTGTACAGCTTCTTGCCAACCCAAGTGTTCTGTTCCTGGATGAAGTCACAACCGGTCTGGATGCAACAACGGCGCTTCAGCTCGTTGCGACCTTGAAGCAGCTAGCGAGGCAGGGAAGGACGATTGTGGGGACCCTACATCAACCGAGATCTCAGATGTGGGACCTGTTTGATAATGTCTTACTGCTTTCGGGAGGCTCACTTGTCTACGGTGGCTCAAAAGATGTCTGCATCTCCTACTTTGCAGACTTGGGATACCCATTGCCCGCATTTGTCAACCCAAGTGAACACATTATTGACCTTGCAGCAATCGACAGAAGATCTGCGGATGCCGAGGCTGCATCGCAGGTCCGCGTCAAGCTACTGAAAGAAGTATGGAAGAGCGCTTCTCAGACTCCAGAAGATGAGAAGCCCATTGTAGGAGTTGCAACTCGATCTAACCCTTTACGAATAAATCGTTCTTCCTTCCAGCACCAAGTCAGAGTACAGACTGCAAGAACGATAAAGACAGCATGGAGAGATCCGTTCGGTATTTCGTTATTACCGGCTGGGTATTCCTCAATATCGATGAGAGTCTTACTGGAATCCGAAGCCGAGTAGGAGCGCTGTACACAGCATCTGTTCAGCAAGGATTCTTGATCTTGATATTCGAAATCTACCGCCTTGCACAAGAGATTCCGGTCTTCGATCAAGAGCATATCGAAGGAGTTGTCAGCGTATCTTCGTTTCTGGTCAGTCGTCGACTGGCACGCCTGTTCATCGAGGATATCCCAATCCCTCTGATATTCTCGGTCACCTTCTACTTCATGGCTGGGTTTCGCCATCTTGCAAGCCAGTTCTTCACGTTCTTCGCCTTAATACTGCTCATCCATTATTTGTCGGTGACTCTTGCAATGCTCTGTATCGCTATCTCTCGGAGCTTCGCGAGCGCATCCATGGTTGCTAACTTGGTTTTTACTGTCCAAACACTTTGCAGTAAGTCTTTTAGAGATGACATCAAAGCCTCCTTGTTGATTTATGGGAATAGGCGGATTCTTCGTCCAATCCAACCAGCTACCTGTTTACCTTCGCTGGCTCAAAGTAAGTGACCACGAGACTGCTTCCTACTCTCTGACCCTGCTGACCCATCCAGTATATCGCGTACGTGTGGTATGCCAATGGCGCATTCTGTACCAACGAGTTCGTTAGCCACACTCCCAATCCTGTAGGTCAGCTCTATGCTTGTCCATTTCCTGGTGGCTCCTCGAACCCCGAATGCAAGCCTTATACAGGTGTGTTTATCATGGAATCGCTCGGCTTCCCCCACACCTGGACTTATAAGCCGTTCTTGGTTCTAGTATCACTCGTGCTGGCACACTATGGTGGTGCTTTTTTCCTCTTCGCGTACCGAAAAGTTCAAATCGGGGTTGTTCGTACACCAAAGCTACAAACAGAGGTGGCAAAGGGCGAAGATCTGGTCTTGATCCAAGCAGCGGGAAATGCTAGACACATCGAAATCACTCTCAACAAATATGGCCTCAAAGTGCTGAAGCGAGTAGTGCTCGGAGCAAAACCCCCGATAAAGACACTTCTCAATCCCATCAATACCAAATTTAAGGCAGGAAAGCTCAACCCCATCATCGGACCTTCAGGGAGTGGCAAGACGTCTCTGTTAGCCTCATTAGCAAACCGACACCACGAAAGCTTGACAGCAAAATACAGCAGGCAAGGTGCTATGCTATACAATGGCGCAGCTCCATCAGAGGATGTGGTTCGCTCGGTGTCATCCTATGTCTGCCAAGATGACAACGCGTTACTGCCCACGCTTACAGTTCGAGAAACTCTCCACTTCGCAGCCTGTCTGAGACTTCCTACCTGGTTGTCCAAAGAGGACAAGGTTCAACGAGCGGAAACAGTCTTGGAGAAGCTTGGACTGAAGGATTGCGCTGATGCTCTAGTCGGCAGTGATCTGATCAAAGGCATCAGTGGAGGAGAGAAGAGGAGAGTGAGCATCGCTACTCAGATCTTGACGGATCCTCGCGTTTTACTTTTGGACGAACCAACATCAGGATTGGACTCGTTCACAGCTTCCTCTATCATTGAAATGCTCGCAAGCTTGGCCAAAGAGGGAAGAACGATAATTCTCACCATCCATCAGCCAGGCTCCAAGCTCTTCCAACGGTTCGACAACATTCTCCTGCTCGCTCGCGGTGGCTTCCCAGTCTTCTCTGGTAAAGGTGTTGACATGCTGCCTTACTTCTCAAGTGTCGGCTTTCAGTGCTCAAAGAACACGAATCCCACCGATTTTGCACTCGATTTAATTACTGTTGATCTCCAAGCATCCGACAAAGAAGCGCTCAGTAGAGAGAAAGTCGAGGGGCTCATCATTGAATGGCAACGAAGAGAAACGTCCAGTCTTCCTGCGGTGTCATCTTCCGACATCCCGACGCCAGCAGAACTTGGAAGTTTCAAGCGAGCAATGACTCCCTTCGGAGTTGCTCTCCCTCTGCTCATTAAGCGCAGCTTGATCAACTTTCGCCGTGACGGTAATGTGGCAACGGCTCGTATTTCCCAGGTCTTGGGTTATGGGGTGATCGTCTCGCTGTTCTTCGCACCGATTAAGAAAGACTATGACAGTATCCAGTCTCGATTCGGATTCATTCAAGAACTTGTTGGTAAGTATAATGTCTGGGTCTCTATGGATGTTCATTGATAACTCCAGCGATTTACTTCGTCGGCATGCTTCAGAACATAGCTGTTTATCCCGCAGAAAAAAAGGTAGGCTTGCATCCATCTCTCTCTAATATTGCCTTCCACTGACCCGCAAAGATCTTCTACAACGAATATGAGGATCGTTCATACCCACTCCCCGCTTTCTTCCTCTCGTACACGCTTCTTGAAATCCCGTTCGAAATCCTGACATCGCTTCTCTTCTCCATATTCGGCACCTTCGCCGTCGGCTTCCCCCGCACCGCATCCCTCTACTTCGCGATGGCTTTCAACATATTCTGCGTCGTTTCTTGCGGCGAGTCTGTGGGCATAATGTTCAACACTCTCTTCGACCACACCGGGTCGCCATAAACATCACCAGCATCATAATATCGCTCGCCGTACTCATGGCAGGAATTTACAGTCTCGACTTGCCAACCTTCCTTCAGGCATTCAATCATCTGAGCCCGGTGAAGTGGGCTGTCGGAAACCTGGCTCCATATAGCATGCGAGGCTTAACGTTCAGCTGTTCCCCAGATCAGCAGGGCCCAACTGGTCTCTGCCCGATCACAACAGGGGAGCAGGCTCTGCAATTATATAATCTGGACCATGATCCGCAGATGTATCTTGTGGCGTTGGGAGCCTGCACTATCGGATACCGTTTGGCCAGCCTCTTGCTTTTGTGGGCGGTAAAGAGATAATAACAATAATAGAGGAGACCAAGAGGAATTTGGCTCATATGATAAAGACTTTAGCCTTTCGAATACAGTATATTCCCGGATAGCATGGCAATTGCCTCGCAACCGCTGCTGAAATTTAGGGGACTTTAATTAATTGCTTGACCACAAGGGGCATGAACAAACAGCAGCTCTCGTGGCCTCGGTCTCGATTTGATGGAGAAATAGGTTGCAACGACCAGACAAAGGCGTATGGAGACTATCAGGAGACGCAGCCTTGTGAAAGGATGGGGTTCTTCCAAAAGCGAAGCGTGGACCTTACCCCGCTAAAACTTCCACTAAAAGCTTAGCCCGGTCGGCAGGGGCCAGCCTGCAACCGACAAGTTAAAGGGCTGCAGCTGTTATCTCCACGCTCTCCGATTTGTCTCGCCCTCACCGCCATCGCCAACCACCCCAATGGAAGTAGCAAGCGACGTGTGCTTTGCTGGTCCACGTCTCTCTTTCCTTTCGTCCTATTTCTCTCTCTGCCTTCGTGTCTTTCTTCAATTCAATTGAAGCTTTCGCATCTTAATTGACACTTCACTGAGAGCACAACAGCACTCACAGCTCACTCACTAGATGGCAGGCTACCCCACCCCTCCACCAACCTCCTCTCCACCGTCGAAGAACGACACCTCCTACCGAGCTTCCGAGCGAAAAGTTCCAGCTCAAGATAGTTATTTCGAGGAATCTTATAACAGACCCGCCGAAGCGAATGTCTCAGCGCAAGATTCTTATTATCAGGAGTCGTACAGCACGCCCACTGCAACCGTAGAAACAAAGCTGCCAGCACAAGAATCTTATTACCGCGAACCATACACGCCCGCCGAGTCTGCGAAGCCAAAGCTCCCAGCACAAGAAACCTACTTCCATCAATCGTACTCTACTCCTGCCAGTCCAAACCACTGGGACCCCTCCTCGAAACCCGTGCCTGCAAACAACATAAACGCCGCCTCAACCGTCCACTTCGATACTCTCCCTCCCCGCCGAAAATCCTCTCCAATCCAATCCTACGGACCACATCAAAAGCCATACAATGGCTCCTACGACCCCTTTCCTCGTCCATCCTCCACAGGTGTCTCTCCAAATACCTCCCCTAGCAAGTATCCCTTCCCTCCACCACGAAGGTCCTCTCGAACACCGCCTCGACCCTTACACTCCTCCCCATTGAACCCAATACCATCACCTTATAGTGCATCTCGCCCACAACCCCGCCCAGGTCTCCTGAAGCGGATAACAGTGAAGATAGAGCAATGGATCCGCTCATTTATGAAATGGTCGTCTAAGAACCCGATAAAAGCGGGCTTGTTGACGTTTATACCAGCCCTTGCGGTGGCGGGGGTTGCAAGAGCTGCTGCTGGGATTGGGAAACTGTTTGCTGGTGAGGCGGGAGGGTTAGGGCAAGCGGCGAGGTTGAAAGCGGCGGAGAAAAAGGCGAAGGAGTGGGGGTATGGTCTTGATGAGTTTGTAGGGTTTGCTGGGGCAAAGACGCCACACCCTATGGGTGGGGTGTTGAAAACAGTGCAGATGCTGGCGTAAGTTTCCTCCTCCCATTCTAACTGTACCGTCCTGAACCACTTGATGGGCGTGGACAGGAATGAAGCAGCGGTATGGAAACCTGGAAACTTCTGCTAACGCCCAAACAGGAACCATTACTGCAAACTCACACCCTCGCCAATCCCTCGACTGGTCAGTATCCTCCTTGAACTCTACTTCCTCGACGTAGGGAAGTCAAAAATCTAGGCTACCATTCTCTATATATTTATAAATACTGTACAAACCAGTCCACATACAAATACCGACAAACCAATGTACCAAATACCGAATCAATCACCTGGCATAGCCATCCTTGTATATCTCGCAACCAGTTTCTCTATTTGTTTTAGCATATCTTGCATCCGGTAGGGTTTTGTTGTCACGTCGTCCTGTCTCTTGTCAGCACCGCAGCTCCTTTTACAAGGTGGAAAAGACTAACCATCCCAGCATTCATGGACATCATAATCTGATCCTTCCTCGCATTCGCAGTAACGGCAATAACAGGCACATGGCCCCTAATCAACCCAATACGTTGCAACTCCCTAATTCGCTTAACACACGTAATCCCATCCATAACTGGCATCTCCAAATCCATCAACACAACACTCAATCTCTCTCCGCCACCCTCCTCTGACCAAAACTCCGAGCCCCTAATAAACTCCAACGCCTCCTCGCCATGATTCGCTACACTAACAAAATGCCCCGATTTTCTCAGTTGCTTACTAACAACCTTCTGATTCACAAGATTATCCTCCACAACAAGTATATGCAGCGCTGGCGACAGAGGCGTCACATTCTCAAGCTGAATATTCGGCATCTTCATCCCATTCTGCAGCGCCGATATCTCAACCGCGCACGCCTCTCTCAGCGCATCCTCCCTCACTAGCAATTGTAAATCTGTCTTCTCTTGAATTTCCTCAGGCGCGGTAGTCCGTCGTGTCTTGACGTAGAACTGAAAGATACTCCCTTTACCAGCTTGCGAGGCAACGCCGATCTCACCGCCTTGCATCTCGACTAGTTGTCGACTAATGAAGAGTCCCAACCCCGAACCTCCGTAGGTTTGGTGCGTCTTTGGAGAAGCTTGCGCGAAGAGATGGAAAAGATTCTTGATCTCGGATTCGACCAGGCCGCGGCCTGTGTCGGTTACTGTTATACAGATGTAGATGATCTCACCGTCGCCCCATTCGGGCTTCGTTGTTTGGTCTGGAGATGTGCTGTTCTTGCGGACATATTGCACGCCGAAGGAGTTACTCATGGAGGGCTTGTCGAGGGAGGCACCCATGGTTATTTTGATGTGACGGTGGGGTTCTGTGCGCGTGAATTTTATTGCGTTTGCTAGGACTAATTAGCACCACCAATATCAAAGAAGCTGGGGGGAGCTGAGAGTCACTAGGCCTTCTTCTCAGATGAGATAGCTCTCGTAGAGAAAGGGGGAGATCAGGGGGGGAGTAAGCCTTACTCATCAGATTTATGAGCACCTGCAGCACTCTGCTCGGATCAAGCAGAGTCCACTGAACCTGCAAGGTCTCCAGGGACGGCTCTTCAGTGACCTCACGTTTCGTTTCCGCCCTTTTCAATTCAGCTTCAAACATCTTTAATGCACTTCGAACGAGATGGATTGGCTGTGACGGCTCGGGCGAGACAAGAAGGAGATTCGAGTCAAGTCTTGAGAGCGTCAAGATGTCATCGATGATTCGTTTTTGGTGCATCGCACAGTAGATTATGGTATCTGCGGCTTCGATTGTTTCGTCTAACAAATGCAAAGGCTTTGAGATCTCGGAGTTGTGCTCCAAATGAGGATTTCTAGTTCCGTTGAGAACTCCACCCATCCTGGTTGCTGTTCGGAGTTCGTTCAGTGAAGTGATGATTGCATCAGCGCAGCCGATGAGGGCTGATAATGGATTTCTCATCTCGTGTCTGTTTATTAGTCTTAGCAGCTCATATATCTTTGAATCCAAGTTGTGGTGATTAAGACGAAAAGGAAAGAAAGTAGAGCAATTCAAGAAACAAGGTATCCAGACTTTCTATCGCTTTCGTGGGAATAATGACGCTCAATCTCCAAATGTCAATACGACGTTCGACCGACAAGAGCTGGAACATTAAACCCTGAAATCTCCATCGATTCGGGCCGCTCAAAAGTTGAATCTCAGTTTATCGAGAAGAATAGAGTGAATTCCTATGCTCAGATCTGAATCTGGTGGGAAGTATGAAAGAAAGCTTCACTTACGATGTCATGTCAATGAATCTTTCTTGCTGCCTCTTCATCTCAATAGCTTGATCCATCTTTTTTCTCAACTGGAGTTCAGACCACTTCAAACCAGACACATCCGTAATGCAGCTCATCACTGTGGTAACCTCACCAAATTCGTCAAGATCTGGATGCATTGCAAGTAGTATATGCGTCTCAGAATATTGCGCCTCTCCATTTATATCGGGGTCCGGTGCTTGCCAGCGTCTCTTGAGCCGTGTCTGCATGGTCACTGACTTTTTTCGTGAAATCATTCGCTCCCAACCTTCATTAACGTGATCTGGTTCTCCTTCGCAAAGGACGGCAGGCCAGCTGACTGCCGAGGACCCGACCTCCAGCTGAGTCAACTCCAACCAGAGATCGTTAGCTGACAAGGCGAGGCCTTCCGGTGTGAGAATTCCCAGCCCAATAGGTGCTCGTGTTGCAAATCTTGCAAATTTTGTCTCTGCCTCTGAAACTTCACGGTAAAGCCGATCTCTTGCCAAAGCCTCTTCTGTGGATATTTGTTGTCGTCTCTGCACCTCCTCGCGAAGAATCACTGCTGAAAGTTCCGGTATAGTTACTTGCTGAGTCAGCAGATGAACAAATCCCCGATAGTCGTCATCGTAAGGCCTTCGTGGATTCAGGGCAATAATCAAGAAAGCCAGGACATTCTTCGAATCCGCTGGTATGATTGGGCAAACAACAACTTGAGTGGCCGGAACCCCGTGACCCCTCCACTCTATTCTCCCGAACATGTCCTTCAATTTATCGTCGACTTGCACCACGACTGGTGTCATCTCCTTGATGGCTTTCTTGAGTGGAGAAACGAGCCAAGTGTCGTCATTGCCCAGATCAAGACTCTCAGCAGCCAACTCATGGTCGACAGGGATGCCAATTAAACTCTCAAGAATGCAAATTGTCGATGCCTGACCGTTGGTCTCGTTGAGATTAGGACATTTAGATCTCTTCGAAGCGAGCTTCTGGTCTGCAACTGAATACAGAAGAGCCAGAGGGATGTCTTTGTCTGCACCTTCAATGCCGAGAATGATTCGACGCCACAGGTCTTTGATACTTTCCGAACCCGATAGTTGACGACTGAGGGATCTAACGATCTTTAATCTTCGATCTGAAAGAACTTCTCGAGTAACCTCCACAACGGTAGCGTGGGATCCGACTACCCAACCTTCATGACCAATAATCGGCACAAACTTCCAGCTGAAGAAGGTTTCTTCAAAAAATCCGTGTCTAAACAGGAGAAGAAATGCATTTGCTTCAACTACAGTTTTTGCTGTTTCCCGTTGATTCGCCAAGAGCCTCTCGAAATGGTCCCAAATCTCGGCGAATTCAATTTTGGGATCCTGGCCTTGAAGGGCGGGGTGTTTTCGTCCAATGAGTTGGGTATACGGCTCATTGTAGATAATCGTGGCATTATCTCCCCAGTACACGACTGTTCAAGATCAGCACAGCCATTTTCGAACAGCAAATTCCGGGGCAGTAGGTTCTCCCTTGGTCGCCAGGTACGATTCAAGTCTGGGAGGAGAAGTGAAAGAAAATTAGTGCAAGAACACTCACCAGCGGGAGAAGGATCTTGCACCACCAGCAGCACCATCTGTCTCAATTGGGCAGGCCAATGCTTCATTGGTCCTAACGGAGACTTCTCCCAATCCAGATCCACGATGAACTTTTGGAAAGGGGTGATACTGTCGGGTCGAGGTTCCGAGATCCAATCGAAGATCTTCCTCCTCGGGTTGTCTTTTCGAGCACGTGCCACCTCTTTACCGTCCATGTTGGGCAGTTGTGTGGCCGGGAATGAGCTGGGAGCTGGGAGTGGAGGAACGGCCATCCCGCGAGACCTCTTCAATAATCTGGTGCTCGTGTTCAACTCCGCTCGGTATCGACATATTCCTCCCGATCACGTTCTCCGGCGTTGCGGTCCTTGTTGCCTTGTTGCCTTGTTGCCTTGTTACTTTATCCAGGGCGGAGCAGTCTCCGTTAGCGACATTTGAGGCTGAGCACAGAACAGTCCACGCTCGATCAGCTGCAGCTACTGTACTTGGCCGTTGCCTTCGATGGCCCGAAGGCTGCAGAATAAAAGGCTGTCCTCTTGAAGGAGCCGTAGGTGTAGGTGTAGGTGTAGGTGTAAGTGTAGGTAGGAAGTCGGAGCGAGCAAGATGTTTGTCCAAATGCCAAATTCCAGAGGACGGGACTCAGAGCCGCCAATGACGAAAAGGCGAGTCGAGAGTTTCTTCAGCAGGGATGCCCGATGCTGCCTCCTTGGCATCGCCGATCCTTTTAGCGCCACCTCGCCAATCTTGCCCGAAACAGAAAGGGGCGTCCTAGCCGGCCAGCGACGGGAACCTACGCTGCGTACTGTAGGTAGGATAGGAATGTGGGAAGCTCAATCTTAGCCTTCAAAGTTCCAGCATGGCTTGATCCAGCATCAACTCGAATTCCTTCCTCCGAGGTAAGTAGAGGTATGCAGCCAGCTGGGGTTTGGAGACCGTTTGGTCTCAACAAACGACTCCTAAAAAGCAGATGAAACCAAAGAGTGAGGAACCCTTAATATGATGGGTTAAATACCGCACCACAGTCTTCTAGTGATGCCAGAGGATGAGAGGTTAAGGAGCCTTGGTCGTAAATATAGAACATGGTAATGAAATGTGTTGTCCGAAGATCCCCAACCGCGCGGACTTGAGGCTATGGTTCATCTCGGGGATTGCAATCCAGAAGCAGTTTCGAGAGTTTCAGCAAACCAAACGCTTCATTTGTGCCCTGGCAATTGCAAATGCCCCAAAAGCGCCAACATAGCAGCAGCCAGTAAACACAATCAGTCCCCAGTACTGGCCTCCATCCCTCTCTATAATCTCCCCCGCAATTGGAACGCCAGTCAAGCACCCAACGCTCACAATCGTGTAGCACGTTGCATAATATTGGCCGTAGTCTCTCGTCTCACACAATTGCCCGACGCAGACCGGGGTCAATGAGATATTACTCCCACTTGCAAATCCAAACACCACTACAAACACCACAATGCCTGCTGTCTGGCCGCCGAATGGGAGCCAGATTGTGAATACCGAGATAATTGTCAGTAATATACAGACAATGGAGCAATTGAATCGACCGAGGGTGTCCGAATAAAGCCCAGGCAGCCAACGGCCGAAAACCGAGCTTGCATTCAGGATTGGGAGTATTTGATATGCAAAGGCTTAGCTGAATCCTTGTTGGATTGCATACATTGTGATATAAGTCAGCGGGACAAATAGAGCCCACTCAATGAGGAAGCTTCCAAGGACAGTCATTGCGAATGTTGGTTGTGAGAGAATTCTAAAGTCGGGATGTGGAGACTTGGCGGCGAGGGATCGTGGGAGATTGGATTTGATGAGGAGGTTGGCGATGATGCAGAGGAATAGGATAATGAAGCCCATAACGCGCGTTGCCCAGGCGAACCCGACCTTTGGGATCGAAGACTGCAGGAGTAATGGGAACACGATTCCGCCAAAGGCACATCCCGTTGCTGCTATTCCAGTTGCATTGCCCCGGCGGCGATTGAAGAAATGGCCAATAGCTGCAATGGAAGGAGTGAAGAGTAGAGAGGCTCCAATTCCACCATTAATACCAAAAACGGCAATGAAATGCCAATATTCTAAACAGGTCAGTTCAGAGGGATTGTTCACACGGATCAGAGACAATGACCTTTGCAAACCGCGAGCAAGAACATGGAAGCTACAACGCAAACGCTTCCGGGGAGAACAAGCCAACGAGGTCCATAGACATCGAATATCGGTCCAATGCAGATGCCGCAAGCAAACGCAAGGAAGACATATACCGAGAAAATCCAACCAATTTGACTTGCATCATAGGATGAGAGCTGGTCTTGAGATGTATAGGCCTGAAAGATGGCCAACGTGTTGGCGATGCCGAGGGAGGCGAAGAGAGCACACCAGGAGCCTAGGACAACGAGCCATGCCTGAAGGCCGCCCTCGGGGTAAATGTACTCTATAGTCGTGGGACATTCATCCCGCATTGGTAGCTCCAGTTCTGGAGACAGCCCTTCTGAGGAGTCAATGTTACCTGACGCATTTTCCAGGGATTTCTCGTTAAGTCTTATATGGGACGTCGGAGGGATAGTGGAACTCCGGCCACCTGAGTTCCTGATCTCGTTGTTCATATGCCAGTGTGGAAGAGAGGTGCTTGGATTGAGAGCGGAATCTCGATGGCATCTGAAGAGGAAGAAAACAAGTGATTGCGAAGCCAAAAAAAAATTCATATTTTCTTATTGAATATTGGGAAAGCACTGATCAAATCGCCGAGAATGGGGGTTGCATTTCAGACTAAAATGCATTGTACTGTACCTACCAATATCTGCGGTGGGGCGGACACTAAGCGATCGCTCCCCACGATGCAGAGGGAATTGCATGAGATGAAAGGAAATGCAAAGAATATGTCTCGTAGTAAGGACCAAAGGGTTTTGCGAGGACATCAGGATTTGGAAAGATATCTGAAGGCGGAAGTACTTTTCCGGAAGGTCAGTTGTTCCGTCATCCGTTTGGGTTAGCGTGATTTAACACAAAAATTCCCCGGAATGAAATCTCCTTCAAACATAACGCATTCGAAACTTCACCAACTTCTGTATTATCCCTTGATTGGACAACTCGTTGTCGATAATAAAGATTACTCATTGGTCACATATGGGTGCTGAATCGATCCCCATGGATCTCATCTAGATCAAGTAGGAACTTCTTTTCCAGACGCGTTTTACCAATCATAACAGGGGCTCACAAATTATCTTCTGTGCTTCCTACAGTCCTTAGCTTCGTCGTTGCTGTATATGCCTTCTTCGTTCAGTCTTCCTGCTTGGCACGGTCTCTCGCAGTCGCTCTCCCAAAATCACAGCCCATATACAAATCAGTGGGGCGTCAACCAGGAGTGGAGGGCCGCTGATCACTGTTGCGGTCATGCGCTGGCAGAAGAAACACTGCCCTCGGGCGGGATCCACAGACTGCTTTAGGGACTGCCAGGACATCATTTCCGAGGTGTGTAGAGCATAGTGCCATTAGAGGAGCATGGTTGGGAGAAACAACCCAACTAATTTGCTTAATGCATTTGGGCAGATAGGTGAAACCTCGCACTAGGACAACGATTTTGAATTCGGAACTTCAGATCATTTAATGGCAAGTGCTATCATGTTAGGTCTTTGCCGTTTCTGCTGAATATTATGTATCCTACATAGTACAGTTCTCACAAACTTGCATTTTCTCATAGCACAAAGAAACATGGATTGACAGTCCGTGACTGCAACAGCTTGTTCAGAACGCTCTTTCTCGATCCTCCACTCTAAAGTCAACGCGAGCCTCTTGTCTCGCGCGAGTTTCCGACTGCAACTTTCCACTTCCACTACGTATCATACTTCTCGTTGACCGAAGTCTCCAAAGGCCATACAGAGCTGCCACATCGAAGACATGCTGATTGAATACGCAGTTTTGTCGACAATTGACTTTAACTGATCGCGCTCAGAGAATCATGTTGGTACTTCAACATTGCCTATTATGTACAAATAGGGAATATGTCCTCGGGCTCGATGGAGGTTAATTGTCTTGCCGAGTTTCGAAAGGTCGATGGTACCCAAGAACACTTTCTGATCCGCATTCTTGGCTTTGGCGTAGCAATCGAAGGAGTTGTCGTATCGTGGGATCTCTATCTTCTGGTACGGCACCGATTGTTCTATTATCGCTATTAGCATTAGCTCGTGCCTGAAGGAGAAGCATGCACTACCTTCCGCCTGGATACTAGCAACGGAGTCTTTGAAGAATTTTTGCTTAACAGGATCGAACACAATGGCAGTATCTTCATTCCAGTGAATCAATAAACTGCCACGAGAACGGAGGGACGGTCTGTTTGACCGCTTCGCATCACCGAAGAGTGTCCACTTCATTATGACAAGCTTGTAACCACGGGAGTCGATATGTGGGCAATTCAGGCAAGTGCAGCGGCTGCCTTGTTAATCGGTAACTGTGCCTCCGAGAAAGTTGTTCGTAAAGAGGATTGCTAAGCAGATAAAGAGCCGAAGTGCGGAAAATTCTACCGTGCCCGGGGATCTGGTGGGGCGACACCTCAGGTTGGGCGAATTCGTAGTCTGAGTTGGAATTTGGTGATCTTCGACCCTTGCCCGCCAATGTGCGAGTGCATCGAATTGGCATGGCCTCATCATGTTGAAGCCGCAGCACCAGAATGCGGGCGTGGGCGTGACGTGGCGAGCGTATCAGCCAGAGCAGAAATTTTTGTCCTCGGTGGCTGGCACCTCGGGCTACTCTATGGCTGTCTCAGCCCGCCGGACCTATGTGCGCTGCGATTTTATGATGCTGTATAACCACACTCCGTACACCGCCCCCTCACAGCCTTCCAGCCTTGTGAAGAGGACTCTTCGTAGTCCTGATGTCAAACCAATGATATCATTTCTCCCTTCCATTGCGAAGCGGCCCGCTCTCTCCAGCATGGGACGGGACGAGATGAAAGTCGGCTATCGGGACAATTCTGTCGATATCGGTAGCAAGGAGGCTCTGGTGACATTGTCTCGCTGTGATCAAATGTTTTCCGTGGGGTCTGTTACTGGAGCCTCGTCTCTCGCTGCTAGAGATGCAGGCGCCAATTTATACAAAATCATTGACCACTCGTTCGAAAGTTTCAGCGAGAAAGTGCAACCCGCTGTCTGTCCATTGTTTAGCTAGTTATCACTCTCGTCATAACTCGTTGAAACTAGCCAGATGTCTGATAATCAACGTGAACCACTTGACTCTGCTGGCAGCAGTGACTCTGGCATGGACTCGCCAGGTAACACAGCCGAAGCGTCTACATTGACCGACCCTTCATCACCAGAGATGGAAGAGACATTCTCGGCACCACCACGAACCAATACAAACGCTTCTTCTATTGTCGACAAAGCTCGGGCCAAGCAATATATTCTGTCATTCGGTGTGTTCGCATCATCACTCCTTGCTAGTCAGTCTGCTGACTTGTCTCCATAGACGGTGGAGGCATACGTGGATATTCGAGTCTTCTGATTGTCAGGTCCTTGATGGATCACATTGCAAGGATCGAGCAAGAGCCACCTGTGGCGCCATCGAGCTTTACACCTAAGCACCCAATTCGTCGCGAACAACCCAATAAACAAGAAAGGGAGCGAGAAGAGTTGGGTGTCAGTCCGTTCGGGAAATGGCGTGAAACGTGGCAGAGTACAAGCGAACTAAGGAGGAGTAAGAACGAAATAAACAAGCGTGCGCTTAGAGGAGAACAGATGCAAAATGGCAATGGTGGGGACCTTGGACACTCTCTTTCGGCGGATGCCAGGAGTCGCGCGACCCGAGACAAGTATCTTCCATGCCACTATTTTGATTACATTGGTGGCACAAGCACAGGCGGGTATGTTATTTTTCGTCAAGGCCAATCTCATCCGCTAAACTGATCCAGGCTCATCAGTATTATGCTGAGTCGACTTCGCATGAGTGTCGACGAGGCTATTGAAGAATATGAACATCTTGCGGGATTTATTTTTGGGCATCCACGCATCTTCTCGATACGTGGACCCATACCGTTCCCGCGCGACAAGTACAGCTCTAAACGGGTGGTCGATGTCGTCCAGCAGGTCGTATTGAGCCGCTTGTGTGGCAAGGACCCGTCGATGGGCCAGGATCTCTTCGCTTCACACGAACGCATGTGCAAGACGTAAGTACACACACAATCATGGAAGCTAGTACTAAAGCTCACACTGCCATCCGTTAGTATTGTCGTCTCCTATATGAGTCGAAGAGTGGAGAACGAAGGGGTCTTTGTCAACGAACCTCCATATCTGTTCAGAAGTTATGATCATCACCCTAACGTACCTAGAGTAGACGGAGGAACTCGGAATCCCCTTGAACGGAACCCTGGATACGCCCATCGCATCCCTATTTGGCAAGTTGCGCGGGCAACATCGGCAGCACCAACATATTTCAATCCCATCACCATCGACGACCATAAATTTCTCGATGGCGGCTTTGGGACAAATAACCCTGCCGAAGACATATATCGCGAGGTATGCCAAATGAACGGAAACGACAAAGGCTCTGTCGGTATTCTAGTAAGCATCGGTACCGGTCAGTCTAAAGTGTCACGCTTTGCCAAAGGATCGTGGGGCAAGTACTTCGCCATTCTCAAAGCTGCGAAACAGATCGCCGTGAATGCGGAAGATGTGCACGATAGGATGGACGACAATCTCAATCCATCCCCAGGCAGTAGCGGCCCGCGAAGATATTATCGCTTCAACGTCCCTTATTCTCGGTGCAAGCCAGCCCCGGCAGAAGGCTTGGAATCCAGTGAGGAAAGCAAGATGAAGCCACTGGGGGAAATGGCTCTAGATGAATGGAAGGCCGAATCGAAGGTATTAAAGCGCAGCTGCAATACCACTCTTCGGGACATCAAGGCAGCAACAGAAGCATACCTATCAGGTGAAAAGGCCCAAGCGGAATTGGAAAGTGTTGCTAAAAGACTTGTCATGACGAGGAGAGAGCGCTGCAAGATGGATGACTGGGAGCTTGTAAGTACAGGCACTCAGTATCGTTGTGTATATACGCAGTGTCATAGCTTGAAAAGTCAGAAGATGAGAGCGAAAGAGAGTAGTCTGAGGAGTCACTTGAAACATGCTCATGGCCTCGGGGTGGAGGACACAGAGCAATATGTTGCGCTTGGCCGATGTCCTTCTTGATTAGCAAGTTGTATTTTTGATGTATGAGATTGCTTTAGGGAGCTGTACGCTGGCGAGCGAATGTTTAGCAAAATTCGAAATGTGTATTCTAAAGCGAAGCTCCGCACAAGAAACAAGGGGATGACAATTTCGAGACCGTCTTGGTAATGCATTTTAGGAGTACGTTATCGCTTATTCTGATGTTTTATAAAACTCCTCATTGGAGAAGCAGTCTCAAATTTGAACCCTGGGCCTTTATTGCGAAGCAAGTGCCACTTTTCCGTTCCTTCCCTGGTATTTCAAGTCAGATTTTGGATCCTGTGTCGGCTGCGTTCTGCCGAGACTCCCTGCATCAAAGTCCGGGACCCAAAGAAGCAGAAGTTTTATCGTTGAGGTTGAGCATCAAGACACGATGAAAATAAAGCAGAGGGGGAAGATAAGGGAACATTTAAAAAGTCAAATTTTGTTCGTTGTCTTGGCTGTTTCAGCTCGCCTATCGGAAGAGACCAGAAAGTCTTGATCAAGAGTCCTTCACCAATACTCCCTAACAAATAATAGTCGGACTTACGACTAAAGGGTGGGGCCCCTTTAGTCGTGACGTTAAGTCCGACTATTAGTCCTTAGTCAATAGTCCCCTATTGGCAGCCATCCGCAGGCACAGATTGTACCCTCTCAAGCCTCGCCTTAACTCTCCAAAAAGACGCGAGGCGAGATTTGACTTGGTGGCGAATGTACACAATGTTCCCAAAACACTCCTTCTTCACTGGTATTTACAGTTGAATATCCCGGCACAAGACGGGGGTGTGTAACCAGGCTGTTGTAAGCTATTAAAGTCGCGCATTGTTTGGCCTGCACTCTGGATTTCTGGTTCAACAGCTATATAAATCGAGAAAGGAAGCTTATATTTGTAGTCGGCAAGCTTGATTTTTTAGTATTCTATGAAGTCTTGGGATCTCTGCGATCAGGTTTCGAGACATTCTTGACCTCCTCGTCGTTGGCGAGTACGGAGGACGAGACAATCCCCAAAATGCAAGAAATGAGGATCACTTCTCTTTATATTGAGAAGCTTTCGAAGAACTACTCGCAATTGAGGCTCTCCCCGGCTGAATGAATACCAATCTCATCTTAAGCATAGCCTTGAAAGACATGGTGAAACAATGTGTTGCATTTTCCCCTTCTGCCGAACACCAACTATGCTCAATATCCCACTTCTGTACAGAGAACACCTACCTTCGGTCTTCCAGATCTCGAAAGACCCAAAATTTGTTCAGGCAATCAAAATAGTCTTGCAGAGGAAATGGATGTACTCTCCACATGTTCGGACTTCCGAACACGAAGCCCTAATCTAAGAAACGTTCAAAAGCCACAAAGCCCCCCAATCGACCATTTTGGTTTCCCTGTACTTCACTGCGAAGCACAGCAAGGGGTCCACTGCCACCCTCTCGAGACTCTCCGATCTCTTTCCACCTTGTGAAAAGACCCTCAAAGCAGCAAAGCACTACAAAGACCCTCGATCCACCACAACCAACTTACCTGCCTCGACTTGAACGGCACTTCTGCAAATCTTCCGAGACCTTTCCCGCTCCCACCTGAAGGTGTCCCCCCCCCCAAACCATCCAGAGCCCCTTTCCGATGCTCGGCTCTCCAGACTAGATCTCAAACCCCAGATCTAGTGGGTCACTGGGTGTAGACCCAGTTAGACATGGCACAGCGGACCCCAAACTTAAACCTCTTCCTCTTCAATCATTATCTCGCTGGCCCTCATTCCTAAACCCAAAGTCAATCTCAAGCCAAAGCTCGTTGAGACGAACCTCGAGCCCTTCGCCCCGTAGCAAGTATCCCACTAGCCACTGCAACCTGAAATTTCGTCCTTTTTTGCTTGGGACCTCTCTTCTCTCAGCCCACTGCTGTAACCTTAACCCGCCGTCGTCCGAACACTCACTCTCCGACTAAGCACTCGATATGGTAGAGGGTGCTCACGGCGCAGAAGATACGAGGTGACTCCGCCTTGGCCCCAGCCATACCAATTGATTACCAAAAATGAGCAGGGGTTAGAGGAGGTCGGATTTAGCGATGTAACGATGGAACGCCACCATGCGGGCGGACACGAAGCCCCCAGAAAAGACGCATCCAGATTGAGACAGTCACCGATGGCAACGACACCCCGCTTGAAAACTGGGTTTTTACGATGATTATTCACGGCTGGGCTGGTGCGAGTAATCGAACGACAGCATCGAGGAGGAAGGCAAATTGCGAGACGAGAATTTGCTGTATTAGCAAGATTTTGTATTATGATAGTGGTTTTACTACGATCTGATGCAAAGTATTCCCCCGTCTCTTGAGCTTTGGTAGCTTGCAAGCAACATTTGAAGAACTATGTACGTGAGAAGTGAAGTCACCGAGCTACACATTTGTGAGCTGATGAGTAGAAGCTCCAAAATATCTGATCTGTCCGATCTTTCGTAAAAGCAAGATGGAATGCCAAATGAATGTCCTGTAATACTCCTCCCATCCGTCTATAACCGTCCGTCCGTCAAGTCATTAGGTTCGTAAGTTGTAGTGGAATGGCGTAAAGGGGAGGTGATCACAAGAGGAGAGCGGCAAGACCAGCAGCGGCAAAAGCACCGAAGCCAGCTTCAACCTTGATGGCTGCACCGGCAGAGACCTGGGCTAGGCCAGATGTGGTTGCTGAAGGAGACACTGGTGTCTTGGTGGCGCTGTAGGAGGCGATGACAGTTGGAGCACTGCCGGTTCCCACGGGGGTGTTCTGTGAGTAAGAAGTAGAGATAGAAGGAGGAACATAGGTGCCAGAGGTGACTGGGCAGGTAGTGTACGAGGTGTACGGGGCGACCGAGATGGTGACGGTACCGGGTGAAGTCACAACGTAAGTCGTCGCCGAGTAAGTGATCGTAGTGGGTTGCGGGCAGTACTGAAAGTGGGTTAGCAGTTGATTCTGAAGATGAGATCAAGAATCTTACGGTAGTGAGGTAGGAGATGATGGTAGTTGAAACCGTGGCAGGGTAAGTCTTGGTCTGCGTGCATGGACATTCGGTGATGGTCAGGGTGGTAGCCTCAGTGACAGTGTATGTCTGTCCAGAACGGTAATTAGCACTTTGGCCAGGATGAGATGGGAGAGAAGGAACCGACCTTATTGCCCTGAACAACGGTAGTGGGGGCCGGGCAGTAGGTGGTGTACGATGAGACGGTCTCAGTCGTGGTGACCCAGATGGGAGGAACCCAGGTGGCGTTGTATGGAGGTGGTGGGGGAGGAGCAACTGGAGTAGTGGTTGGCTTGCCCCAGGGGACGGTGTGAGAGTAGGTGCATGGGCAGTCTTGACGTGACGTTAGCAATCATATTCAACGCATCTCGTGACGCAAGAAGCTCACCAGTGATCGTGAGGGTCTCCGAAGCCGTGGCAGTGTAAGTCTTGGTGCCTTGAGTGAAGGTGGTAGACTCGGGGCAATAGGTAGTGTAGACCTTGATCTCGGCGTTAGCTTTGCTTTAGAAGAGAGAAGCGCGTGGTGGAAGGAGAGGGGCCAGAGTAACGAGTTCTTCGTGCGAGAAACGCGGCGAGACGGTGGAAACACTTTGAGAGATACGTGGAATGGGGAGCTGTTGCTCAGAAAGCGGACTTACATCAGTGGTGACGGTGGTCCAGACGGTTGTCTCGTTGCTCCAGCCTGAGCCCCAAGCAGAGACAGCGCCTACGAAGCCGGCGACGGCGAGGAGAGACTGAATGGTCTTCATTGTGATGCAGAACGATTGTATAGTACGGTAACGAGAGTGGTTTGATGGAAACTTAACGGAACGAGTTGAACGGAGATGGGTATCGCGTGAGAGTGCGGAACGAAAGTAGATGGATGTTGCTGGAAGAAAGGATTTTGTGGGAAGGAGTTTATTTATGTGTGGGAGTTGGCAAACGAGGAAGGCACACCTCGCTAGCGCCGCTCCGAAATCAACAACACCAGTTCAACACCAGCCTCCTGTTCCTGGGCATTAGAACAGCGGCGAGCACAGCAACCAGCGTCGGTAAACAGCGATCGTCCCATATGCAACACGAGAGGAGACTGCAGAATACCTCCACTTCGCACACGGCCGTGCCTTACCCAGCAACTTGCTCCTCGGGACGCACCAGTCCCCAGCCAGCGGCGACGAGGCAAGCTTACTTCGCAGCTCCACCCTGCCAGCCCCCCCGCGCAAACCATCGTCATCGCTTCTATTTTGGATCCTCCATGCTCGTCCGTTTGCCCCCTCAGCACTTGGCTGGCCCCGAAGCGTCGGCTAAGCAACACGAGCTGATTACTCGAAGAGGCATAAAGATCACAAACTTTGCTCGTTGGCTGGCGATTGCGTGCCTTGAGCTGTCTTGGCCTCACGAGCCTCTCACGTAAGGGATGTACCTGACTATCGAAGGCCATCATATACTGAGTATTCCGTGATAGGATGATATGTGGAGTTTGTCCGCAGTAGCTTTGCATCGCTGCAAACATTTCTCAACCACTCCGTCAACGACGGCCTGCGGGAGCGAATTACATCATGCACCATGTGCGGCACTCAACGATATGCGGGAGTACTTGCCCCTCACTAAAAACTTATCAGAGGGGCCGCTTGTTTCCTTGGTCGTTGGCTGTGCTCCGCAGGGATACGAGCGCCGGTTATCCGCACTGGCACCGCATGCTTGCATCGAGAGCTTCGCCGCAGAACTTGAGCTTCTGGAATGGAGCATGCGAGATTACGATCTTCGGAAATCGACAAGATGGATGTTTCGAAAGAAATCTCTCTCAAAAGGAACATTACGCAATATCTCAAAGGGCTGCCGAGGCACCGAAATGACCTGAATTTTGACGTCGACATCTCGCGAGGCTTTTCCAAAACTTCTCGGCGCTTCTTTTTCTTATTACTGAAGATACGAAGGGAACGAAGGAATACGGTCAAATAGCACCCGACTGACTGCTTGTCAATGCTTCCATAGACATAGACTTCCAGAAACGGAGGCCGAGGTCTCCTTGACCGCTTCCATCGTCCCTTCAAGGCTCAACGTCTGGTAATGCGGGAGACCGCAGCCTCGTGCGTCAAAGCTGTACGGATGGCTGGAACCACTTGAAGTGCCAAGAATCGTGAGAATTCTCCGGTCAGTCACGACCAGCAAGAGCTTCTGACTCTTTGGATCTGGCAAGTTGTGTGGGAGGTTGTTGGATGGCTGCTGACTCTTAGCGACCACAGCGCCACTTCCGTCGCAATCAGTTGACGCAAATGGGGCTGAGCCGCCTTCTACTGCTCAAGCGCTGACAGAGATCGCAGTTGTCAGCACGCCACCTTACGAATGTTTTTGAGCCTCCTCCAGGCTTCAGTCGAATAGTCGGTGTACGATTGCGGAGGGAGACCTTCTTGACAAGTCCTCGGGATAACCTTATTTTTGATTCGGGATGCTGGTTTGACAGGCTGTTGGCTGCGCTGAGGCGGCTAATGGTGCAAATTCAGGGGATGGCTGGCCACGAGAAGGAAGAGGGGGTTGTATATCTCAACACGCTCGAACATCTCAGCACGAGCTTCTTCACAATTTCGCCAAGCTTTTTTCGAGCCGAGTCGCACAAAAGCATAAATCACAGGGTGGTGCTAACAGACTTTTCTCGACGGCGTTGGACTTACAAAGCTACGGGCAGGAGAATATTGGAGGAGGATGGAGCGGCCTCGATCTCCCGATTCGATTCGGTTTCTGGCCACATTCACCCGCCCTTTTTGGATTTGATGCGAACAAGTTCATTTCAAGCCCTCTGGGTAATTTTGAAGGATTTTGAACTCTCGCCGTTTGATTCTTCTCGAAAGATTGGGAAGAGTGGGAAGTTTGAGGTACCTACCTCTTTAGACATCACATACTATATAAAAGCGAAATGTTGCTGAATAGGTGATGTACCATGAATTTGGATTCCGTCTATGGGGAAGTCTCTCATGAACCCAGGCACGCTCATGCCATCTCTTGCTCAACGTACATATGTTCTGGCCTTTGGATTTCCTTCCATCCTCATTGTCCTATTCGACTGCTTTGTTCAGCTCGCAACAAACGCAAAAAGTCTCTGTGTGCCTTAGTTCTGCAACTGAGTTTGAAGTCAAGTCAGTGCGGATGTGTCTATCCCCAGTTTCCTTTCTTTGATTCCCATCAATGTCGAAATCATTTCTCTCAACGCAACGCTGCCAAGTGATCTGCGTCCTCAGATGACGACAACCCCCAGAGTTGGATGATTCTCTCCCAGCCATCACAAGGAACACCCACCCAAATCTCCGAGGAGAGAACGCTGGCTGCACACGAACGGAGGCTTATGCAATTGATAAGGTGTAAGTTGCTGTCGGATGCGCCCAAGCGCAGGTAGGTTGAGGCCAGGTCCTGGGCACCAGCACGCCTCAAATAAAAAACTTAAGAGATAGCACACTGTTCAAAGTTGAAATCAAAGCGGTACCGCAGAATGTACATACTGACGTACAGCGAAAGGACTTCTCGCACATAATAGCACATCTATACGCAACAAACCGAAGGAGAATTGGCAAGGACTTCAAGATATTAGTGCCTAAATGAGTCGCAATACATTCAGTGTTATCCTTCTCGCCTGACATGAAATACTTTGGCATCAAAATCTCAGATGTTCGAAATAATCATGTACAATGAGCTCGATTTGCAACAAAACATTTCATCCTGACGATGCACTTGGAGTCAAGGGTCGGATGAAAGTGAGATGGAAAGTCGACATTGAGTTATTGATTCCAGGATCTCATTGTACCGTAAATTTTGGAACATTCGAACAACAAGAAATTCATTTCTAAGATTTACTCTCCGCTTCTCAATGTACCAAGAACTTTTAAAACATTGGAGCGATTTGCAACGAATCTCGAAGGAGAGGACGGGATTCCCTCGAGCCCACAAAGGCGATCGACTGCAACATTCTTCTGCACGGATTTTCTTCGGTTTTTACGAGAGGGGTGATTCTCTGTATTCTGAGACTGGGGAGTTGAGAAGAGATGGAAGGGAGGACTAGGTGAAGGATCGCTCTTCCATTATCCTTCAGATCAGGATGAGAAGTCAGAGGAAGGGGAGAGTAGGAGTCAGCCTCTCGTCTGGAGAATTGGAGGCGACAGGGATGGCACACGACCGACACATATTTGAAGGTGAGGAAGAATTAAACTCGTTGGAGCTGTCTTCCCATCTCCATTTCCCCTTCCCTGTCTTCCTTTCATCTCAAGTTCTCCACACGATACATCATCTGCAGGAATCATGCTCTCAAATATACCAGGCACCTGCTGCCAGGATATACTGAGTCGGCATCGCGTCTAGGGAGCAGTTGAGTGCGCACAGCTCGTAAGTACACAGGCTGCATCCTGCAATCCAAAGGCAATCAGAGATTGACCAACCCCTCTGTTCTCCAGGTTTGGCTGCAATGTTGTTCACTAGAACCCCAAGAGTCACGCGCCTGTCCGAAAAGAGCAAATCACGATATCGACGACCTCGACACGACACTGCAAAGGAAACGAAAGCGCCAAGGCCAAAGTCCAAATCAACACAAATCGACGGGGGCTGGAAAGACACTCAGTGTCTTGACTCGCAATTATTACGAGTTTGCTGCTTGCTAGATAGGGGATGGGTTGAAGGCGCACGCGGAATGATCCGGGCCCCTGAACGGAGAGACATCGTGAAACATCGGCGCTACGCCGTGGCTGGCGCGTCCAGGATCAAAGCGCGTCCGCGCAACCTCAGCCCTCCCATCAAAAACACGGAAAAGACAAATCACAAACAGGACGCCATCAAACAGGACACAGACAAGGTGAGGTTGAAGTATGTTTTCATGTCTATATGCTTATATCCAAAATTCTGGGGCCAAAGTATCCCTAATATATACGTCGAAGTGGAGTATGAACAAACGAGTGTAAAGGGAGCCGAAACTCCCAAAGGGTATAAATCCCATAACGGACCCCCCTTTGCTTTCCCTTTCCTTTTCCTTGGTGCCTTGCAAAGCCGTCATAAAGTCATTGAACGTCGCAGCACGCAGGCGGCGCAGACGTAGCCCATCCAATAATTGTCCGAAAACTCCTGATTCGCCTTCTCAAGTGGAGAGAGGATGCAGGAGTTTACGAGGTGACGAATTCACGGGGCATGCGGGCCACGAGGCCGCGTCTGCGCGCGTTGCTGAGGGTTCCAAGGAGAACGACGAGCTCGCTGTCGGGGGTGGACAGGGTCGCGACGTCGTCCCATTTGTTGTAGGCGTTTGAGCAGGGGAATGTCTGGCACCCGGAGACGGGCGTGTCGCTGTTCTTGGGGAAGATCATCTTGACGCCCTCGGTGTCGTTTGGGTTGACGATGGCGGAGACGTCGAAGTAGCAGGCGCCAGCGTAGCCGTTGAAGCGGAATTCTGCCAGCATGCCCGGAACGTTGGGAGCTCCCTCGGAGACGGAGTAGCAGTTACCGATCCAGCTATTTGGCATAGTCTGGTTCGCGGTTCCGAGGCCGGGGATGACGAGGCTGGGGATCTCTTCGAGGCCGGCTTGTGCGGTGAAGATGATGGTTCGGGTGGTGCTGTCTTGGTTGACGAAGTGCAGGATGTTCTCTTGGGCTGCTGCCAAGGATGCAAGCGCGGAGGCTGCAAAGAGGACGGTGCTGAGGAATTGCATATTGTAGGTTGGCGGTTGTCCTTTTGTCTTGAAAGGCTGAAAAATTGTTGGGATGAGAGAACGTTGTTCTGTCAAGTTGGTCGATCTGACTGAGCTGCTGGGTAGCTGAAGTGGCTTGATCGAAGTTGTTGGTTGAGGTCTATATAGTCGTCGAAACGAGAAATCGTGTATTGTAGACAGGTTTTTTTTCGACGTCGTAGAGACAATGCTGTCGCGGACAGGTAGGCTAGCGGTGCTTCGAGGAAGGAGTGCTGAGCTTAAGGATAGTACGTCGCGATCACAGATCGAAGTTCAAAACGAAGGAGGGCAAAAAACCGTCACTGGAAGGATACTGGACCAAAAAGAATGTGGTTGAAAGGGAGAAAAGGAGAGATTCGGGGGGGGATCAACAACCTTGATATAGGATTGCGGATGGGGCACCAATGGGCTAGACAAATGTTTCCACCGCCAGGGAAACGCCAGCGCGTCGGCCTGCCATTGGGTTCGTTGGTGGAGACCTGGGACAGGGCGGAACCAGAAGTTGGGGGCGTGAGTCGTCTGAGTCGTCCAGGTCGTTGACTTGTTTCGGCCTCTTCCAGGGATTGCTTCTCTGCCATCACATTTGTGGGAAGGGATTGGCTCTTCCCCCTGGCGGGCCGCGGGACCACGCAACGTGTGCCGGGATGCCACCAAGGATGGCTGAGCCTGTTTCGAGGCTTCGAGACCCTGAGGGTCGAAATTCAAAGTTTACTCTGGTAGACGAACAGGAGGAGCCATTCCGGATATGGCAGCGAGGCCAGGGGAAGAGATTTCGGGGGGTTCGGAGGGTGGGAAGGAGGACCCACTTGCACGTGCCCTGCCGTGTGGCGATTGGATGCAAAACGGCTGGTACCTGACAATCCGAAGCTGTCCGAAGCTGACCCTTGCATCCCGCGGGCCGCCAGCTGTCCCACGCGGCTTGGGAGGCTGGGGGTCCTGGGCCGTCTGGGCCTTTCCTGGTCTAGCGCGGTGGAGATCGGCAAGTGCTGGCCCAATAGGGCGGACGGGAGATGCACTGCGCTCCCGTCTGGGCTGACAGGGCCCAGGGGATGCGCTGACCTGAGGTCCCGACTCCTGACTCCTGGAGGATGGGAGCACTGCATACTGTGCTATGTACCATGATACCACAGTGCATGGCCAGTCAGCAACAGCACGAATGTATGGAAGCAATACGAAGTACAGTATGTGCGCAATACGACGTACAGTATGCGCGCATTGCACAAAATAGCTTCCCGCATATCGTGTTGACGCGGGGGAAGCTCAGATGCCTTCCACAGCGCGTCCAAGAATTCGTTCGGGGAAACCTAAGGGCGCAGCCAATTGCCACCACGCCGTCGGGAAGACAGTGAAGACACAGGATCCACAACGGCCGATGGGGATCTCACCGTCTCACGTTCTCAACCAGCATAGCAGCATCCCACCAGAAGAATTCTCCGTTATCCTGCTTATCGGCGTCCGGGCGGCTGGCGATCATGGTGCCAAGCCAAGCTGCTACTTACTGTACGGAGGTACGGAGTGAGGGGAGTCAGACACTCGTGACTCGTGAGTCGTGGACTCGTGGGTCGATGAAAACTCAGTCAATAGTTTTATGCAGCTGCACAACAAATCCTGAATAGCAGCTGAGCACAATTCTCCCATTCCCCCCACCCCGACCGCTTCAGGGCGACGACTAATCAGGAAGTCGGTCACAGGTGGGAGGCTTGCATCTGTGCAAAAGCTTTCGTCGTGACTTCATCATCCCACTGCTGAATCGTGGACACGCTCGCAGTGTTTTCCCTCAGGTCGCAGCCCTCGGCTTCGTCGACCCTGAAGTGGCTTTCAGAGCGCTGGCTGCGTGCTGGCTGCGTGCTCGGTCGTCCGCGATTCAAGGCTCGTCAGTGCTGTAGAAAAACAAACTGGTGAGTCCTCTGTGGTTCAGCTGTACTATTTCTGCCCTGAAGGATCATGCTCTCAAGGTTCCCAGAGCCGTCCACGTGTCTTCCGCACCTCAATAGCCCTGCTGGCTTTGCTGGCACCTGCAGCCCGACGGCGAACCTCAAAGCGACCGAATCAGAAAAATGGCGCAACGCTCGAGTCGTGCGCCCTTGCATTGGCTCAGGTACGGATTCGCGATCTCAGGAACTGGATTTGTTGGCAACTGCACATGCACCTGTGCCTGGCTTGCTCCCGAACTGTATGTTCCTGCCATGCCACGCGATACTGGAGTCCGCCAACAAAGGCCGCACACACTTCATCTCAACCCCGAGCATTATTCCCGGATTCCTGTCATCCAGACACGTTTTCAATGAAGATCAATAAGGACCCAAAGGATGCCAGATCTCGGTACAACCTACAAAGGCATCTTCCGCGTTCCTTCTTCCGTGAGGGAAAGGTTTGGAAGTGGGAGGACGGAACGGTTCAAACTTTCAAGATCGGCGCTGGGGCGGCCTTTCAGGCATCCTCCGTACAGTACAGTAAGCTTTTCGCCCAGCGAATCGGCGCGGCGTCAAAGAGAGTTTTGCCGGCCCAGACCCCAGGTCTCTGGGCCTCCGGCTCCGGCTCCGGCTTCGGCTCTGGAGATCGCCAATTGCCTTCTGCTCCGCCGAGCACCTTGATCCACTTGCAGTATCTTTTATCGATTGCGCCGTGCTGCAATTTCTGTCACCTGCAAAATCCGAATAACTTGGTTCTGGACACCTTGGCTCCGAAGTTGTGATGGAAGTATTGATTTTGGCAAGTTCGACGGTGGGAGGCAGTGTCTGGCACGTGTTGGCTACCGAGGGCGTTGCTACATGTGAAGACTTTTTCCAAGGAATGAAACGAACTACTAACAGATATCCACTTTTTTCATTCGATCGGACGCCGCTGCGAAGGGCTTGCAAGGCAAAATGGGGAGAATCGGGTAAACAGAAGCATGACGTGAGAGGAGGAGTTTCTATCTCCAATGGGAAGAGGAGAAGAGTGGTGGAAGCTGCAAGATTTGGTGGAGGACGGGAAATTCCTTGCCTCCCTCGGCAGGAGATATGATTTTCAAGTGGAAAATTTCTGTTAAGTTTCCGTCTTTTCGATCATTCTTCAATCTTCACACAAGAACGATCCCGTGCCAAGCAGGTGCGGCACACATCAAGAGTAAAATCGAGAGTGCCGGTTTGAAGACACCTGTCACGTGGTTAGAGCATAACAATCCTTTCTCCTCATCGCTAGTGTGCCCATCAGACAAATCATGCCTCAAGCTTTGATTTGGCCATTGAGAACAGTGTAGTGTTTACGTATGCTTTTCACGCCCAGCTGAAAAGATACCAAGAATGGCACTCACGTCAGAATCATCACGTGTTTGCCACTTCCAGGCTTGGTCCTTTCGTTCCCAGCCAGCTGGCTTCAGCCTCGCCTCACATCACCGCTCAATCACGGACCACTCATTTCAAACTTGACGCCATTTGTTGCACATCGGCATTCTTGTATCCCAATTATACGCTCGCTCTATTCGTTTGAAAATCATCTCCCATTGACGAATAACCGATTTTGTGTCACCTTTGATCATGTGATAGGTCAAGCTCAGCCTCCTTGCTTACTCTTACTTCCTCCGAACGAGATATATTGACTATTATTGGCCAAATATTGTTTTTATCTCATCCAAAGATCAAAATCCAAAAGAATCTGCAAGTCTCGAGCGCTGCGAGCAGCCGTCAAGCGACGACGACGTCAATTTCGCTCACACCTTCAACCTATTATAGCAAAGGCTCCATTTTTAAGTCCTCATACATAATTCTATCCACTTCTTCAGGAACCCAAAGGCTTATTGGAAAAACACTTATACCCCGTCTCCCTACTCCCATCCGAGAAGAAGACTTCCCCGTATTCCCCACGCTGACCCTACCCGCAATCCACTGATAATGCATCCTACAACTCCCCTCCTTCGGCCCATAATCGTAGCTATAACTAATGCACCCATCCTCCGTCTCACACTCATCCGGCACGTCAAAATACTACTACAATTAAACGAATACTCATTATACCGCTCACACTCTGCATTAGCCGTCCCTTCAATCCCGCACTCATGGACCGCGCGATTGATATACAGCCCATCTTCGCCTTAGAGCGGAGCGGAGATCTTGCGGGTGTAAGCTGGCACCACCTGGGTGCAACTCCCTCTCGTTGAGAAGTACACCCCGAAGGTGTCAGAGGGTGTGAAATCTCCAGGCCCGGTGCTCCACAGCTTGGAATTCGAATTGTTCAATGCAGCAGCGGGAATTTCCAAGACCAAGAATAACACGGCGTGGTGAACTCGCTGTATGCGCTTTGGAAGTGCTTCTCTTGGAGGGATTGCGGGATGGAGGCTTACACGTTGCAGGACGAAGTGTTGGTTATTGTTACGGCGTGGGCGAGACCGATGATTGTTGATGTTAGGTGGAGGATCCGGGTGGCTGATGATGGCTCGATGGTCTCTTGGGTTTGCGAGATGCCCCGGATTATTAGGAGGAGAAGGAGGGAGTGCATTCTCGGCGCTATGATGAAATTGTTGTCGAATCCAAATTCTGAAGAAAAATGGGAGAGAGAAAATCGCTCGGAGCCCCATCTTTAAACCATCTTCAACATTTCGGATCTCGTGACGTTGAGGGCTTCGTCTCCTCGGATATTGAGATCACATGAAATATTCGTGGCAGATATCACTGTGTACGGGCTGATATATAATGTACCTGCGAGGTAAATAAATTGTTTTGTGCTGACTTCACGTAATTGGGGGCATGAAAATAGAAATCAGTTTTGTGGAAGCGAATTGGGGGGGTTCCTTTGAGGAGTCGAGAATCGTGTTCCTGGACATTACATGCATGGCCAGCCAAGAGGTGATGGAGAATGCGGGGTCCTGGTCACGGGATTGAATAGAGTGATTGCGTTGACCTTACGCAGAAGTGGTGCTGTTTTTGTGTGCAGTACGTATTGATACAGTAAGTCGTATTGTGTAATGATTGGTGGCAGTCAAACAGCAAATCTCGCACAGAAGGATGCCGATTTTGAAATGAACAGAAATGGTTGCAATGCAGTAAAATTTTGTTGAGTCGGATTTATTTTTTCGCAATCTCTGGTAACAAAGTTGAAATGCTATTCCAAGTCTTACACTCTGGAGATGATACCTTTCTCACTTCATCTAACAGCATTGTTCAGGAATAATGAGGTGGGTAGGGTTCACCTTCCTCAATCACTACTAACATATTTCTGTCAGAATGGTTCACTTTCAAGTCTGTCAGAAGATCACGACAACAATCTGGATTTAAACCGAGACAGTCTTTCATCTAATGAACAAGCGACATGGAGAGAATCTTCCTGTCCCTTGTCCTCCTGGCCAATTCAGGGGGTGGCCCGGGCGTCCGTGAAGCGACGCGGCCGCAGGGGAACGTAGCGAAAGTAAACAACCTCTGAGGAATCGATGATCGCCTTTGTACACTTTGTCAAATACCCCTGTCCCCTGTCATGTATTATGAGTGGTTGTAGTTAGCTTTTGCCCAATGATACATTTGCCTGTCGCTTCAGAGGGCCAGAGAATCGTCTATAAGGCCTGATGTGGTGGCTGTCTTTGATTTCGAGACTTCGAAATGATCAATTGACATGATCTCTAGATGTGACTCTGCAGCCTTTGACATCTCAAAGGTACAGCTGTCTTTGGCTTGGAGAATACTGAACGGATATTTCCCTTTATTCCTGAAAGGGGATCACCTTTAGGGTTGAAACGACAATTTCGTGTGAACCGGGTGGCGGAAGCGTGCGGAAGCTTGATGACCTCGCCCACCGCTTGCTCTAAATTTAAGAACGCTTTCAGCTTCAAGTCCTCTTGGATCTGGCAACGTCGAGTCCGATTTCTCTCAGAGGACTTGGAATAAGGGCAACCAAACCACCAAAATGGTATCGCGTCGTAGGAAGAGGAAGCCTCGCTGGGAGAACGTCCTTTGTTGCTCTGGCCTCCAGTATCTCCCTCACGGCCCGAAATACAAGAACGCGCCTCCCTCGGCCGAGTCGATCAGCCACCTAGATCTCATCCTCAAACTTGGTGGCAGCCTTCCCTGGGATAAAGACGATCCAGTCACACATCTGTTGCTGAAGGAGGACCACTACCACGAAGGCATCGTCTCAGTTGCACGCTTTGGCGAACCCTCCGACAAACACGTACCGGTCCGCTTCTTCGCCGCATGGGCAGTAGGCGACGGAACTCTGGACGGCTTCGCTGAGATCGACAAGGAGAAGATCGACCTTATGCAGGAGCAGGGTATCCTGGAGCATGCCAACTTGCCGAAGAATGATCGCTTCTATGGCAAATGCCCAAAGCATCCAAAGCTCGAGTTCTACGTTCGGTTTCATCCTCTGAAAGAGAAGCCGATGTTTGAGTGGGAGAAGGACCCGAAGGAAAGGGGGAAGAAGTATCCGTGGAAGGAGGGAGAAGCAGGTAAGTCGACACGAACACCCCAGCAGGCAAGCTCTCACAACCAAGCAGTCAGCACCGGAGTCTCAAATGAGAAATTTGAACCTAAGATTTGGGGAGATATCAATTTCGATGGAGACGATTGCCCTGCGCCCCTGGCGTTCTTCGAGTTTCCTACCCTCGACAACTACGACCACGAAGTTGGAGAGGACGACGATTGGATCACGAAGATCGACTTCGATAGCTGGCCGGCGTGATGGTATGTCAGTGGTCCCTGGGAGGGAGTGGCGGAGACCATACCTGGATGAGCACAGATACGAAAGGAAAGTCTGAAGAATAAAGAATACTTGAGAAGGACCTCGAATATTGGGCTACGATGAACCAAAGACACATGAAGTGACAACAACCCTAACACCCAAAGAGCCAGGCTTCTGAGCTGGTATGGAATAGTCTCCCGAAAGCTTTGCATCTTCAATGGTAGTTCCAACCAACTCCAATATTCTTATATCTATCTCGTCTCTCACTTCTTTGCTGCTAAACTTGGAGAAAACACTTGCAAGGCAGGAGATATACAGCTCTGCATATGCTAGGTTCATATACAAACACCTCCGACTCCCCCTCGAAAAGGCAAACTAATATTTCATCATATCGGGGGTTTCGATCCAGCACTCTGGCTTGAAAGCCCGTGGATCTGGAAAGATATTCTTATCTTGATGCAAGTGCCAAACAGAAACGCTTGTTGGTGTTCCAGAAGGCATGGTCTATGATCTTTGGCTTTCTTCAGAGGGCCCAAAGGTGAGAGGATGTTGGAAGTTTCGTTGTAGACGGTGGGTTGCTCCAATGGAGAAGCGCAACTTTTCCACGATGATGGCCATGAAATATAGGAGCGCTTGAAGACAGGGATAGACCATTGGGCGCATGGGTCTGGGTCAACAGTTTTGAGTTCGGTTTTCAGCTTGCTCAGGATCGAGGGGTTTCGAGAAGATGGAAGGTAGCGAGTGTCAATGTCCAGCCTGTAGTTTGCGTCCCCGCGCCGGGGAGCAAGTGTGCCTCATCTTTCAGCCGATGCGAGGCTTCCTCATGTTTGGGAACTTTGCAAGAGAGGATATCGTAGAATACCGTCGAGTGACTGGAGGCATCACGAGAAGCATTCGCGCCAGACCGAATGTCTTCGATTTGTCGATACATTTGTTGCCGTGGGATCGTCAAGTCCGGTTGTCGCATGCTGGGTGCGGGATAGGGATGGACTGGCGGTGGTGGTCGTAACATTGCAGAGCTTCCCGAACTCGATAAGACATTCTGATTGCGGCATATTCTGTAGCCGTTCAGTTGACGTCTGATCTTTTGAAGTTTGGCGTTAACGGATGAAGGGTGTTTGGAGTATTTTCAGACGGTACACCAAGCCACTTTTGCCCAATGACCACCAACGCACGTGACTGTAGGTATTGAACGGCTCAGACCAGATGAGCGAGGTGTGAACTGGATAGAATGGAATATCAAACGGATATTACGCGCGATATAACTGTGCTCCGCCGGTCAAACCATTATGCATATGTTAGTTAAGCTTGATCTCTGCGTGGATCAGGTGTCGTCATCCACCAGAGAGGACGGGAGAATGTGGTGTGGGGATAGAGCGGAGAACTCTGGAGACTCCGCCTGTGAACCAATCCACCCACCCCGAGGACATTTTGGTCAGTCGTCAAGCCGAGCGTTTAATAACATGCGGATGTTCTGTTCTTCAGATTTTGTGTTCATTCGATGGATGAATGGCCCAAATGCCTCGGTGCATTTCATGGGGGCGCAGCAACTCGAAAAAGGGGGGGGGGGGTTTGAAACGCCTTCCCCCGGTACCTTGCAGCTGTAGGCCCGTTTAACTCGATTGGGTCTGAAGAAACGTCGTGCACGGCCCTCAGCATCAACCCTCGAAGCCGACACCCAAATCTCCCCCCGATCTGAGCGCTTCTCGCCGTTCACCTCGCTCTGCTCCTCTCCTCAGGACCTCAGCGAACACATCCGCGTGCATTTGTGCACATTACGTTCCCTCTTTGCTGTCGCCGTCGCCCGCCTTCTTCTACTTCTTCTTCTGCAAACGCGTTGTTTGCGCCAGTCACTCTTTATTTTATTTCTCTTCTCCAACACTCCTTTCACTATGCGGTTCCTGTCGATTCTTGGGGCTTCAGCTCTCCTCATCGCGCCTGCCTTCGCCCAAACCTGGACGCTCTGCAATCCCCTCAATACGACCTGCCCCCCCGACCCCGCACTGGGAATCAGTCACAACTTTGTCTTTAACACCTCGAAAACCGTCTCCGACTCCTTCAACATCACTGCCGGAGCTCTCACCTACGGCAGCAATGGAGCCGAGTTCACCGTTGCCAAGAAGGGCGATTCCCCCACGATCCAATCTCAATTCTACATCTTCTTTGGGTCGGTCAGCGTCATCATGAAGGCGGCCAGTGGTCAAGGCATTATCTCCTCGATTGTCCTCGAATCCGACGATCTTGACGAGGTTGATTGGGAGTTCATGGGCGGGAATAGCACTCACGCCGAGACCAATTACTTCGGAAAGGGCAACGACACTTCATTCGACCGCGCCTTCTACTACCCCGTCTCCTCCAATGTTCAAGAGAATTTCCATAATTACACGGTGGTTTGGACCTCTGATAAGTTGGAATGGTTAATTGACGGGCAATTGGTTCGAACGCTGCCGTATGCAGCAGCAAATGGAGGCAACACCTACCCGCAAACCCCCATGACTGTCCGTCTGGGAATCTGGGCTGGTGGAGATCCTGGCAACTCGAAGGGAACAATTGAGTGGGCAGGAGGTCTCACCGATTACTCTAAAGGACCCTACACCATGTATGTTCAGAGTGCTACCATCAGCGACGCCTCCACAGGCAAGGCATATGAGTACGGCGATCATTCCGGAAGCTGGCAAAGCATTAAGGTCGTCACGTCAGTATTTCTCTCCTTATTGTTTCGTGTTCGCTAACAGTTTGCAGTGGAACCTCGCAAGTCAACCAAACTATTGTCGCAACCGAGACTCCACACCTATCTATGGCTCAAAAATTCCAAGCTCTCCCACAGACGACCAAGCTGGCAATCTACGGTGGCAGCGGTGCCGCTGGAGCCCTCCTCCTCGCGGCGATCCTCTTCTCTTGCATCCGTCAACGAAGAAAAGGTCGCAAGGAGCGCGATGCCTACAATGCCAAGGTCGAGCAGGAACGTGAGGAAGCCTACCGCGACCAGATGGAACTTCGCGAGAAGGGACTCGGAGGCTGGGACAAAAAAGAGTTCGATCATCAGGGCGAGGACGCGTTGGGCGGTTGGGGTGGAAGCTTTGTCCCAGCGGGAACACAAGCTAATGCCTTACCCGCTGAGAAATCGAAGTTCCCAGGCAGCGTTTCGGTGAACGAGGTTCCGTCGAGAATGCAAACTCCTTCCTTGGCAAGCCCCGCGCCTCAAAGCCCAAGGCAATGGAGTGGTGGAAACCAGGGTGGTTTAGTCCAAAATGCTGGCAATGCATACTCGGGAGGATATGGCGGAAACCCCAATATTCCAAGAAGTCCCGCATTCCCCCTGTCACCACAAGTTCCACAGCAAAGAAGCCCAGGGGGTTACACGAACAACGCGGGATACTCGAGATTTTAAGGTGCAGGGGTAGCTTTTTCGTTAATGTTTATGGATAGGGTCCGAGAGATGGCGCAGCTTATGAATTCATAGAAGGGAATGTACGCTGGATCCGTCTCATTTCCTTTTATATCATGTCAGATTAGCCAGAGCGACCGGTTTCTTTGAGCGTTTAGAGCGCTGTACAATCAACAAAGGTTTATATCTATGATGAACTTCTCACTGGCCACTGACAGAGCAAGGTTCTCAATTGCAGTGCCACAGAAACAATTAATAGGATGGACCCGGTGTACGCCCAGCTCCTAGGAACAGATAATGTGCCGCAAACATCAGTCTCACGCACCTCACTCATCATCTCCATCCTCCTTCCTCTTCACCGGCGCATCCTTCCTCGCCGCCGCCTCAGCATACGCCCGATTCTCCCAATTCATCCTCTCCTTATACTCCGTCACATGCCCGGGCACCTCCTTAACAACATTATATGGCCCCGGCACCGGCTCCCCAAACTGCTCACTCAGCGGCAGCACTCCCGTCCACACCGCATCAAGCACCTTCTGATCCCCCAAATCACACATCTCATCATTCGGCACGCCTTCCCTGACCTTCGCACTGCCACTATCGATCTTCACTTTCAGGATCTGCGTGCTCTGCATCTCGGCCGGGTTCGGTGGGACCCGCGTGTGGCGCCAGCGGTCGGGCACTACGCTGTTGGTAATGAGTTCCATGGCCCAGAGCTTCTCGTCGAGATCCGTGACGAGTGTTGCGTGTCCAAATAAAACAGCGGATCGATAATTGTAGTTGTGGGAATTGGGCGTTAGAGTCAAGACCAAGCCGTCGACTTTCGAGGCGGCGATGCAGACGGGGAGACCTGGGGATGAGGAAGAGCGGGAGACGTTCATGAGGCGCGATGAGACGTAGCCGTGCAGGTATAGGTCCAAGGGCTCGGAGATGGAGGCGGAGGGCCGCGAGAAGGAGCCCATTTGCCCGATTAGGGGGAGGATTACCGGGAAGGGGTCTGTAGGGGAGGGGTGGAAGGAGACATGGAGGACGGGAGTGGTGTTTATTATTGTGTGGATTGTTGTTAAGGAGTATACAGCTGGTAATTGTTAGATTGTGACAGGGATTGAGAAGACAAAAGGTACCTTGGTGCTTGTATCTGTTGACGGTGTTGTGTACATCTTTGGGATATTCAAGATTATGTCGAACCATTGTGAGATTGAGAAGCTTAGCTTGTGATAATGAAGGGATTGATTATTCAGCCAAGACGGATAATTTTTTCTGGATAGCTTCAGCCAAGTTATAACTTGTTGGAGGAGCGTTTAAGTAGCTTCACCTAGAAGACCGTCACTCGACAGATTGTCGTTGTGCCTCATGCAGCTTCAAGCCCGCTAGACTCGAAGATGCAAGTCCACGCGAGGAGTCACCCACATCTCCCACCTTCGCCCTCTCGCACCCCAAGCATTCACACTTCTTATCATCCTTTCCCGCTTCTTTGTTTGGATGGTATCACTTCCACGTGATTGCATCGGGCTTCTGTTTCCCAATTAGGCGAAGAATCTCGACCCCGCCAAAACCTACCCCATCATCAATATCAGACGAAACGAAACAGCATCTCAACTCATCCCTCCCAATAATATGGGGAACATGCCTCCACCTCTACTTGAAATCGCGTGCTTCAATGCCGAGTCTGCGCTTATCGCCCAGGATGCTGGAGCGGACAGGGTAGAACTTTGTAAGGAGCAAGAGCTGGGAGGAACTACACCATCTTGGTCGACTTTTAAATCTCTCTATGATGAGCTTGAGATACCGATTTATGTGATGATCAGGCCTCACGGTCGGGATTTCATGTATAGTGATGAGGAGTGCCGAGATATGGAGCGAGATCTCGAAACATTCAAGCAGGAAGGCGCACAGGGGTTTGTTTTCGGTATCCTGAATGAACAGGGAACGGTGGACAAGGAGAGGTGTCGAGGTTTGGTGCTCAAAGCAGAGGGTATCCCTTGTACGTTCCACAGGGCTTTTGACGAGATATCGGAAACGGATATGCTGAAGCAACTGGAGTTGTTAATCGAGGTCGGCTTTAGAGCTGTGCTTACGAGTGGAGGGGGCAAGAACGCCGTCGAGGGAAAGGAGATGCTCAAGGAGTTAGTGGCCACTGCAAAGGGAAGAATAGATGTGATCGCAGGTGGAGGTGTGAGATCTTCAAACTTGGAGATGCTGAGGAAAGAAACAAGTGCGCCTGTCTTCCATTCGAGTGCCATTGTAGATGTTGGCGGAGGCGAGATAGCAAGTCGAGATGAGATCTAGCTGTTAGACCGACTTCTCGATGAATGACATTCAAGATAGCAAGATCAAACATAGAGCCAAAAGTAGATGGAGACAAACGAGGGGTATCAGAATGCTCACTTCATGCTCTAGTTTATTGATCGCCTCCACCCTCCAGCCTGACCCGTACCTCCCTGACCAATGCTTTTGCTTCCTCAACCTCGACGCCGTCCTGACACAACTCCGTCGCTAATTGCATTGCTCTTGTATAATCGCCAGTCCTCATTGCATATTTCGCCAACCACATCCTCGCTCTGGAAGTCGCAGCAGTAACGCCAGTTCCCGCTCCTGAGTCTGCTGCACCAGTGCCAGCACCAGGCCGTGACTCGTCATCTGATGATTGCGAATCTGCATGAATATTGATAACAGAGGCCTCCAGGTTATCGGCTGCTCCTTCTTCTTGCGCAACACACATCTCCATGTAAGCTCTGGCCTCTGCATCATCCTCGAGTCGTTCGTACATTCCAGCGATTTGAAGGAGAATCTCGGGGTCCATAGTTCCACCTCGCTCTCGCCCACCGCTTCCGAAAGAGCTTCCTGCGCCAGCATCATAATAGCTGTCAGCCAACAAAGCTCTCTTCAGCGCTTTAATTCCTTCCAAGTCACGTCCCATCTTTTGGAGGCAAGATCCAACTGCCATCCACATCTTGCCATCCCAAGGTCGTAGTCCTGCTGCACGTTTGTAGTACCATAAGGCATACGCATGCATTTCCAACACCTCATAAGTTTGGCCTAAACCATACCAAGCTCTGTAATCTCTCCTGTTGACATCGACTGCTCTACGGTAGGATTCAATAGCCGCGTGGGTGTTCTTTAGTTCGACATATTCATGTCCCATGAGTGTCCAAGCACTCAGGCATGATCTATCGAGCGTAAGGGCTCGCCGAAAATACTGTACAGCCTTTTCATGTGAGGAAAGGAGAGAATAATAATTTCCAATTACAACGCAGGACTCTGGACGGAACTTATCGACCGAAGAGCATAGATGTGCAAGGAATGACAATTTTGGCCGTAAATTCATGACGTAAAGGATGTTGGAATAGTGGTCAAGTGAGTCTAGTCTATGTGGATGAAGAGCGAGGAGATTGCTGAAGTGAGCATCGGCCGTGACGAAATCTTTGGTGTGATAAGCTAGGAGAGCAAGACATGTGAGGAGGAAAGGACTCGTTGGGAATATTGAAAGGAGCTGATTTAAAGAATTGGAAAGTGACGGTGTTGATTGGTAGAGTTCGAGTGAGGTGTGAAGATGGAATATAAAGGAGAGAATATTCTGCGGGAGGTGCGGAGATATTCGATTGAGCTTTAATTGTTAGCAGTCGTGCAAAACCGGGGAGATTTATACTTACATCTTCGACTCGACTGATTAACGAAGTCATTTCCAACCAACAGCCCCAATTGAAAGAATAAAGGTGCACGCTTCGAATAAGCCAACGCATGGCTTCTTCCTCATTCTTGTCTTTTGCAAGAACCATACCGTAGCTGCAGCAATTAGCAACTTTGTTAATGTGGAGTAAGATCACACTCACAGGTATTCGAGCCAGCCTTGGCTCCCGATGACATCCCCATTCTCCGTCGTCCGCTCTGCAAACCATCCTTCCAAGAATCGAGCAATTGTCACCAATTGCTTATTGATAGTATTTCCCCCATCATGTGGACCCATGACCATTTCACTATCCTCGTCCTTTTTCTTCTCGCCTGACATGAATTTGGCATATAGTGCCAAGAATAGACTTTTCTGGCTCAGCCTTGGTGTTTTGGGTCCAACAGCGGAGCTTGTTCGAGTAGATGATGCCTTCCCTCTTCCCTTCCCTTTCGGTGTCGATATATTTGGGTTCTTCGGTGCTGCTGTTGACAGAATACCGGAAAGGACAGTGTCTGGTAAAAACACAGCAGCGCAACGATCATATTCTCGACAATCAAAAAACGACTTTGCCAAAAGATATTGATTGATCTCTCTCGCCTCCATCTGTGCTTCATCAGGGTCGATGTTGCCGGTCACAACAATTGGGGGTAGGCCCTCCAAAGGAACTTCGGTCATCTGCGAGTCCTCCGGCTCTGAAGAGATATCTGGCGTTGGTATCGCTGTCAATAGCTCTGCAGCCCTGGTGTAGCGTTAGAAAAGCGCATCGCAGCTCGTAACGTGTTCCGTACCACTTCGCAGACTGATATAAACATCTCTCCGAGCATTTCACCACGGCCACTTGCAGGGCAGCTCTCAAGTCCGCTGTTTCACGCTCGTTGAGAGGCATTATGAATCTGAATCTCCGCTCCCGGGCGAGCGGTGGCCTATATCGATGTACTGAGGCCGCCACAGCTTGTTCTTGTTGATAGTCTTGAGGGTGTTGTACTACCTTGCGGGCCGGTCCTAAGGCGCGCGGAGCCAGTTTGACGCGTCGGCTTCGCGGGTAGCTGCACTATATGTTTGACGGTCCAACTTCGAGCAGCTCTGGGATGTGATGCTTTGTGCGCAGGGCCGTTACAGCACATTTTCGAGATGTGACGCAGGCGCTTGATCAATTCTACTGTAGTCCCGCAAGCCGAGTTTGGAGGTCGCGACTCGATCAACACCCAGGACAGGACCCCTGTTTCTGCCAATCCGAACCCCACATTTCATTTCTCACCGCTTCAGTCCCCTCGTCCTCGACAACTTTCGGGCAAAAGGATTTCAAGTTCGTTCTTAAAGCTTTCTCCGTCCCTTGTTACTCTCAATCGACGCTTACCAGCAACTGAGGTCATCATGGCAAAGACCACCACCCTCAAGGAATTCGAGTCCGTCTTCCCCAAGCTTGTTGAGGACCTCCTCGATCATGCCAAATCGTACAAGCTCCCTGAAGAGTTTTTGAACTGGTACAAGGCTGTAGGAATGGATCCTGATCTCCGCAGGCGTGCGAGCTGACCTCCATTTCAGTCTCTCAATGCCAATACCATTGGTGGAAAGTGCAATCGCGGAATGTCTGTACCAGACTCCGTTTCCATGCTCCTCGAATCCCCCCTCTCCGAAGAGCAATACTTCCAGGCTGCTACGCTGGGATGGATGACCGAGCTCTTGCAGGCTTTCTTCTTGGTATCGGACGATATCATGGACAGCAGCATCACTCGTCGAGGTGCACCTTGCTGGTACAGACAGCCACAAGTCGGAATGATTGCTATCAACGACGCTTTCTTGCTGGAATCTGCAATCTACAGCCTCCTCAAGAAATACTTCCGTAGCCACCCCTCATACATTGAGCTCGTCGAATTGTTCCACGAAGTTACGTTCCAAACCGAGATCGGCCAATTGTGCGACCTGCTGACTGCACCGGAGGACAAGATCGATCTTGACAATTTCTCGATGTCCAAGTATCAATTCATTGTCATCTACAAGACTGCATACTATTCCTTCTACCTCCCCGTTGCCCTCGCTTTGTACCATCAAAACATCGCCACACCGAAGAACCTGAAGCAGGCTGAAGACATCTTGATTCCTCTGGGAGAATATTTCCAGATCCAGGACGATTACTTGGACAACTTCGGCCTTCCAGAACACATTGGCAAGATTGGCACTGATATCATGGATAACAAGTGCTCATGGTTGGTCAATCAAGCTTTGGCGATTGCCACTCCCGAGCAGAGAAAGGTGTTGGAGGATAATTATGGACGCAAGGACAAGACTCACGAGGCTGCTGTCAAGAAGCTTTACGATGAGCTAAAGCTGGAGCAAATCTACAAGGAGTACGAAGAGAAGCGTGTTGATGAGATCAGAAAGCTGATTGCCAATGTTGACGAATCAGAGGGCCTGAAGAAGACTGTTTTCGAAAGTTTCTTGGCCAAGATTTACAAGCGAAGCAAGTAAAATGGGAGTGGGGTACAGGCACATGGGTTGGGGCGGGAGTCCTGCCACAAAAACTGCCTTCTACTTATTATAGACATGAGCTACTTGAGCTTCTATGCCCATATTCATTTATGCTCTCAGTGCGCATAATACATAATACCTTCGCTGGTCTTGAATCTTCCGGATCGCTCTATCAGTGCAGCCTTGTTTAGACCCTTCACATTATGGTCAATCCGGAAGGTCGGCAAACTGTGTTGAATGAATATCATCCATACAACTATTTGAGCTCGTATCCCTGTCCTATGTCACCAAGATCCCTTGCAGCTGGTCGATTCGAGGCCCTCCTTGCTCAGGCTCTTACTTCCTCATTGTTCTGCAACCCGGGAAGCGGCGCGAAGGATCTCCTCGCAGGATCCTCTGATAACAAGTCTAGACTGCTATTTAATTACCTCTTGGTGCTCTCCCATTGGTTTCTGGCTTTACGTACAGCAACGATTACTGTGGAGCAAGTGCAAAGATACTGGAGGAGCTGGGTTTTCCAGGGCACACCTCCTTGATAAGCGAGCCCTAAATGCTCCGCCTGGAACGTCTGTCTGCCTTCCCTACACCCGTATTACCCTTCTGTGGGCGGCGCAGCCGTCGATCCCAACATCAGCCTCGATTTCCGCCTTCATAATCAATAACCACCTGTCACTTGTACAGCTGGTGACCTATACTATTTACCTGCTTCTTTGCTCCAGTCGTCAACTTTGCGTGAAAAAGAAGCACCCAACCGAATTCAAGCCTCCAAAATGCGTTCCCACAGCACCACCACAAACGCACCACACCACAATGACCCTGCATGCCGCCAATACGCCCTCTTCTTCCATGACCTTACGCCCACGTGGTCTCTTTTCACACCTCTGATCTTCGCAATCATAGCCTCTGTCCTAACTTCCTGGATCCGGACCATTCCTCCAGGTAAAGAAAACGGAACCAAACCCAACATCGAAGTCACGCCGCCAACCCCTATCAACGACGTTGAAGCCACGGCAATACCAGATTCTACCACAGCAGGTGCAGGTAATGGAACAGAGGAGCAACCACCACCCTATCAACCACCTGTCCAAGAGACCTCGACCCTAGCTCTAACCTCAACTCCAAAACCACCAAAAGTCCCACGCTCCTCGGCAGGGAGATTCGTCATGGGCACTGCCATCTTTCTCGCCATCATCGCCTCCCTTTTCCTCGGAGCCTTAGCTTTGCAGGCGGTCATCTTCTGCCAACATTGGAGTCCAGTTTCCATGTTCCCCCGCGTTATCTATTGGGTTGTTTTCGGCATTCCCTGTGGCTGGACGACAGTCGGAGCTTCTTGTTGGCTCATGTTACTGAGGGATCTCTGGGGACCGGGAGCGAGGAAGAAGTTTCCGATTCAGGAGAGTGCCTTGATATATGGGCTGTTCTGTGCCCTGCTCTCCCCTTTTATTCTTATTGGATTTGTGTTCGGAGGAGGCGCAGTGAAGGTAAGAATTTCCCTACTGAGAGCCCAGCCCGGAAGCTTTTCGGGAGCCGGCACCTTTCTTGGGAACTTGGCTCCTCAGCTCCTGGAGTCGCTTTCAAAACCAGAATGTCCCAGTCTAACGCATTGATTAGGCTATTGAAGCGTGTCAAAGGCGGTTTTGCGGTGATGCCTTGGAGGACGAGGGGGACGAGAGTGAAGAAAGTATTGAGCTACGGGAGGGCTCAAGAATGGAGGACCGAACAGGATTAAGAGAAGGGAGTGGGAGCGGAGAAGAAGAGAGGATTGGCTTGATAGGTGGTGTGGAGAAGTAAATGACGCGCCAAGGAAGTCATCAGACGGCGTCATGTTTCACTTCGAGGTTGAAAGATACGGCGAACATCCTTTTCCTGCAGGACCTTCAATGCAGCTCATTGTTCCGAGCAAGGTAGTACGTTCCGCCAGGAGAGTCAATGATTAAATTAGATATGGAAGGAGAGAGGGAGCAATGGTTACTCAATCGCTAAACGTTGTAACAAGAAGTTGTTTGCACTTCACTTGACGAGCTTCAGGAGGCCAGTTACTGGATCCAATCAATGTTTTATTTGATGGAATATACAATGGTAGAAGAGTTGTTTTACATTACCCAAGAAGCAAACCGTTCCATGAGTGTAGTCATTATGCTCTTTCAAATAATTGGTCGTTATGCAGCTGCGTGTTCCTCTCCCTCGACTTGCTTCTCCTCTCTCTTTCCTTTTTCGTCCACTTCTGGTGTTTCCTCAGAAGGAACCTCATCGCTGCTCTTGCCATTCACAGTTGTGTTCTCCTGTGCCGGAGCTTCAGCAGGGGCTGGTTCTGGAACGGGCAGTTTCGGTTTGGGGACGTTTTTCGCCTTCACGAGGCCAACAATATAATTCCCTGCATCTCCAGCCCCATCTAGTCCACCTATCTTCGATTTGAAATGTTCAGCGTCACGAAGCATCCTATTAAGTGGTCAGCGTTGTTTGAGACTGCAATAGCGAACGGCACAAACCTCGATAGAGCAGCTTCGCTCTGCAGCGTTACATCACCAAACGCCTTTCCCCATTGCTCTTTATAGCTCTTGAAAACCGGCTCCATAATCATCCTGACGGTCATCTCCGGTAGATGCTTGCTAAGAACACGATGCAAGGTGCTCGTTTCTTTTGTCAAGGTTTCCATGTAAGCGTTTACCCCTTCCTTGCCTGCTTTCTCCCAGTCGATAGTTTTCATTGCTTTTGCATGGGCAGTGGCTCGACCAGCCATGATATCCACCAATTTATCATAGATGGATTGCTGGTGTTCTAGGTAGGCCCGCCGCGCTTTGTCGAACTCCCCCATGAGTGTCGAAACGGAAGACCCAGAACCTAGGTGCCGTCGGACGAACTCGCGTATGTGGGGGATCAATGTGCTAATGAATGACAAAGCTTGTGCGGCAAGGGCGAGGTGCTTGGTGGTGATGTTCTTCAATCCCGCTGACCGAGTTGCGCCAGCTCCTAGAATGAGCTGTGTACATCGAGAATTGAAAAGTGTGAGGTATGACAGAATCGAAGTTGCAATCTCCTGAGTCATAGATGGGATGCCTGTGTTTAGGTAGAGGAAAGAAGAAAGGCCGTGCAGGCAGAGGATAGCGGGAACCGGAAGAAGGAACGAGTCGCTTTCGATGACTGCCGGGCGAGTAGTGGTTTTTGAAGGTGCGGCCGATGGTGTTGAGGTGCCTGAAGCGCCATTTGTTTGGGGAGTCAGCAAGGAACTCGCCGCTTTGGCCTGAGAAGATGTCGAGGGCGGAAGCCATATTTTACTACCAACACTCCAGACTTCGGCGTCATGCGTGCTTGCTGAGAGGATACGAAGCAGCTCTTCCTTGTCCTCTTCTGTAAAGTCTTTGGCGTTCCACGGGTCGGCTTCCATGCCAGTAGCCAAAGCTTGTCTTTCAGATTCGCTGAGCTGTTGGACAAACTCTTTAATATGGCTATTGACAACGTTTTTCAAGGCGGTGCCGCTTCTTCCCGAGACGGCTTCGCATTCATTCGCGAACAATAGGTTGAGAGTAAAGTAGCGGAGAAAGTTTTCCACTGAGAGCTGTACGATCTGTTCAGACCGAACTCTCAAGACCTTGACAATCTTGTCTTGTGCAATGTCCACTGCTTGTCCGAGGAGATTTGACATGTCCAGAGTTTGATGCATTTCTTCTTGGATTTCTCGGCCAGAGATGCCCTTAGATGTTGCCGGCTGAATCCGACTATCGAGAGTTGCCACGTTTGGGCTTCTTGGAGGCGATTTCAACCCGTTCGATGCTGGTTCTCCCAGTGTGCTAGTAACATCAAGCAATACCTTGACTTGCGTCCCAAGCCTCCTCAGTGTTTCACCAACTCCTATATATGTCTTTCTTAACAACTCTTCAGCGTCTTCCGGTTCCAACGCTCTGAGATTGCGTGCAAGGATTGTTGATTTCTCTTGCTGTGTCTTTTGTCTACCTCCTCCCACAGTGGAAGCAGACATCATTGAATCTGCATCTTCATCATTGGACGCTGGTAATGGTCGCCGAATAATACTTCTGATTTCGCGTAAGACTGAATCGCGATATGCTGCGGTCGCGGGTGACGTGTGCCGCGCTCGATGGAGACAGGACAAATTTGACAACAGCTCGGATCTGAAATCATCCTTCATTGTCAGATAGGCAGGGTATACAGAAGGCTCTCGATTGTGTCCCCCTCGCGATCGTTGCGAGGCACTATTCCAGCGCTGTAAGGTGTCCGGGAAAGAAACTGATTCTACGTGACGCCTCAGGTCACCCATCAGTGCATTCAGAAACCTGGCTTCGAACACTTTGCCAATACGAAATCGCAATGTATCGAGATCATTTGTAACTCCTTGTAAGGCTGTCGCTCCTCGAAGATCGCGCAACCGGATGTCCTTCTCAGTAACTTGGTTCAAAATTTCTCCTGATATTAATTTTTCCAGGTCATCGATTGCGTCTAGAGCCTTTTCGACCTCCCCACAATCAACCAAGGACTCAGTGCTAGCAACTGATTCGACAATGCGCTTCAGCTGTTGAACTGCGTCGCTGAGTTGCTTCAGATTCTCCCTTTGTCGCCTCTTATTTACGATGTTCAGTCCTCCTACAGCCAGCTCCTCGTCAAGAACCGTGAGCTCTTTTCGCAAAGCTTTGATTCGTTCGACGGAATCAGCAGCTTCAGAATGAAGCTCTCGCAAGGATCCTAAAGCTGCGAAGAAAGAAGTAGAAGCTGTGGAGATAGATGATATTAAGTGCACTTCAATAGTATCCATGTACCAAGAGAGCTTCTCTTGTAGAATAGCATTGGTTGCAAGCGCTTTCCGCGGCCCAAGTGCATTCCCATTCGATCCTCTTCGCTCATCTGGCGTTCCTGGTGCTGGCCGTACTACTTCGGAACGTTCACTGACGACATCAAAGGTACGGGGATTCTCGAGATGGAAATCCTCATCGAAATAAACGTTGGGTATCGTCGATAGAGGCGTTGGTGCGTGTACCGCACGTCTGCCGGACCCTCCACTTGACCGTCTCCGTATTGTCGGGGTGTCGATGGATGAAGCTAAAGAGGCCAGTGAAGCTTGTCTCGAAAGATTCGGTCGACTGGATGAGCGGCGATCCAGCTCCAAGAGATCCGAGAAGTCGTCCGCCTTGCTTCCTTTCCTGAAGAGTTGTGTCCCGCCGTCTTCTTCGTTTTCCTTCGCCCGCTGCAACGCATCGTAAAGAGCCCCGACTTGTGTGAGATAAGGCTTGAATTCCGCTGGATCGACAGTAGTGATATTTGTGAGAGTGACCGGAGGTATGTCTCGTGCAGTAGGTGGTTTGTGTGCACTGGACGCTGGTGCAGAGGTATGTGGAATCAAACCTGTCCGAACAATGGGTGGTTGTAGGAGGGTAGATATGGCTAGGATGTTGTTAGTGGCCGAGAGACCTGGGGAAATTGTAATTCTCACCATTCTGGCCAGATTCACTTAGCCCATGCCAATGTGATGCCGTATCCAAGGTGCCACCTATCGAATGTATCGAGCTAGCGGTTGAACCGCGCCTTGGTTGATATCTGCCGCTGGACCCGGTTCTACTGAACATCAGTACATCTGCCATAATATCAAAACTTCAGACTCCCACAGACCTTGGAAATGGGTATTCGCCTCGTGTGGGCGATGGGGATACCGGGGAAAAACTGTCGACGGAATGTCGTGGCGCTGGAGAAGCCATGATCGGAATGGTTCGCTCGAAGAAGGGACTTTCGAACAATTGCTGCGCTCAGCCCCACGGCCTCCGACCTCCCCCTGCGGCCGCGCAACCAATGCTGCTAGTCGAAAAGCACGAAGTTCGGTGAAGGAACTGGGCGAAGAAGGCGGATCGGGCCACGAGGCCTTTGAAACCTGTCAACACCCTCGTTGACGAATCGATGGATTACTATCGGGGGATCATTGCTGGAAGAGAGCAGACTGCATGTCAGTTCTCTGCGCGGTGATGGCGGGGCTCTCGTGGACTCGTGCAATACGTACTGGAGATGATGAAGGTGACATTGAGATAGAGATGGCCCTGCGCCGAAAGCGTCAGCCTTTCATGGGTGCCCACCTGCATGGCTGTCATTGGCTGCAGATGCCCGGCCGGGATTCTAGAAAAGCGCAGGGGTGTTTGATGCAACCACTTTAAGTTGACGCGAAAAATCGCGACTCCTGAAAGACGCGCCCGCACCCGCACGCGCGCCTTCCCTCCCTCCCTCCCTCATCCTCTTTCTGCCTCATTTTCCAAATCAGTCAACCCCAACTCCTTTCCCGCTTTCCATACCACTCAGCGCACCTCCCTCAAGATGGACAGACAATCTGTTTACTCATTGAGCGTTCTACCGCCCGAGTACGACAACGAGGATACTCGCGGCCAAATTCAGACGCAGCTGGAGCAGTTCATTCTGCAATTCCGTCTCGAGAATGCCTTCATTTACAGGTCGGCCCGCCTCGCGCGGTTGATCGGCAGCAACTAACTTCGTACCAGAGACCAAATCCGCGAGAACGTTCTTCTCAAGCAATACTTTTGCGATGTCGATGTCGGCCATCTGATCTCTTTCAACGAAGAGCTGGCTCACCGACTCGTCACCGAACCAGCTGAGATCATTCCCCTTGTGAGTACCACGCACAATCTAGCATGTATTTGCTGATGAACCACCAGTTCGAGGCTGCCTTAAAGAGATGCACCCATCGTATTGTCTACCCCTCTACTAAGGACGTTGTCATCCCTGAGCACCAGCTCCTGCTTCACTCCTCAGCTGGCGATATTTCCATTCGAAATCTCGACGCTCTCACAATCTCACGGCTGGTCCGAGTACCTGGCATCGTCATTGGCGCATCGGTCTTGTCCTCGAAAGCAACAGCACTCCACATTCAATGCCGAAATTGCCATCAGACGAAGGTTTTGCCAGTCGCTGGCGGCTTTGCTGGAGTATCTCTTCCTCGACTGTGCGACAGGGTTAAGATGCCCGGAGACAACCCATGCCCAATGGACCCATACGTCGTTGTTCACGAGAGCTCTCAATTTGTTGATCAGCAGATCATCAAGTTGCAAGAGGCACCCGATCAAGTTCCTGTCGGAGAACTTCCAAGACACGTCCTCATCTCTACAGACCGATACTTGACAAACCGCGTAGTTCCTGGAACAAGATGCATGATCACGGGTATCTTCTCAATTTACCAAAACAAACAATCTAAGGGCTCCAATACTACTTCAGCAGTTGCGATTCGGACTCCATATCTCAGAGCAGTGGGCATTCACAGCGATGTTGACCACACCGCGAAAGGAAACGCTATCTTCTCCGAGGAAGAAGAGCAGGAATTCCTCGAAATGAGCCGGAGACCCGACCTCTACAATGTGCTTGCAAACTGCATAGCTCCGTCCATCTACGGCAATCAAGATATCAAGAAGGCCATTGCCTGTCTTCTCTTTGGTGGATCAAAGAAGATCTTACCGGACGGAATGAAGCTTCGTGGAGATATCAACGTTCTTTTGCTTGGTGACCCTGGTACCGCAAAATCTCAACTGCTAAAATTCGTCGAGAAGGTCGCTCCTATTGCAATTTATACATCTGGCAAAGGATCTTCAGCAGCAGGTCTCACAGCCTCAGTTCAGCGAGATCATACCACGAGAGAGTTCTACCTTGAGGGAGGAGCTATGGTGCTAGCTGATGGAGGCGTGGTCTGCATCGATGAGTTCGACAAGATGCGAGACGAAGATAGAGTAGCTATCCACGAAGCTATGGAACAGCAGACCATTTCAATTGCCAAAGCAGGCATCACTACAATCCTGAATGCTCGGACATCAGTGCTCGCTGCTGCAAATCCTATTTTTGGACGATATGACGACCTCAAGACACCGGGAGAGAATATCGATTTCCAAACTACGATCCTCTCTCGTTTCGATATGATCTTCATTGTAAAGGACGACCATGATCGAGGCCGAGATGAAAGGATAGCAAAACACGTGATGGGTATTCACATGGGAGGACGAGGCGTTGAAGAACAGGCTGAAGCCGAAATTTCAGTTGATAAGATGAAACGGTATATCAGCTACTGCAAGTCGTAAGAAGTCTTTCTCCCATTTATCAGGGGAACCGACTAACAAAACAGACGTTGCGCCCCCCGCCTATCCCCCGAAGCCGCAGAAAAGCTCTCCTCCCACTTCGTTTCAATCCGTAAGCAAGTCCACGCCGCTGAGCTCGAGGCCAATGCACGATCTTCTATCCCGATTACCGTCCGTCAACTGGAAGCTATCATACGTATCACAGAGTCCCTCGCCAAGATCTCACTGTCCCCGATTGCGACGGAACAGCATGTTGACGAAGCAATTCGCCTTTTCTTGGCTTCGACTATGGACGCGGTAAAGATGGGCAGTGGACAGGGAAGTAAAGAGTTGAACGAGGAAGTAAACAAGCTTGAGGACGAGTTGAAGAAGCGTCTTCCTATTGGCTGGTCTACTAGTTTACAGACTCTTAAAAGGGAACTCTGTGACGGGAAGGGCTACAGCGAGCAAGCTCTTGCGAGGGCAATTACGATTTTGCAGAGAAGAGATACAGTTACGATTCGTGGACAAGGGAGCCAAGTTTATAGGAGCGGTGCTTAAACTGTAGTGTTCGGGTAGTCGATTTGCTATGCACTTTATGAAACGATGGCGTTCGGTGTCGGACTATGAATGCAGGGCGATGGGAAGTTGGGTTATGAAGGGATGGAGCTGATCTGGGTAATTACGAAGCATGATGTAGAAATGGTGCACAAGGTTCTGCAAAGCCAGTCAATACAAAGATGAGATGAGTGAGAATTGTCAGTTTTGGTTGATCATCAGATCCTCTATCCTTCCGGGCGACCTCTCGTATCTTACATCCCCATGCTTCTCGTTCACATGGTGCCAAGATCAGATGAGAAAGGCCAACCATCATAACCACAATGCATGTATTTCCGAGAAAGTGCATCACCCTCTATCACTCCATTCTCTCCCTCGACTCCTTTGTACCTAATGATCAAACGCTCCATCCATAAATGCCTGGCTAACGCTCTTCGCTCCCAATAATACTCATACATGGACATATCATGTTCTGCTTTCACCTAGCGGTCTCAGCCTTCGAAACTGGTAGGCTAGGAGGGCCCATAGCGATGCGTTTCGGGTCCCGTTCTGCCGCCTCTCCTTCAGGACCACGTTTCTTCTCCTTTTCTGCTTTGAGGGTAGCCTCTTTCTGTGCTTGTCGGCGTGCTTCTTTATCCTTTCGCTCGTTCTCTTTTCGGAGCGCTTTCGATTCGAATTCGTGCCAGTCTCCTTCCAACTTCGAAAGTCTATCGAAGTGTTAGCTATTACACTGAATGAAGTGAACCACGGGAACATACTCTACAGCTTGTCTTGGCTTCGGCTCCTCCGTAGTAAAATACGGGTGCTCTAAAACATCAGAAGCTGAAGGTCTCTTGGCAGGATCGTATTGAAACATCGCATCCAAAAGCTCATAAGCAGCTGGAGTCACACGTTCTTTGTATTTCTCTGCAAAGACATTTGGTCGTCGTGCTGAAGGTCGTAAAAGCTCGAACCAAGCCATGTCCACCAGACCAGGCCAGTCTACCTTATTCGGCGTTCCAAGTATTGCGTAGATCTTCTCGAGCTGGCTGATCTCGCTTCCATCGCCAGGGAAGATTGCATGTCGGGTGAAAATTTCCACAAGCACACAGGCTGCGCTCCAAATATCCACTGCTGGGCCATACTGTGTCTCACCAAGCAGAAGCTCCGGCGATCGGTACCAAATGGTGATGACTCGGTTTGTATAATCAAGCTGCCGTCGCTTTGCGTAAAATCGAGCAAGGCCAAAGTCAGCAAGCTTCAGCTGGCCTTCATTGCTAACAAGAATGTTTGCTGCTTTGATGTCGCGATGAAGAACACCCCGTCGGTGAAGATAATCAAGACCTTCAAAAAGTTGCTTCGCAAGATGCTTCTTGTGTGCAGGCTCGAGCTTGAAGGTAGGGTGATTCAGTAGCCCAGTGAGATCGTGGGAGAGGTATTCGAAAACCATGAAGCAATCGTTTTTCTCGACCATGACTTCTTGCAGATTGACGATATTGTGATGCTTCAGTGACTGAAGCAACTTTATTTCTCGCACCGCCGTGACTGGAAATCCGTCTCGTTCACCTTCCATGCGAATCTTTTTTAAGGCCACTAGGCTTTTGGTATACACATGAATAGCTTTGAAGACCTTTCCATACGTCCCAGATCCAACGACAGACTCATTTCCGGGTTTTCGGAAGTAGACCGAGTCTGATTTCTTAAACTCATCTGGAAGGTGGGGGCGTTCCTTCAGTCGTTTCATCGTCTTCCTGACCTTTCGGGTGGTTGGAGGAGGCGGGTCGCGGAAATCTTGTCGTCTTGCAGAGGCCGGCTCCGTTGGAATGTTTCGGGAATTGGGACCTCGAGGGCGATCAGGGCTAATTTGTACGTTGCGTGCTGGACCTGCATTTAGCTTTGAAGAAATTTCCGGCTTTGGTGGGGTCGGAGTAGCCTTAGATGGTCCTTTAAAGGCAAAGCTGAACTTTGACGAGTTCTGCTGGCTTTGTGGCCCAGTCGGGGGTGGTCTGCTTGGTGGTGGCATCTGCTCCTCTTCCTTCTTCTTGGTTGTTTCCGAATCCTCAACTTGTAGTTCTTTCGATGGTCTGAATAGGTCTTCGTTATCCTCTTCATCCTCATTTCGGCCATTGTACTGGGGAGTGCTCTCGTGAGACCCTGGTTGTGGCGGGTAAGGTTGTGGGGGAGAAGTGTGTTGCGGCGTCACGTTCCCAGAGTGCTGTCCACGACCTGCCCCAGTAGGGCCTCCACTAGCATTCCAGTGAAGGTTTTGAAAATGTCCGCCACGACCGCCTCGATGGTCACCTCGACCACCCCGTGGGTTGAAATGGTTGCCTCGAAATGCTCGTTGATTTCCACGAAAGCTTTGTTGATATCCCTGATTCATAGGTCCTGTCGGAGCAGCTTGATACGGGGGAGACTGGTTATTGTAGTAATGGCCCTGAGGCCCGTTTGGACCGGAATAGCCCGATTGCTGCTGATAATTTTGCGGGTATTGTCTAAATTATGTCAATCACCATGAGGGAAATATAGACTAGAGACTTACGGCTGAGGTGAGTATTGTTGTTGTTGCCCACCCCAATTGCCTCTTCCTGCAGAATAGGGAGACTGTGCTTGAGGAGATCCATGATAGGAGTTGGGTGTCATGTGATGCTGAGGAGATTGAGAGTACTGTCGCGGATCGACTTGCGGGCCTTGGTTATACTGCGGCTTCAGGGGGAAAGCAGCTTGCATCTGGTTGTTAGGGTGGTAACCTTGCTGGCCTCCATAGAACCCCCTGCCGGCCATCTTATCAGATTTGACCTCAATGCTGTTTGCTCCAGAAGCAGTTGTGGAAGGTCTTGCCCCCTTGACCTCAATGCTATTTGCACCCGAGGCTGTTGAGGATAATTGGCGTCCGTTCTTTGACTGCGGATTATGACCAGGTCGATACTCGTCTCTGGGAGGCGGCCGTCCTGCTCCCTCTCGCTTTGGGGAATGCCCCCTAGATGGAGCGGAGCTTCTGGGAGCTCGTGGCGACTGCTGGCGAGAGCGGTTTGATGGCTCGTACCGATCGATATCAGGAGATCTTCGGTCTATATGTGGTGAGTGGCCTCTTCTCGGTGGCTTCTCCCTCGACTTCTCGAATGGAGACCTCGGCCGGGGTTTGGGGGATTGCCTTGGGGGGGATCGACTGTGCTTTGAGCTATGTTCGTATCGATGCTCTGAAGCGTGGCGCCGCGACGAGGCCTCGCCGCGCTTCGGGCTGGGAGAACGTCCTCGTCTCTCAAATGCACCAGAATCACGGTGGTGCTTAGATTTCCCCTCAACTCGAATATCTGAACTCCTCCGTTCTGATGATCGTTTTCGAGACGGCAGTGGGAGTGGGGATAGAGTCCGCCGCTTCTTGTCTGGCCGGGAGGACGTGACCGAGCCTGCGTCCAGTCGAGAAGGACTGCGGGATGTAACTCGCCTCGATTTCTTATGGTGGCTTCGTGTTGGAGAAGAACTTCGACTCTTGCGGCGTTTGGCTGATGATGGCGAGTGGTAGGTACTTCGTTTTGGCCTGTCAGAGCCTCGCGTGTCCAGCAGCTCCCTTCCTCTATTCCTCTCCCGCACTTCCTCCCTCGAGTCCCTCAAAGGTGATCGGGATTGTCTCCGTCTGCGATCGCGACTGCGCTCGCGAGGTCTGTCGCCGCCGTGCTGTGAGAGAGGCCTCGACTTGATCGGACTGCGCTCTCTGGCCTTGGGTTCCCTGTCGCTCTCGAGGCGACGTGAAGCTGGCGATCTCGATCTTCTTGGACGTGTTACTCCTCGATCAACTCTACCTCGGTCTCTGCGATCGTCACCGTGGCTCCAGCTGTCTTTCATTGCGACATACCGGGCTGGGGAATGTTGTGTGAAGGAAGTCATCGTCGCGAGCTAGGTAAAAAGGCAGTCCCGCAGTCCCGCTAATCAGCCACTCACAGTAGCGACCGTGCCCAAATCTCACGACGGACTTGAGATGCCGGAACAAAAATGTACAGCGCAAGAAAGTAATATTGACAACGTTGGTGAAAAGAACCTCAAGCCTGTTACCTCAGGCAAGAGAACTTACCATGAGCTAACTTGGAAAATTCGGTTCTGGCAGATATCTCCCCCGAGCTGTTCCCGATAGTGGAAATCTCCGAGCCTCGCCGGTTCTTCTCAAAGTCACAGACGCGAATTACATATTGAGTCACAGCAAGTTATCTACGATGCGCAAATGGCGTGGACAGTTCAACATTGCAGCGGAACAATATCCTCCTCTTGCTCTGTTTCACGCCGATCGGCTGTGGCGAGTTCAGCCAAGTCCGTGGTGCGAGAAAATCCAGAGCCCGGTACGTTCACTGAAGATGGCTGCCCAAATCTGCCAGCACCTCACGGCATCTTGAATCCATGGTTCCATCGTAATAGTATCTGAAAAGTCGCTGTAGTCGGTAGCGCAATGTAGAACCTGGTTATTGCTGGACGCTGCCTGGAATATCCGAGCCATGTGTGAATGGGTGGGGCAAGGCATAAATATCGTATGATGAGAGATGCCGCCGACGATTTTGTGTTCATTCTTCTTCAAACCTGTGAACAGGGATCGCAGAGTATGTCGGGGAAGGGACGTATATCGGTAGCAGTCGTTCATCGAATGCGAGAACAGAGACCTGGGGTGGAGTATTCTGGTGGCAGGCATGCTGCAGGGCGTAAGTCGACGTGCCCAGACTTGGAGAGAGGCATCTGATTCTGGAAACGTTAAGAAGAGCCCTTTCATATCCATCATCCGGGCATCGATGACACGTCGTAGTCAAGAGGGCGCAATCCTCGCCATCGAGGCGAGTGGCGGTCATGACTTCAATATATCAACATATGCGGGGCAGTCAAAGCCTGTTGGTCGATAGGAATGTGTGGGAATAGAAGAGATGCCCCCAAAGCCTGAAAAGAAGCAGATTCCCAAGCATCAGAAAAGATGATGTCAAATGTGTATCATCGCTCCAACTGCGATCCTTCATGGAATCAACTGCCCATCGCGTGACCCACACCATGATTCAGAGTAATACTCCATCAGTTGTCAGTGACTTGCTGTCGAAAAAGTTCGACAGGTAGAGAGGTAGATGCTTTGGTGATCCCACCCAAGATACGCAATGTGGGAAGGTGACCGCGGAGTGAAGAGGCAGAAGCTGCCCAACGTGGGTGACCCTACTCATTCAGGATAGCATCCATCATGATATGGATAGAGCGACGAATTGCAGGAAGTATTTCGAGAGTAAAAAGCGGACTAGGAGGCCTTGCAATAATGCAAAGTGGTGAGCGTGTTCTGAGGCTTAGATTGATAAGCCTCGTGCTTCTATAGGCAGGTGTCGACCATATGGAACTAAAGGCGTGTTTCGAATATCGTGCCGAGGACTAATCTGGTTCTCCAAACTGTTCATGGTGAGTTATTCAATGTTGTCCTGATGGTCATCATCTGCACATCAGGGACGGGAAGATGAAGTTGCTGCTAAGTGTGCTCGGCTGTACCCTAGCAAGAGCGTAGTTTGAGTCCTAGCTGTCACGTGATACACTAGCCTTGGCATTCAGGGCAAGCTTCAATTCTTTGGACAAAATGAAAAGCGAGATTGTCTCGAGGGTGTAGCTCAATGGCAGAGCTCACGAGAACTGTCACACGTGTGAGTCCTGGATGGACGCTTGAAAGTAAACCCCCTGTCTCCCTCAGATTGTGATATGTCCGATTCAAGTCACCATCTCAAAATTATCTTATAGCGACATTATAATAGGATGTTCTTTTTGTGGACAAATTTTCCTAGGGATGGGGGATGCGAACTTTGGAGGCGGAAAGAGATGCTACTCCAATGCATGATGTACAACGGCTCTCTAGGCGCATCAGTCTTCGAATATCATTGATGATCATTCCAGTTAACGCCGTGCCACAATCACATGCAATGAACTCCTTTCCACAGCATATCATCAAAAAGTCGTCATCTGGTATCTGCAGGAACCCTCTGCCCAATTCATCGCTCAAGCTCATCAAGTGACGGTTCTTCAATATCCTTGCCCACAATTGCTTCAGCCACCTTCCAGATCTGTATCAAGTTATCCTCAGCAGCACTGCAGACGACCCATGGCTCATTCTGGTTCCAACTGAAATCAGCTAGATGGTTGGTATGACCACCATGCATGAATAACCTGGCAAGATTAGTGTTGGCGGGAAAGGGAATTGGGGAAAGCTCACAATTCAGGAGGTCCATCTTCTTGATCGTCTGGCAGTTGTTCCTCTCCGACTCTGCTGAGATCCCAGAAGATAACTCGGCGATCATAACTTCCACTACCCAATATAGCCTCTTCATGGGGGTGCCAAGCCAGGGAGGTGACAGCATCGCCATGACCCTCCAGGGAGTGGAGCTTATCGTCCAGATTCCTCAAGTCCCAAATACCAATAGTCTTGTCAGCAGATGCGGTAGCCAAAACGAACTCCGAGGCTTGATTGAAAGCCAAGGCATTGATAGCATCGCTATGACCCTGGCCCGTTACAGATGATCGATCGGTTTCTGGTTGCCGAACATCGATAATTTGAAGAGTGAGATCATCCGAGACGGTTCCGATCAGGGATTTATGCAGAGGGTGATATTGGACGTCGTTCACGATCGAGCTATGGTGCGTATACACTCGCGATGCTTTGACGTGGTTATTGCTTGACTGGATGGTTTTCAGGTCCCTGTAATTGTTAGCTTCTTCCAAGCTCGCATACATTCATTCGTACCATAAGCGGACAGTTTTGTCTTCGCTGCCAGTCGCCAGCTTTCCGGCCTCATGTGGGTTCCAACTCAGCCCGAATCCTTCCTTCTTGTGTCCCAGTAACTCTGCCTGCGGATTGACAGTGCCTTTTGGAAGACTGCTGTGCTTGGTACGATCAAAGACCAGGACCTTTCCATCAATGCACATTGTAGCAATAATGTTGGGATTCTGTGGTTGATATCTAGCCTTGTTGACTTCTCCCGGATGATCAATCTTCTGCTCAATTGTCATCTTGATCGCTGCCTGTTCGCCGTTTGAAGAGTTGCCATAGCCACCAATCTCTCCTCGCTGCTCGTCGTAGTCATGAGGGTTTGGTGTAATATTCTTTGGCAGTTCAACATTGGCGATCTGGAGGTAATTCTGGGCATCGTTGGAGGTGTGGGTGCCTATCAGCAATCGATGGATGGTGTAATTCTTGCCAGCAGGCCTTGCAAAAATTGAGCTTCTCCTTCCTTAATATAGAGCGTACAAGACTTACTCTTTCTTATCGGGGAACCATTGTGTAGTCAAGGTGGGCCACTCAAGCGCAGTGCTGCGAAATGTCAGTTACAGCGCTTCAGAAGGTAGCAGAACACTCCTCACCTTAGGATCATGTCATAAAGAAAAGGACTATTTTTCTTCCACGTCTTGTACTCTAGAGTGGGTCTGTCAGCGGCGATCAACCGGTCGCCAAGAGAGGGGACATACCTTCGTTGATAATCTTCTGCTCAGTATCCTCATCTTCGGTATCTGGGCGAGGGACTATTGATTCATCAGCCTCTATTAAGCCTATTCCTAGATCATTGTCGAAAAATGGCAAAGCGCTTTACTGCTCATCTGTAGATCAACGAACACACCTTCCATTTCGACGTCTGCAGAGTCAGGCGCCATGGTTGTAGAAAGTAGATGAATAGATCAGACTGGTTGAAGGGGACCCAAGAAGGTGCCTGAAGATCGGAGAGCCTAGGGACGGTCAGGAAAGTCGCAAAGTGAGGTCTTCTCGATACCGCGCGTTGAAAGAACGCGGTCGCGCTTTCTGTACCAAGTTGGAGGCGGCCGCGATCCCGCTAGCGTCAAAGTAACTGGCGGGGAGGCTCTTGAACCATGACAACGTCAAAGACATCATTTTTTTTTCGAGAAACAATACAAATCAATCACCACGCTTACTTGCCACTAGGAAGGAGTCGGAGAGGAAGACAAAGACGAGTGTGCTTCATTCTCTTTTCAGGAGACACGAGAGGCGATTTCGAGTTGCGGTAAAAGCAACATATTTCCTCATCACCCTTCCGAATATAACCAGAACACCATAGACGCCACTCGCGCTCACCGCGCTCTACTTCATTATGGGTGTTCCCAAATTCTTTCGATGGATGAGCGAGAGGTATCCAGCGATCTCACAGTTGATCGCAGAGAACCGGATACCTGAGTTCGACGCCCTCTACCTTGACATGAATGGAATCATTCACAACTGCACGCATAAGGACTCGGACGATGCGACATTCCGAATGACGGAGGAACAAATGTTCATTGCAATATTCAATTACATTGAGCATCTTTATGGGAAGATTAAGCCGAAGCAGCTTTTCTTCATGGCAATCGATGGGGTTGCACCGAGAGCAAAGATGAATCAACAGCGAGCCCGACGATTTCGTACAGCGCTTGATGTTGAAAATGCAAGAGAGAAGGCCATTAGGGAAGGAAAAGAGATGCCCAAGGAGGAAGCATTTGATAGTAATGCAATCACACCAGGTACGATGGTTTATTTGTCACTTTGAATGAACTAACCTATATAGGTACGGAATTCATGTACAAGTTGACCCTCCAGTTGAAATATTTCATCAACAAGAAGGTATCGGAGGATGTTGATTGGCAGGGTGTCGAAATTGTCCTGTCAGGCCACGAAGTTCCCGGAGAAGGCGAGCACAAAATCATGGAGTACATTCGATTGGCGAAAGCCCAGCCTGACTACGATCCCAACGTCCGACATTGCCTTTACGGTCTTGATGCTGATCTCATCATGTTGGGACTTTTGAGTCACGATCCACATTTTTGTCTATTGCGAGAGGAGGTTACATTTGGGCGACAAAGTAAGGCAAAATCCAAGGAATTGGAGCATCAAAATTTCTACTTGATGCATTTATGCGTTGTACGAGAATACCTGGAGCTGGAGTTTCAGGAACTAAAAGAAGACGGCGTACTTGGATTTACTTTCGATCTGGAACGAGTCATCGACGACTTCATCCTCATGGCATTCTTCGTGGGAAACGATTTCTTACCTAATCTTCCTAATTTGCATATTAATGAAGGGGCTTTGGCGTTGATGTTCAAGATTTACAAGGCCGTACTACCAAAATGTGGTGGATACATCAACGAGAGCGGTGTCATCAAAATGGATAGATTGGCTGTATTATTGGACGAACTGGCACATGTGGAATATCGTTTCTTCGAATCGGAAAGCTCGGATCAGAGTTGGTTCAAGTCGAAGCAAATGGCCAAGGAGGATGTTATGGTCAAGGGCAAGACGAAGGGGAAATTGACAATGACCACCCCTCAGCGGGAGGTCTGGAAGCAGGTCAAAAAATACGTCGCTCATCGCTCAGATCTACCTCTAGATCTACCGGATACCTTACCAGCTGCGGATCGCAAGTTCGTACAAGAACTTGCAGAGAGTCTTCATCTCGAATGGAAGACGGCTGAGAATGAGCAAGGTGATCGTCATTTGCAGCTCTCCTTTCCCGCTAAGCTAGACGGAGAAGAGGACGAAGATGAGGACGAAGAGTCACAACTTGCTATCCTTCGGATTGTTAAGCAATACGATAACGCCAAAACAATCGATGTCTCTAGAGCAGAGGCTCAGGCAGAGATGGACAAACAGTACGAAGCAAAGTTCCAGGAGTGGAAGGACCGATACTACCAGGGAAAATTTGAATGGGACCGAAACAACGAAGAGGAATTGACGAAGTTGTGCGAGAACTACGTGCAGGGCTTGCAGTGGGTTCTATACTACTACTATCGTGGAGTGGTATCGTGGCCCTGGTTCTATCAATACCACTACTCCCCAATGATATCCGGTATGTGTTCAGGGCACCTGTCCCAAGCATCCAACTAACACTATTATTTCAGATGTCATCAAAGGTCTAAAAGCAGATGTCAACTTCAAACTTGGCCAGCCGTTTCATCCTTATGAGCAACTCATGGGTGTCCTTCCTGATCGAAGTAAAAAGATCGTACCATCCATTTACCATGATCTCATGACCAATCCGGCATCTCCCATCCTCGACTTTTACCCCCGAGACTTCGAACTCGACATGAATGGTAAGAAGATGGATTGGGAAGCTGTTGTCAAGATCCCTTTCATCGATGAAAAGCGCCTGTTGGCTGCCATGGCTCCCAAGAACGCTCTTCTAAGTGATGTGGAGAAGGCGAGGAATGAGTTTGGAGTCACTTTGAAGTTCACTCATGACCCAGACGTTGACTTTACTTACCCCTCATCTCTTGTGGGTATTTTCCCAGATATTGCACACTGTCACTGCGTTGAGAACATCTTTGATCTTCCCACTATTGAAGGATTGGAATATCATGTTGGTCTTATGGAAGGCGTTAAACTTGGGGACGCAGCATTGGCTGGTTTCCCGAGCTTGGCTACTCTCCCTTATAATGCGACATTGGGTTTTCACGGCGTCAATGTGTTCCAACAAGATAGTCGCAACGAGAGCATGGTCGTCACTATCGAAAATACCGAGGAACGAACAAATGTCAAGACTGCCACGATGAAGCTGGGTCACCGAGTTTTCGTGGGATATCCCTTCTTACAAGAAGGAAAGGTGGTCAAAGTGTCAGACGAGCTCTTTGATTATCTCCCTGCAGATGGTGGCACTTCTCACCCTATCCAGCAACTTCATGGCCCACGAGAAATCGACGATTTCCGCAAGAAGGCTGAGAGAATTGAGAACAACTACAGCAAGCGTCTCGGTATCATCATTGGCGCTGTTGAATCGATTACTCATGTTGAAATGCTGAAGGGTTTGCTAAAGACCGACGAGGGTGCTACAGTCAAGGAGTATGCCGTGATTCCAGGCATGGAAACTGAATACGCCTCTCAAGTCATCGTTGATGAGGTGGTTAGCGAGGATCAACGGTTCTTAGAGAAGGCAGCTGTTCCTATTGAGGAAGAATTCCCGCCGGGATCACGGGCTTTCTTCTTGGGCGAATTTAATTACGGCAGACCACTGGAAGTTGTGGGTCACAAGGACAATCGAGCCGAGATCTGGTTGTCGACTACCAAAGGCAAAGAAATGGAATTCGGGCGCAACATCGTCATGAGTCATCATACCAAGAGTCACTATACTCCATCATACGCGGTTGCTAAGATGTTAGGTCTGCACCCCCTCGTCCTCAGCAAGATCACCTCATCCTTCTCTGTATCTGCACTGGGCCTCCCCCGACTCAATCTTGGTCTCAACCTAAAATTCGAGTCAAAGAAACTCAAAGTCCTGGGCTACTCTCGCAGATCGGATAGCGGATGGGAATTCAGCAACAAGGCTATCGAGCTTCTGAGCACCTACATGACGAAGTTCCCAGAGTTCATTGCCGGTATCCAACGAAAGCCACAAGGTAACGAATACGATGAGACCGATTTCTATCCGGCCGAAATTGCGGGTGCAAAGATCAAGGAGATCGCGGCTTGGCTGAAATCCATCGAGTCCAAGAACTTTGAAAAGGTCCCCTTGGATGCAGAGCAACTGGATTCAGATGCTGTCATGGCTATTGAGAAGGCGTCTGACGATGCGTTGGCGAATGGTCCCGGTATCGAGTTCAAGAAATTGAAAGGTGTTCCTCGAAACGCACTTATAAAGCCCGCAGATGCCGAGCACCGCCTTGGCAACCAGCGTTTTACGCTCGGCGATCGAGTTGTCTACGTCCAAGATTCTGGTCGTGTTCCTATTGCCACTCGTGGTACCGTCGTCGGAATATCTCGCACTCCACGTACAACTCTACTGGATGTCGTCTTCGATGTAACCTTCATGAGTGGCACTAGCCTTGGTGAACGATGCACTGCTTTCCGTGGCTCCACAGTCTCTACTGCCTCTGTCCTCAATCTTTCAAACAAGCAAGTTATCGCCGGCTCAAAAGCCGCAGTCGAGAAACGGCCTGCACCGGTCACTGCTCTACTGACGGTCAACGGAGGGTACGGCATGCCAGTGGGACCTGGAGGTCAAGGACAGTACCGCGAAGCCGGTGCACCGCCGCCTTTGAGAGGCTCGTTCCGTGGAGCTGTAGCTGGCCAGAATCAGAATGGATTTTCAAGGGGCAACGGTGTCCCGCGTGGCAGGGGCCGAGGTGGTCTGGGACATTCAGGCGATAATGCTGCACCAGCCGTACACAGCAGTATGGCCATTCGAGGCAATTCCCAAGGGCAGATGAACGGTGCGAGAGGCGCGAGAGGTGGCCCAGCGAACGGATTCAGAGGCGGGAGAGGCGGCCCACCTCCCCCTGCTCCTGCTCAAGCATTTAATGCAGTGCCACCACCGCCAAGTTTGGATAACAGAGGCCGTGGAGGACCTAGGGGTAGAGGTGGTAGAGGCAGAGGATTCCCGAGAGGCAGAGGCGGCGTTGTTCAAGCGCAACAGACTTGATTCTCTGGGAAATTTTCTGGAGATCTTCGTCTGGATGACTTGGATCTGGTTGTGTTATGAATCATGAATTGATGATCGGACTTCACTTCCTCGGGAGCTTAGGTAAACGACGCATCATGAATCACATTTGTACCAAATGGCCAGACATAGGTTGAGATAAGGCACGAACGGGCTATTTTCTGTAGATTAGACCTTAGAATAGGTCATCATTATATTGTTCAGCCTGATCGTCAGTTTTCTCATCTAGGAACTGAAAGCCTCAGTCACACGTGAGGCACCCTAAAGCAAGCACAATTTCTACAACGTATACACGCTCCTCCGATTTATCCCGCCAAGGCACGCAATGTCCCAGTGATGGCACAGTTGTGTTGTTTCCTTCAGAATAAATTCCCCTGCACAGGTTCGGGGAAGCAAATTGTATATTTATTAGTTTGACTCTCTCATACGTCCATGGCCTGTCTTCTGTAAGGAATAGCGGTAGCTACGTTCATCACTCTGGCTCTCTTCTCCCTTCCCCTACTCTCTTAGGCCTACGATGGAGCAAAGCAAAGGCAAATTAACATAGACCTCTCATGGAATCAAGTAGCCAGACAGTGTGAAGTCGACACTATGTATTGTGAAGCCAGCAATGCAGCGGCTCCCACACCTTATCTATCAAGCATCCTTCCATCCATTCACGCCAGCACGTACTCCACTCATATCTGCTCCAAGAAAACTCAAGTGTCTACATCGAAATCGAGATGAAAGAAGCTACTCCCTCGACTTCCCAGCAAATCATCATCATCTCTCATCCCAACCATCTACCAACACCTCCCAGTCCACCCCCCACACAAGCCATCCAAGGGTCGAGATGCCATGGATCCAACGATACCACAGCGCACCCCTTTCATCAACGTCAAGAATCACAATGAAAGGAGAAGAGAGATTATGAAACAAGAAAAGGAAATGTGGCAAATAAAAAACAAGAAGCTCAAAATACAAAACAAGAAGTAGAGGTGAAACAGTGCCGAGCCCGTTCGTCGTTCTCTCCGAATCTGATTCTGTTTGCATATGCTCCAAGATCCGCCGTTTTGCAAATGCAGCCATGCTTTGGGAGAGAGAGAGAGATCCGATCCGATCATGTGTGTGTGTATGCGCGTGCTAGAGAAGAATTCGACGGACTACACCGGCGACCGCAGAATGAGACACCAGATATGAACCCAGACCCCATACCAAGCAAAAGACCCGACTGACCCCATGCCCAACGCTCCCTTCGCTATGCACCGAAGATAAACGATTTCTTTTTCTTTTTGCTTTGCCAGTCAATCCCGTCGCACGAACATTCAGAATCAAAATTCAGGGTGCGTTGCTGCCATTGCCATGCCTTTGCCCGTTGCTTCATCGCCTGATTGATCCTTGTATAGCCCAACTTTCCATCCGCATTAAAGAACTCCGCCCTCCGTACTATTGTCAAATTTTCCGTTCGCACTTGTGTAGGTGTAGAGTCTGCTTTGAATTTTGCCCATCCTTTTCTTTATGCCTTCCAACCAGCCTAACCACCAGCCCACCCGCAAGCCAAACAGATGCCCTCATTAAAAACCGCTGCGCAATAGTCCAGAAGGCTCTGAACCACACAATATTGTCTATGATTTCATTCCAACCCAAAGCCGTCCTGAAACATAGTCATACATGTGAATAAGAGTCAAGACTTTTGTATAGACCGTAATGAAAGGGAAATCGATGGCGCAAGACAATTCGCAAAGAGACAGCTAAGCCGGAGACTTGCTCGGAGCGCTGAGCTGTGCTGAACCGCCATTCTGGCGAGCATCGCCGCTGCTCATTGACAAATTACCGATGCCCGAGGAGAGAAAAGCAAAAGGATCGCTTTCACTCTGGTTGGAATAGAAGTTGTTGGAGGGGCCTGCCGATGCTGGTCCATTGCTTGCAGACTGGAACGCTGCTTCAGCAGCTCGGCTGTCGAAGGGACCGGCAGAGTGTGAGCCTCCAGTAGGGCCAAAGTGGGTGTTGAGGGAAGGGTATGGGCCAGTCGAAGCACCAAGACCAGATGGGAGAGCATAGGTGCTTGGTGGACCACCAAAATGCTGTCCTCCATACCCACCGCTAGATCCAAACCCTCCAGCAGCTGATGCGAAAGGTCCAGGGCCTGGAGTGCCTGCCATTGAGCCCGGGCCCATGCCATAGTTCGATGGAGGATCCATTGGAGAAGGATAACCAGAGTCCGCCACAACGGCTGCACCCGCACGGCTGGCGCCACATCGAAGACAGCTGACATTTTTGGCAAAGTTGTGGTATCCGCAGCCTTCAGAGCCACACTTCCAATCCCCAGCCCGGAATGGTACAACACCGCCACTGCCACCCATTCGGCCACCACCATGACCACCCATACCCCCATGATGCCCCATGTGTTGAGGGGGCGGCATCATAGCTGGGGGTCCGTACCCATAACCTCCACCATAACCTCCCATAGCATCACCACTGGGCCCTGCACTCATGGCTGGGAATGAACAACGGAAACAAGCGGTTCGTCGCTGGAAGTTGGAGAAACCACATGACGGGCAAGTCCAATCTCCTGGGCGTGGTCTATTCTTACTGGGTGGGAATGGCGTAAGGATCTCAGCAGCGCGGTCAAGAACCCTGCTGGAAGAAGGGGAAACTTCTATAGCCTTCTCATTAAGAGCACGTCCATTCATGCACAGACTCTCTGCGGCCTGATAAGGTGTTAGAGCATGTCCTCGTGAAGAAAAGAATTTTATTAAAGAATGTGGGGGTAGGTTCAACAATCTGTCATAAAGAAGTAGGACATATTCGCAGGGCGCTGACACCACGATTTGATGGGAGTCGCAAGCTCGGCAATACATGTAGAGATGGTAATGAGATGATTCGCTGACCTCTTCATGGGACGAGAACACAGCGAAGCCGGACCCAGTAGGCTTGTGCTGATCCGGAGTTCGCAACGTCCAAAAAGCAATTGGGCGGCCGCCAAACTGGGTGAACCAGCTTTCCAGCTCGGACTGAGTGGTGTCATGTGGAAGTCCTGCCATGTGAAGTACCTTGCTACGTTCAGACAAAAATGCTCGGACATCAGCACGGGCGTCCATTGGTCTTGTAAGAACATCGGGGTGCTCGTGAGGCGGTTGGGATTTTCGAATTAATCCACGGAGAACTCTCGCCAATGTCACTGCTTCCTCCATAGCTCTGCGAGGAGAGGCGGGCGCAAGTGCTTGTAGATGGAACGGGAGATTGTGCTTGATCGGCGCACTTGCTTGGACAGGCTCGACCTCAAGCGCGGCACAGATATTGGACAGCATTGAAGGGCCAAATGGGAGAGATTCAGGGTGGTGTTGTTGCCAGCGCTGGTACTCGGTTCGTAGATCGAAGGTTCGAGAGTGCTGCAGATATGGAGGCAAGACCACAGCTTTATCACGAGCTTCGCGGGGAAGCTGAACTCGGAGGTCCCAGGAATCGAGGGTGACAAAGGAAAAGTCGAGGTTTTGCGAGACGAGGTGTTCAGAGGCAAATGCATCAAAGCGGTTGATTGCATCGCGGAAAGTTCCTGCATTGCGGACGTGCTCCCAGGTGAGCGTTGTCAAGCTTGCTACAGAGCAATGGAGGTTAGCATATAGCGCAAACATATCTTGCAGGGTGCACCGAGGGGTGTAGAGGCTCTCGGGGTCTTGTAGGTCGATTTCTATGGTGGCCCGTCACTTACTGCACAGCGGTGTGATAGGGGTATTGATGGGCTTGACAAGAACGCTTTCCCGGTGGAGCTATGAGCATGCAATTAGCACACATTCTCAAGAGATCGCAGTGCAGAGCAGAGCAGAGTTGGACCTACCTCGTCACAGCTCTTTGCATCTAGAAGAATCCACCCAAGCTCTATCACCTCAGCAGAATCCTTTGTGACATAGACTCCGTGCTCGTCGCAGGTGGTGGCAACGTGGATCACAACGTATCTGTCCAGATTGCCTTGCTGGCTCTGGGTTGTGGACGACATGTTTCACGGGGAAGGTGAATGAGGGTCAATGTGCGGTGCGAGGACAAAAGTGAGGTCGTCGACAACGGGGAGCTCCAGGATCGGAGCGGGAGGGGAAAGGAAAGCGAAAGCGACAGAGGCAGGCGACTTGGGGGGAGGGGGGAAGGGGTGGCAGTCAGCAAGAGAAGCTGGATCCGGGGGAGTAGGTAAATTCCTGGCCCTCCTGTGCTGGATGTGGTGAGGAAGAGGAGAAGAAGGGGGAGAGGAAGGGGAGAGGAGGTGGAGCAGGGAAGGAAATGTTGACAGAGATCTCGCAAATTGCCTCCAGGGAACGTCTTAGCGCCAAATCTGGGTTGTGCTCGGGATGGAAAAAAAATGCCAGTGGGGAAGGGAACAAGCGACAGACAGACAGACAGCATCACCAGCCCAGCCAACTCAGAGATTCAGAGGGAGGGCAAGCCGCAGCAACTCGATCTACTGCATTCGTAGATAAATATAAATACATGCCCGGTGCGGTGCGGTGCGCCTCGCTGCGCTCGCTCGTTCACGCTAGAAGAGCGCTGGTCCTCCTCCACCGCGACCGTACTGTGGCATCGCATCGCATCCAGCGCGGTCTGGTGTTGATGGGGCCGATGTTATCTTACCTCCACCGCATGCACGTTTCGAGGGTGTATGGATGGCTGGGCCGACAAGAAACCGTTGCGGCGACTGCTCCTGCAAGCAGCAACGTCGACAAGCCCGCAGCAACCTCACCTCGCCTCTCTTTCTTGCCTTGTTTCTTTTACTCACTCTTTCTTTCTTTCTCTCTCCCTCTCTCTCTCTTTCTTTCTTTCTCTCTCTCTCTCTCTCTCTCGCTGGTCGGCCGGAGACAGCCTCGACGCGCACCCTGTTCGAGCGCCCCCGGCGTCTAACACCCTTTGACCCTTGACCCTTGACATGTTATGTATGTGTGTGTATGTATGTATGTATGTATGTCTCCGACGAACTCTTCGACAAGGCGTGCATGACATGACACGACATGACTGACATATAAATGCCCTAACTAGCTCGGACGACGTGAACCGAAACAAACCAAGTACCGTAGCGAACGTCACCGCCCCTCGGGAAGCCGACTTGCTCCGACTGGTAAATTTAGAAGGTGCGCATTAACACGGAGACTTCCTAGCTTCTCCCATCGTGGTAACTCCGGCACCCGCTCCAGCGCCCACGACCCGGCCTGACCCCGAAAGCTCCTACTATTTTCCTCAGACCATCCCCCGCGAAGCTCAACACGAGTTCGAAAGAAGGTGACGTAACGTCGCGATTGCTGCTGACCTCCCAGCCCTGAGCCCTCTTCTCGACCCTCCGCTCGTCTCTCCCCCC